TCTTCTTCTTCTTCTTCTTCTTCTTCTTCTTCTTCTTCTTCTCCTCCTCCTCCTCCTCCTCCTCCTCCTCCTCCTCCTCCTCCTCCTCCCTCTCCCTCTGTCTCTTCTCCCCCCTCCTTCATCATTCTTGGGAGAATGTTGGCTCATGAGGACAGGAAACATCAGCTTTAATCTCAGCTGGGACACAATGCTCTCTCTGCTAAGGACCTGAAATGGAACTGCAGCCTTCAGCTCAGCAGGCTCCAAGTAACAAAAAGCAGATTTAATGGCTGGCAAGTGTCTATTTCAGCAGCTTCGGTGGCTTACCTCCAAGCGAGATCCTTTGCTATGCAAACGGCAGGTTGCTAGCCAACTAAATCTTCCCCTCCACTATTTATACAGTCAATGATAATAAAAAAAAAATCAGGAGGAGTCTGGCTGTGAAAATGTGTGCCTTTTCATAAAATTAGCTTGCAAAAAATTCTATCAGAACTTCAGATCTGGGGCAGCAAAGGATTAACACAGCTCTCCTTCTACCATATCGTCAAACATATAGCAGCCCCAAGTACTTCTCTTCAGCTTCCATGTTTACTGCAGAGGCCAAGAGGAACTTACAGGATGTCTGTGGAGTGTGATAACAAAGCCAGCACTTGGCTTTCAACAATTGTCCTTCTGGAACAATCCCCAGCTAATTAAGCAAGAATGAATGAATGAATGAATGAATGAATGAATGACTGCTAGATTGGTTTTCATCTGCAAACTGAATTGCCAGGATAAAAATAGACAATTTTTGGAGAAGAGAAAATGCAATCTTCGTAGGACATGCTGCTCTGGAGATGTTCCACCATTAATCAATCTCTCTTTTTCTTTTCTTCTTGGAAAAGACCATTTCAATAGGTAAATGTCTGAATCTTTTCTGTAATTAGGCCAGCAAAGTGCTTTTTAAAAAATACCAAGTAGCCAAGAGAGGCGTATAAATCTTCGTTTCAACAGGAAAGGAAATCTGAGCCTACACTTCTAGGTTGAGCTGTAGAAATCAAAACTTTTTGTAGAAGAAAAGTTTGCCTTTTCCCAATTTGCTTAATATAACTTCAGAATTATTTAAACCCATTTTCTTGTGTAATAATAATAATAAAAAACAGACAATCCACTAGCCACCTCTAAACTTATTATGGTTAACTATTAAACAAGCTTAGCATGTTGGGCTACCTTTTTAAGCGTGTTGTATGAACAAAGCCCATGAAACATGGATTCTTGTTCTTGGACTCGGTGCTCAGGGTTCATAGAATGTTTAACAGATTAACAGAGTTGGAAGGGACTTTATAGGTCATCTAGTCCAACCCCCCGCAACCCAAGCAGGAGACCCTACACCATTTCTGACAAATGGCAGTCCAATCTCTTCTTGAAAGTCTCAAGTGATGAAGCTCCCATAATTTCCGATGGCATGTATCAAGCCCATGGTTTGTTTAAAGACTTATTGCCCACGTCACAACTTACTGACTGAATTGGTGGTTTACAGATTAGAATTACTGGGCTGAAGCAAAACACTAAACCAAATTCAAACCATGTTCAGCTTAAACTTTACGTTAAGTGCTTAGCTTGGTAGGAGCACCTAACAAACCGTGGCTGTTTTCTAACAACTAAACTGGGTTTTGAAACCCTGAAATTAATAGTTGGACTTTATGTGTGATGTAGCAAGAGCAATAGCACTTAAGACTTATATACCACTTCACAGTGCTTTCCAGCCCTCTCTAAGCGGAGAGGGTCAGCCTCTTGCCCCCAACAATCTGGGTCCTCATTTTACCCACTTCGGAGGGATGGAAGGCTGACTCAACCTTGAGTTGGTCAGGATTGAACTGTTGGCAGTGGGCAGAATCAGCCTGCAATACTGGATGGATGGATGGATGGATGGATGGATGGATGGAAGGAAGGAAGGGAGGGAGGGAGGGAGGGAGGAAGGAAGGAAGAAAGGAAGGAAGGAAGAAAGGAAGGAAGGAAGGGCAATAGCAATAGCACTTAGATTTATATACCACTTCACACTGCTTTCCAGCCCTCTCTAAGCAGTTTACAGAGTCAGCCTCTTGCCCACAACAAACTGGATCCTCATTTTACCCATCTCGGAAGGATGGAAGGCTGACTCAACCTTGAGTTGGTCAGGATTGAACTGTTGGCAGTGGGCAGAATCACCCTGCAATACTGGATGGATGGATGGATGGATGGATGGAAGGAAGGAAGGAAGGAAGGAAGGAACGAACGAACGAACGAACGAACGAACGAAGGGCAATAGCAATAGCATTTAGACTTATATACCGCTTCACAGAGCTTTACAGCCCTCTCTAAGCGGTTTACAGAGTCAGCCTATGGCCCCCAACAATCTGAGTCCTCATTTTACCCACCTCGGAAGGATGGAAGGCTGAGTCAACCTTGAGTCAGTCAGGATCGAACTACCAAACTGCTGGCAGCCGACAATCAGCAGAATTAGCCGCAGTACTACATTCTAACCACTGCACCACCGTGGCTCTTACCATGTACATAAAGAATAGGGCTCAGTTGTGTGTTTGCGGGCAGGGATGAAATCCAGCAGGTTCTAACAGGTTTTGGAGAACCGGTAGTGGAAATTTTGAGCAGTTCGGAGAACCGGTAGCGGAAATTTTGAGTAGTTCAGAGAACCGGCAAATACCACCTCTGGCTGGCTTCAGAGTGGGGAGGGAATGCAGATTTTGCAGTATACTTCCCCTGCCACGCCCACCAAGCCACACCCACCAAGCCACACTACGCCCACAGAACCGGTAGTAAAAGTCTGCAAGCAAACAACCAAGCTCAGAGAGCACTGAGGACTCTGCGTTTCTTCCCGTCTTCCTGTCATTGTGACTCCTTCCTATGCTTCTTTCTCACAGGGGCCCTCCAGACAGGCGAATGCTGAAGTGGGACTTGCTTCCAAAGGCCACGTCAAATGGCTGACCAAGCGAAAGGTCAAAGCTTTCTACACAGGCATCTCAGCAGAGGACTTGAGAACTGGAGCACAAGTCCTTATGCAGGTAAAATCAACCTTGGAGTAATGAAATGCTAACCACACCCAGGGCCACCTGAACTGGAAGTTGGCTTGCTTGAGGAATTCTTATGTGCTTTTTATTAAAAAAAAACTTTGCTCTTATGAGCTATAGTAATTCTTGGGTCTTCCTACCAGGGCTTGCACTATCCGCTAAGCGAATAGAATAGAATAGAATAGAATAGAATAGAATAGAATAGAATAGAATAGAATAGAATAGATATAGAATAGAACAGAAATAACATAGTAGAAGAGAACAGAATAGAAATAATAATAGAGTACAATAGAATAGAAAAGAAATAAAATAGAACAGAAAAAATAGAATAGAATAGAAAACAGTAGAGAAATAGAACAGAATAGAACAGAAATAATATAATCGAACAGAATAGAAATAATAATAGAGTAGAGTAGAGTAGAATAGAAATTAAATAGAAAGTAAATAGAATAGAACAGAACAGAAAAAATAGAATAAAAAGAAAATAGAACAGAAATAACATAATAGAACAGAAGAGAAGAGAAATAATAATAGAGTAGAATAGAATAGAAAAGAAATAGTATAGAACAGAAAAAATAGAATAGAATAGAATAGAAAATAGAATAGAACAGAAATAATATAATTGAACAGAATAGAAATAATAATAGAATAGAGTGGAGTGGAGTGGAGTGGAGTGGAATGGAATGGAATGGAATGGAATGGAATGGAATGGAATGGAATAGAATAGAATAGAATAGAATAGAATAGAATAGAATAGAATAGAATAGAACAGAAATAACATAGTAGAAGAGAACAGAATAGAAATAATAATAGAGTACAATAGAATAGAAAAGAAATAAAATAGAACAGAAAAAATAGAATAGAATAGAAAACAGTAGAGAAATAGAACAGAATAGAACAGAAGTAACATAATAGAACAGAATAGAAGAGAAATAATAATAGAGTAGAATAGAATAGAATAGAAAAGAAATAGTATAGAACAGAAAAAATAGAATAGAATAGAAAATAGAATAGAACAGAAATAATATAATTGAACAGAATAGAAATAATAATAGAATAGAGGAGTGGAGTGGAGTGGAGTGGAGTGGAATGGAATGGAATGGAATAGAATAGAATAGAATAGAATAGAATAGAATAGAATAGAATAGAATAGAATAGAATAGAATAGAATAGAATAGAATAGAGCTGGAAGGGACCTTGAAGGTCTTCTAGTCCAGCTCCCTACTCAAGCAGGAGAACTTGTCCTATACCATTTCAGACAAGTGACTGTCTAGTCTCTTCTTAAAAACCTCCAGTGATGGGGAGTGCCCATAACTTCTGAAGGCCAGCTGTTCCACCGGTTAATTGTCCTCACTGTTAGGAAGTTTCTCCTTAATTCCAGGTTGCTTCACCCCTTGATTAGTTTCCAACCATTGTTTCTTGTATTTCTTGTAAATAAATAATATTTATTTGTTCCTTTGTTTAAAATTATTATAGCCACCCAATCCTATAGACTGACCACGGAAATGTCTTTGGACAGCGCTGGTTCAATGGCCTTGAAATGGAGATGAGCAACACCCCCTAAAGTTTGCAACAACTAGTGGAGGAAAATCTGCAGGGACTCCTTCCTAGCCTATGAATAGAATAGAAAGTAAAGTGTTACTCCGCAATGGAAGGAGGTTTCGAAGTAGTATCTATCACAGGACTAGTTTGTTCCTTATGCCACCCATCTTGTAAATTCGCAGGAGTCTTTTTTCCCCCGCCATGTACATGTATACATTTGAACTAGAGTGTGATGTTTCTCTGTGTCATATATGTGGGTGTATGTGGGTATTTGCATAATGGTTTTCCTCTGAGAGCTGAATGCAATGAAATTTCATTTTAATGTATGCTGATTAGTGTACATTTAAAGTGACAATAAAATTTCTCTATTCTATTCTATTCTATTCTATTCTATTCTATTCTATTCTATTCTATTCTATTCTATTCTATTCTATTCTTATTCCATTCTTCCATCCCATCCCATCCCACCCCACCCCACCCCACCCCACCCCACTCCACTCCACTTCACTTCACTCCACTCTTATTCCATTATTCCATTCCATTCCATTCCACTCCACTCCACTCTTATTCCATTATTCCATTATTCCATTCCATTCCACTCCACTCCACTCCATTCCATTCCATTCCACTCCACTCCACTCTTATTCCATTATTCCATTCCATTCTACTCCACTCCACTCTTATTCCATTATTCCATTATTCCATTATTCCATTATTCCATTATTCCATTATTCCATTCCACTCCACTCCACTCCACTCCACTCCACTCCATTCTTATTCCATTATTCCATTATTCCACTCCACTCCACTCCACTCTACTCTATTCTACTCTACTCTACTCCATTCTTATTCCATTATTCCATTCCATTCCATTGCACTCCACTCCACTCCACTCTTATTCCATTATTCCATTATTCCATTCCATTCCATTCCATTCCACTCCACTCCATTCTTATTCCATTATTCCATTATTCCATTATTCCATTATTCCATTATTCCATTATTCCATTATTCCATTCCATTCCATTCCATTCCATTCCATTCCATTCCATTCCATTCCATTCTATTCTATTCTATTCTATTCTATTCTATTCTATTCTATTCATGCAGGAGGGTTGGTAACAATTGATGTAGAAAATATTTTTAGTCTAAAAGTCCATCTCTTTCTTGATAAAGGCCTCAGGTCTTGGGAGAATGAAGCCCAACGTTCTGGTACTTGGATATAAGAAGAACTGGCAGGCAGCACATCCCCAGACAGTGGAAGAATATATTGGGATGCTGCAGTAAGTACAACTGGCCATTGTCTTAAAAACCTTCTAAGCCAGACTTCTCAAATCTAGTCTTCTCAAAAGGTCTTGAAGTCTTCAGGAAAATGTCATGAATCAGTTGCAACTATCTTTGGTTGCATCCTCCCTCTCTGGATGACTTACTGGAGTAACACACACCCTTCAAACTTAGTGAGCGGATTTTGCATCTGTCCAAAAATTGCATCACACTTTTCAGCTTTTTAAAGAAATCACAATGCATTCTGACATAAGTAAATTGAGAGAAGATGCTGTTAGAAGGGCAGATTTGGCTTTCTTTTTTTAAAAATAGAATAGAATAGAATAGAATTCTTTATTGGCCAAGTGTGATTGGACACACAAGGAATTTGTCTTTGGTGTATATGTTCTCGGTGTACAAAACAGAAAAGATACGTTCGTCAACAATCATAAGGTACAACATTTAATGATAGTCATAGGGTACAAATAGGCAGTCGACTCATACTAGGAAACAATCAATATCAATATAAATTGTAAGGATACAAGCAACAAAGTTACAGTCATACAGTCATAAGTGGGAGAAGATGGGTGATAGGAACGATGAGAAGACTAATAGTAATGCAGACTTAGTAAATAGTTTGATAGTGTTGAGGGAATTATTTGTTTAGCAAAGTGATGGCATTTGGGAAAACACTGTTCTGGTGTCTAGTTGTTCTGGTGTGCAGTGCTCTATAGAAATGAAGTATATTTCAACTGTTCTTTTGAGAAAAATACCTCATCATTGTAGTAAAAAGGAGTTGGATGGCCTTCCTTTGGGAAAAGAGATTTAGGGATAGACGGACTCACTCGTGCTATACTATACGAGGTTGTCCACCTCTGAAAATCTCCCTCATGCAGACATTTGAGTTTGCTTTTCTTTTTCCCCCCCTATTCCAGTGATGCTTTTGACTTCAAATATGGAGTATGCGTGATGCGCGTGAAGGAGGGACTCAACATTTCTCGGATCATGCAGGCTCACAGTGAGTTCCACCAGAAAAACTTCTCCAGAGATTGTGCAAGGAAGAGGGCTTGAACTGATTTAAGTGCAGAAGCAGAGACGTATCTTAGAAAGAGGCCCTTTTATAGATTTATATGTCTTCATTTTTATGCTGCTTTGTAAGAGAAATTGCGTTCAAAGGACTCAGACTTCGAATCCATCAAAATACCTTACACACTAATTTTAGCAAAGGCAACGGTATTGTGCATGTAAAAAAAAAGGAAGGATGTCACCTGCAAATCTCCAGACACCATCCCAAGGGTGAAATCCAGCAGGTTCTGACAGGTTCTGGAGAACCGGTAGTGGAAATTTTGAGTAGTTCAGAGAACTGGCAAATACCACCTCTGGCTGACCCCAGAATGGGGAGGGAATGGGGGTTTTGCAATATCCTTCCCCCAGGAGTGGGATGGGAATGGAGATTTTGCAGTATCCTTCCTCTGCCACGCCCACTAAGCCACACCACGCCTCCCAAGCCACGCCCACAGAACCGGTAGTAAAAAAGAAATTGGATTTCACCACTGCATCCTGACTTTTTTTGTGGATGCAGATATCTTTATCTGGAAAATAAAGATAATGCAGGAAAATGATGTTTTGATTTACGGCAAGTTTTTGCTTTTTATTTATTTTTTAATGTAAAAAGTTGTATGGCGTGGGTAGAAAACCTACTGGACACCAAAGGAAATGTCCTCAACCTGATTATATCTTCCTGGCCCATGGGGGAAACTCCAACACTAAGCCATAATGTGGTTAGTTTGATTTATATTAAGTTTGTTGATCTAAACCAACTGGTTTAGATAAAGCTTGTTTATCTAAATCAACTGCTTTAGATAAACAAAAGTTTGCTAAATGCATCCATTAATTCTGTGCAGCTGGAGTAACACACTGCACATCGGGCCCTAAGAACCAAGAGTGACATGTGGAGTTACTTGGGAGTATTTTTCTTCACCTAGAGACACTTGCCACACTAAAGCAACTATTTCCATCACTAATAGATTCATTTATTACATGACTTTAGATTCTAATCCTCTTTCTGCCACTCCAACTTTCCAAGCTGCCTTCTGGACTACAGCCCCTCCCTCCTGGGAATCCAGACCACACTCCATTACACTGCACTAAACTAAACTTAATTTAACTTCGTGATCAAATCACAGTTAACTAGGTACACATCTTGGGGGTACACATCATGCTAAGCTATACATTTTTGCAAAAAGTACAATGGCTCAGTTCACTCAACAGTCTAATCCTAGTTAAAGCAACCGTCATTATGACGATGTGCCATATAAATGCGGGAAGCTGTTCATTGTCCAGAATATGATAAGTTTGTCTTGTTTATTGTCTCCTTTCTGTCTCCAGTTAATCCAGCTTTTGATCCAGCAGAAGTTCCCCAGAAAAGCAGTGAAGCACCTGCCATAACAGGCACATGTCAGTTCTGAAAATCTTTTTGACTAGGTTCACATAATACACCGAATTATGATATTTGCCAAATGGGGTAGATTTGCAGGAGACTTAACCGTGTCTTACAGACAAAGGCACAAGGCTGTCAGTGGGCCGAGAAGCTCTTCTGTCAAACACAACTGAAGTTGTGAGAGCTTCATCACTGGAAGCCTTCAAGAAGAGACTGGAGTGCCATCTGTCAAAAATGGGGTAGGGTCTGCTGCAGGGGTGAAATCCAGGTTCTGACAGGTTCTGGAGAACCGGTAGCAGAAATTTTGAGCAGTTCGGAGAACCGGTAATGGAAATTTTGAGTAATTTGGACAACCGGAAAATACCACCTCTGGCTGGCCCCAGAGTAGGGTGGGAATGGAGATTTTGCAATATCTTTCCCCTGCCACGCCCACCAAGCCACACCCACCAAGCCACACCATGCCCACCAAGCCATGCCCACAGAACTGGTAGTAAAAAAATTTGGATTTCACCACTGGTCTGCTGGGCAGGGGGTTGGACTAGATGACCTAAAAGGTCCCTTCCAACTCTCTTAATCTGTTAAACAGCTATCAACATCTCTCTGGCTAGCAGCTGTGGTCAGAGGAAATGTCATTGTGAGGCCTTGAAGGATGCTTCAGAAACCAGAATGGGTTTAATCGTCTTTGGGTGTAAGCAGTAGTCTGACCTCTCATTTTTGAGGAGAATTTATTTTATTTATTTATTTTATTAATCATACTTCTATGCCGCCCACTCTCCGAGGACTCTGGGCAGCTTACAACAATCGACAGTATACTAAATAGCATATTGCCCCCCAACAATCTGGGTCGTTATTTTACCCACCTCGGAAGGATGGAAGGCTGAGTCAACCTTGAGCCGGTGAGATTTGATCTGCTGAACTAGCAGTCAGCTGAAGTAGCTGCAGTACAGCACTCTAACCATGCGCCACCTCGGCTCATTTGCTGAATTGGGACTCATTCTGCTTTCAACCTCTGCAATCCCATTATAACACGGGCATTGTTAGAAAGAAGACAACCTGTTGGGATTAGGACTTGCAAAAGAAACGTATAAATGAAACTCTGAGGAATGATTGCCTGTTATTTCTGGGAAGGGAAGGGAAGGGAAGGGAAGGGAAGGGAAGGGAAGGGAAGGGAAGGGAAGGGAAATTCAACATTCAACCATCAGCAACTGGTGGAATGCCCTGCATTCAGAAGTTGTGGGGGGGGCTTTTAAGAAGAAAGGAATATTTGTCTTGAAAAGATATAGGGCCTCCTGCTTAAGCAGGGGGTTGGACCAGATGACCTCCAAGGTCCCTTCTAACTCTGTTATTCTATGTGAAGAACGAAAAGAAGGGAAAGGAGTAAATGGGTGAAGAAGGGAAGGGAAGGAAGGGAGAATTTGGAGGTGAAAAGGCTGGTTCTCTAGAAGAGCCCCATTTTTGAGGTGGTTGATTTTAAAGGAAAGAAACTTCGCAATTATGCTGCAGCTTTGATAACATAATAGGAAGAGATTATATCTCTTCTCTTCTCTTCTCTTCTCTTCTCTTCTCTTCTCTTCTCTTCTCTTCTTTTTTCTTCTCTTCTCTTCTCTTCTTTTCTCTTCTCCTCTGCCCTCTCCTTTCCCCTCCTCTCCCCTCTCCTTCTCCCCTCCCCTCTTCTCCCCTCTTCCCTCCCCTCTTCTCCCTCCTCTCCTCTCCCCTGCCCTCTCCCCTCCCCTTCTGCCCTCCCCTCCCCTCTTCTCCCCTCCCCTCCACTCCCCTTCTCCTCCCCCTTCTTTCCCCCTTCCTAGTGGATCCTGATGCTTCAGTAGCAGAACAACAGGCGAGCACCATTTTCCAGATGGATCAAGGCAAGAAAACTATTGATATCTACTGGCTGTTTGATGATGGAGGTAAGGCTGGCTCCCCCTTCTCACGTAGGGCTCAAGAAGAAAACGAGCCTTGTGGTTGCTAAATGGACTCTTGTTTCTTTTTTTTTCCTGGGTTTTCTAGCATTCTCTCAGCTCTGGAGGTCTCAGTAGGGATTCTAAAGGGTTGCAATTTAGTAGGCAAAACCCAGCCAATGCTTTTGGTCAACCAGCCCGTAGCTTCTTAACTGCCCGAACTCTGATTTCCTTTTCTAAAAATGACAGCAGTGACGTTGTTTCATTCCAGGATGTGGAATCATAATCTACCCCCTTATTGAAGCTAACTCGACTCCCTGAGATCTCATCATCTTACATTGGGTTGAGTTTTGGGAAGGTTTTCTGACCCAGCTCCCCAAGTATGACAAATCAGAGGTGGGTTTCAGCAGGTCCTGACCAGTTCTGGAGAACCGGTAGCGGAAATTTTGAGTAGTTCGGAGAACCGGTAGTACAAATTTTGATTGGCCCCGCCCCCATCTATTCTCTCCCTCCTGAGTCCCAGCTGGTCAGGAGGAAATGGGGATTTTGCAGTAACCTTCCCCTGCTACGCCCACCAAGCCACGCCCACCAAGCCATGCTACGCCCACCAAGCCACACCCACAGAACCGGTAGTAAAAAATGTTGAAACCCACCACTGCGACAAACCCTCTGAAGTTAAATCAATGATTCCTTTATTAGGAGCGCCAGCAGCCCCGACAAAAAGTTTCTCATTCAACGCAGGCTAACAAGTCTGTCTGGCAGGGAGATGAATAGTTGTCTGCCACACCTACTCATCTCCGCCCCCTGCCTTTTATTCCCAGAGCTAGGATGGGGCTTCGCTAGCAGCTCTTCCGTCCCAAGGATCAGCCCATAGATTTCCACTGCTCTCCTCTCCTCTGCTTTCTGTGCATCTGCGCGTCAGGCACTGGACCCAGCTGTTCCTCCTCTTCCTCATCAGCTACCTCCAGACCTGGGGGCTGTTGACTCTCCATCTGAGGGCTGACGGACGGCCCAGGCTCCGCCTCTCTCTCTCTCTCTCTCTCTCTGTGCCAGCTCCATGCCCTCTTCCCCTTCAGAGCTCTCAGGTTGCCCTGATGCTGATCCTGACTCCCACAATGCCTCCTTCTCCTCTGATTTGGTTGCTGGAGGAGCCACAGGCCACAGCAGAAGGAATGGTTGGACTGGAAGACCTCCAAGGTCCCTTCCATCTCTAGTACTCTGTGTTCTAAGTAGGATTTAAATGCAATCAGGAGAAGAAGGGGGTGTTGGTTATTGAGATTCCTCTGTGGTTTTCTATCACTAGGTCTAACTCTTCTCGTCCCTTATCTCCTCGGCCGCAAAAAGAGATGGGGGAAATGTAAGATCCGGGTGTTTGTCGGTGGGCAGATCAACCGAATGGACGAAGAGCGGAAGGCGTAAGTTCCAACTGCAGAATTCAGGGCTGATGTGTCCCAAATACACCGTTTATATGGAGAAATGGAGTTGGGGGAGCATCAAAACAGGGAAATATATTATAAAGCCGCCCTGAGTCTCCGGAGAGGGGCGGCATATAAATTTAATAAATAAATACAAATTTAGAAATATAAATTTAATAAATAAAATAAAGATGGTTGAAATCCCCCACATCTTAATTTTTTCCCCCTTCCTTAGGATTGTCTCTTTATTAAGCAAATTTCGGCTTGGATTTCATGAGGTTCACGTCCTTCCAGACATTAACCAGAAACCCCGACCTGAACAGTAAACATTACAACTACTACTACTACTACTATTATTATTATTGCAATTGGAATTGTTATTATGCATTAATGTATGGACCAATACATCCAACCATAAAACCTATTCCAGTTAAAAATGTATTTATATACAGTAAATTACACAGTGGTCATTAAATGAATCCAGCTTCCGACACTTTGCTTGTTGTAAGCTGGCTGGGAAGGTCACCCATAGCAATCCCGTGGCCATTGTCAATACACGCCAGTTGCCAAGCGCCTGGAGTTTGATCATGTGACCATGAGGATGATGTGAGGGTTGTAAGGGTCAGGACCAGTTGTAAGTCACTTTTATTGTGGCCTGTCGGCTGCTGATCCCTCCAGCAGCCGAATCAGAGGAGGAGGAGGAGGAGGCTTGGGAGTCAGGGCCAGCATCAAGGCAACCTGAGAGCTCCGAGGGGGAAGAGGGAGTGGAGTTGGCCCAGAGAGAGAGACAGAGGCGGAGCCTGGGCCGTCCGTCAGCCCTCAGATGGAGAGTCAACTATTTAATTCGATTTTATCTCTGCTTTTTAAATTTTGTATGTATGTATTTTATTGTTGGCTGTTCACCGCCCTGAGTCCTTCGGGAGTAGGGCGGTATATAAATCAAATAAAAGTAAAGTAAAGTAAAAGGTTCCCGATGGAAGCTCACGGTGGTTTTGTTCCTAGTGTGAAGAGATTTGATGATTTGATCGCGCCGTTCAGACTGAACGATGGCTTCAAAGACGATGCGGTGGTGAACGAGATGCGTCACGGCTGCCCGTGGAAAATTTCCGATGAAGAGGTTGCAAAGAACAAAGCTAAGGTTCGGATGACCTTGCCTGGGGTTGTTTTCAGACATCGGGACAAGAAAAGGGGGGAAGTAGGGAGATCGAGTGTTTCATCTGTTTCTGACTCCAAGTCTTTGAACCTGACACCTTTGGTCGACCTGGCTAACCTGTCAGGGAAGTTTAGAATTCCTTTTACAATCTGTTGGAAGGGGAGTGGTGTGGTGGCCTAGAGGTGGAGCTCTCGCCTCACAATCAGGAGGCTGTGAGTTCGATCCTAGGTAGAGGCAGATATTTCCCTCTCTGGGCACAGTGAGAATATATCAGTGGTGGGTTCCTACCGGTTCGGCCGAGCCGGTAGCAGTGACGATATGACGTCACCGAACTGGTTCTCCCCCCTGCCCTCCCACCCCCTACCCCCCCCACGTTATTCTTACCTTTTATTTGGTCCCACCCCCAATCTATTGCTGCCTCCTGAGTCCCAGCTGATGACTAGAGGGAAAAAAACTGTTTAAACTCTTGCCGCGGGGCTTCAAAGGGCCGCCCTACAGCTGATCAGTGTTAAAAGCAAACAAATGAGTCGGGTCGTAAGTGCGAGGACTGGTCGTAAGTGCGAGAACCTTCCAGAAATGACTCTGACCAGCTAGCCACGCCCACCTAGTCACATGACCTCCAAGCCACACCCACAAAATAAGCCACGCCCACAGAACCGGTAGTAAAAAAATTTAGAACCCACCCCTGGAATATATCTGCGGAACAAAACTCCGTATTGGCAACAGGAAGGACATCCGGCCAGTAAACTCTCTGCTAGCTCCATTCGATTGCCCAGATTCCACCCCGCAAGGGATTATGGGGTCATTAAAAGAAGATGATGATTCTGTTGGAAGGTGTTTTCAAGCCTACTCTCTTATGGGAAGAATAAGAATGTTATTCCAGTGTTGATCTGGACATTCAACAGCCACTCTACCCAAAATCTGAACTGAATCCCCTTTCCAAACGGAATTGAAAATCCAGATCAAATGATTAAAGTTGACCCCCTCCTTTTCTCAAGTCTGTTAGAATCAGAGAGAAAAATCAGAACGACTGGATTTGACACACGCAGCTGAAACTGTGAATTTGACTTGATTTTTGAAAGGGATCAGATTCACCCATGTATCCCTGGTTGTCGGTGGAAGCAGAGGGCTTGGGAAAAGAGCTGGGAAAAAAGATGGGAAAAGAGATTCTGATAATGAGGCCAGAATGCAAACCCTGTGACTTAATATATGCATTATGGAGTCAGACCCAGATTGGCAGGGCCATTGTGAGTTTCTGGACCTCTGCCCAGGCATACCGCAAAGGCTTTGTCCTTGTGATCCTGGTGAAATCTGGCTTGACTTCTTGTTTGCACTGTTGCGGTTTAAGGTGGAAGAGAACTTTGAACCTTTTATCTTGTGGTTTTTCTGGATGCACCTGATCGGCTGCTCTGTGACATTGAAAGCTAGACTTGAATTTTGGTCTGATCTTGCCAGGTTCTTCTTAAATTTTTTTTTTTTTAAATTTGATTTATATGCCGCCCTTCTCCGGAGACTCAGGGCGGCTTACAATGCGTTAAACAATAGCCTTCATACTTTTTGTATATATTTATACAAAGTCCGCTTATTGCCCCCACGAACTGGGTCCTCAACTTACCTCCCTTAGAAAGGATGGAAGGCTGAGTCAACCTTGAGCCTGGGGAGATTCGAACTTACTAATTGCAGACAGCTGGAGTTAAATTACAATGCATTAGTCTGCTGAGCTATCCAGGCTCCTATATATTTTATAGAGAACCTCCAAACTCATTTGCAGGGTTCTTTTTCCAGAACGTTTGCTAGGGACCAAAGTAGGGAGTGGATTCTTGTCTGTATCTCCAAAAAAAAAAACAAAAAAAACAACCCAACCCAACAACAACAACAACAAAACCCACGAAACCACATATTTCTTTATGTGGTGGAACCACCAACTGAAGGAGAGAATGTCACAATAGGTGGCTTAAAAGACCTTCCATCTTAGAGTCCATTCAAAGGAGAAAATGTTTGAGGTGAAACCCTTAAAGTCTATACCTGCCATTTCCCAAGAGAAGGCAGAAAATCTGGCAAGATTCTTGTAAGCAGGTGGTCAACAATAAAGAAATTTACTTGACCCATTGTCAGAGTTTTTCTGGTTGCTGTCCTAACACTATCTGTGCTGAGTCTTTTCTACCTTCTATTTCAGTCACTTCGACAAGTGAGAATGAATGAAATTTTGCTGGACTATTCTCGCGATGCTGCCCTTATTTTCATGTAAGTAAGAGAAGTCACCAATGAATAAATCCGACTCTTTAGGAGTTTCTAGGGGTGGAAACTGTGTAGGAAAAGCCATTGGAGGAGTGTGTTGGCTTAGTCTGGAAATTGAGTCATGGCAACTGAGCTTAATTTTTGGGAGTTTGAGATACACTTCGCTGCCCATCGAAGCAGCTTCTTCAGTCTGAACAATAATTCCAGTTGCCATCACTCAATTTCCAGACAATGACTGAGAATCTTCACTGACATATTGCCATGCACTTTGGAGAAGAAAACTTGAGAGTGCAGAGAAGGGCAACAAAGATGATTTTGGGGCTGGAGGCTAAAGCATACGAAGAACGGTTACAGGAATTGGGTATGTCTAGTCTAATGAAAAGAAGGAGTAGGAGAGACATGATAGCAATGTTTCAATATTTGAGGGGCTCCTACAAAGACAGGGAGGGTCAAACTATTTTTCAAAGCACCAAAAGGCAAGACAAGAAACAATGGATGGAAACTAACCAAGGAGAGAAGCAACCTAGAAGTAAGAAGAAATTGTCTACTGGTGAAAGCAATCAACCAGTCGAACCTTCAGAAGTTGTGAGTGCTTCATCACTGGAGGCTTTCAAAAAGAGACTGGACAATCATTTATCTGAAATGGTAGAGGGCCGTGATGGCGAATCTTTTCCGGACTGAGTGGCCAAAGGGCGTGTAAACGTGCGCAAATGCGTGCGTACGTGGCTGAATCCCCAAAATGCAATGCACATGGGCCCCGCACATGGGCCCTGCCCACACACATGCATTTGTGGTCCCTTGCATGTGTCCTACCACCTGTGCATGCATGTGCCCCACCCCCTGCACATGTGCATGGCCCCCCACACGCACCCACATGCCCCCTCCCCCCACGCATTGACGTGCAGCCCCCTGCATGCACCCCACCTCCCACATGCATCCCGCCCCCACGCATGCGCAGCAGAGATGACCAGCTGGCCTGTAGGAGGCACACATGTATCCGTGGCGGAGCTGAACTGGGGCGATGGGTCTCATGCCCACAGAGAGGGCACTGTGTGCCACCTGTGGCATGAGCAACATAGGTTTGCCATCACGGGTGTAAAGTCTCCTGCCTTGAGCAAAGGGTTGGACTAGAAGACCTCCAAGGTCCCTTCCAACTCTATTATTTTATGTTCTATGTTTTATGGTGCAGGAATACCCCTAAGAATTTTAGGAGTTTGCAAAGTCCACTGACTCTGCCTATTCCTCTAACCAACATTATTCAGACTGAAGAAGCTGCTTGGATGGGCAGCGAAACAACTCAAACCCACACAAAAATTAGTAGAGTTGCCATGGCTCAACTTCCAGACAAGACAACCTAGATGTCCTGCCCCAGCTACGGACCCCAAAGAACGCAGCACACACAAAGTTTGTACAAAACTTAATTTACTAAAATAACTCAGTCTGTTTCAAAACAAAAGCTGTTAATAAACTTTCTTAACAGCCTACAAGAAACCAAAGATAAAGTAATCACAATCTTACTAAGGTTGGCAGAAAGCCCAGAAGCAATTTGCAGGGAATCCAGCTGGCGCTCGAGTCGGACAGCGAGGAGGCTGGTGTGGTGCTGCACCAGCAGCCTGTGCAGCTGGCACTCGAGTCGGACAATGGGGAGGCTGGAGAAGATGTGGTGCCAGAGACAGGGATTCAGCCAGGGCCTTCAGAACCTCCAGAAGCTCTCATAAGTGAAGAGGATGAAGAGGAGGAGCCTCTTCTCAATGCACGGGTGTGCAGAGCTGCCAAAAGGCAGGAGATGCTCCTCAGGAGGAGGTCTCCTCAAGAGTAAGGCTTGGGGCTAATTGGCCACTCCCTTAGCCTATTTAAGGAGGAACGCCGCTTGCAGCAAGCTGTAGGGAACAACTTTAGTTCACTCTCCTTTGCGTTTGCATTCTCTGCAAAACTGCTTCTGGGTTTTCTGCCAACTCTAGTAAGACTGTGATTCCTTATCTTAGAATTCTGGTAGGCTGTTAAGACAGTTTATTAACAGCCTTTGATTGATAAAGACTAAGTTATTTGAGTAAAATAAGCTTTGTATAGAGTTTGTGTGTGCTGCGTTCTTTGGGGTCCGTAGCTGGGGCAGAAGAGTTAGATTCATGATAGACAAACACAAACTTGTTTTCTTTCTCCTGTTCCTTGTCACTATTTTCAGAACTATGCCAGTTGGCCGTAAGGGATGTCCCAGTAGCCTGTACATGGCTTGGCTGGAGACCCTCTCGCAAGATCTGAGGTCTCCCATGATTCTGATCAGAGGCAACCAGGAAAACGTCTTGACTTTTTACTGTCAGTAGGACCTTCTTGGGCCAGGGAGCATTGCAACCTGGAGAAGAAATTTCCAGCCTGATCCTGCTTTGCTGGTGAGCTATCAAGAGGCTGCATTGCAGGGATGAAGGCCAAGAATAAAAGACCAATGGTGGAAAACATGTTTTGTTGGGTTGTAAGAATCCTCTTCTTCAGAACTCTTAACATTGCAATATTGGCTGGATTTGTTCCTTGTGCTGAATCATGGCTTTAGGATGGGCTTGTTTAATCATGGTTGGAAAAAGAAGCTGCAATTGGAGGGCTTCACATAAACAGGCCACGTCATTAATTTGGAATGGTTAAGATTTGAAGGTCTCCCAAAGCAACATTGACTACATCTGAATGAATTTCATTAGCACTGGCATTTAATTAAAATTGAATATACAGTAGCTGGAAAGCACATATATTAGTGAATAATTTCACTAATAATACATTGGTATCTGTTCACAGATACTGCATATTCATCTTGAATACTGAATCAACCCATTTCCTGGATTCTTGTACTACGCCGAATCCAGAGGTGGGTTTCAGCAGGTTCTGACCAGTTCTGGAGAACCGGTAGCAGAAATTTTGAGTAGTTTGGAGAACCGATAGTAAACATCCTGACTGGCCCCACCCCCATCTATTCTCGGCCTCCTGAGTTCCAGCTGATCGGGAGGAAATGGGGATTTTGCAGTAACCTTCCCCTGCCATGCCCACCAAGCCATGCCATGCCCACCAAGCCATGCCACGCCCACCAAGCCACACCCACAGAACTGGTAGTAAAAATTTTTGAAACCCATCACTGGCCAAATTATAAAATAATTTAATGAGCTGTACTCATCCACTTGGTATGAGCCACCCAAGAAATAATCAAGATTAAAATTCAACAAACTAAGCCTATTGTACGTATATAGCAGTTCGTTCTTGATCTGACTTGTTTAGTTTATGGTGCCCAAAGATGACACTTTTAAGCAATTTTTAGAAATCAGAGGGATCAGATCAGGCCCTTTGATCTTCTAGTTGTATTTCTTTGCATTACGCCAGAGGTGGTATTCAGCCGGTTCGCACCTGTTTGGACGAATCGGTAGCGATAGCGGGTGGGCCCGCCCCGCCTCCCTGCCCCCGCCTCCCTGCCCCCGCCTCCCTGCCCCCCTGCCCCAACTCCAAATTATGCTATTTAGGCACATTTTTAATGTCGGGCACATGCGCATGAGTGAGCAAAGCACACGCACGGAAGGCCGGGTGCATGCATGGACACAGTGCGCATGAAGCGAGCGTGCGCATGCAGGGCGAAACAGTGGTCAAGGTAAGTGAAAACCACCCCTGCATTATGCTAATATACTAAAAAAAACGGGTGAAATGCTCCCGGTTCGGACTGGATCGCCCGATCCGGTAGCGATGGCGGTGGGTGGTTCGGAGAACCAGTAGCAAAAATCCCTGCCCCCCCATGCCCAGCTGAGCCGCACGATTATCAGAGGCTTTTTTTTTTGTTTTACTTTTAAAAGCATTTTTTCTCTTCGGCCGAAAAAATGCTTTTGAAAGTAAAAAAAACCTCTTCAGCCGAAGAGGTTGTAAAAAAATGCTTTTAAAAGGCTCTGACCATCAGGCAACTCAGCTGGGTTTTAAAAGGCTCTGAGGATTCCAGCTGAGTTGCCTGATCATCGGAGGCTTTTAAAAGCATTTTTTCTACCACCTCTTCAGCTGAAGAGGTGGTAGAAAAAATGCTTTTAAAAGTTAAAAAAAAAAAAAGTTGGCCACGCCCACCCAGTCACATTACCCCCCCCCCCCACAAGCCACGTCCACAGAACCGGTAGTAACAAATTTTACATTTCACCACTGCAAAAAACCTCTAGTGCTAAGTGTGAAACCACACAGGACATCACACTGGGCTGACTGGGTTTGGGGTAGAATGGAGCATCAAGAGCTTTCCTTGGGATTTGAACATGGGATTTCCTAAGCAGTGCCTCTCACCCAGAGCGCCAAATCAATATAATTTCCATGATATTGCTCTATTTGTTTACATTGAGTTTACAGTTCCTCAGTGAGCCAGCAGGGGGCAGCAGGTCCTAGAAGTTCAATATATTTTGTCCTGAATTCCATAATTCAGGCTGTCTCCTCTCACTCATCATCACACCCAGTGGTGGGATTCAAATAATTTAACAAGCGGTTCTCTGCCCTGATGATTTCTTCCAACACCCAGTTCACCAAACTGCTCAGAAAGTTAACAACCGGTTCTCCCGAAGTGGTGCGAACTGGCTGAATCCCATCACTGATCACACCCCAAATGTTAGCAGATTGTGCACTTTCAGCCTGGTTTTAGATGCCTATTACATAAGCATTTTATTTACCCGCCAGGTGAGAATATGAAGGGCATTGGCTTTCTTTTGCCTAAAAAACCCCCAACTTCTAGCAACTTATATATTCAAAAATCAAAATGCTTGTGTTTGCACAATACAACAGTAGGTTACATGAATAGCAAATGAATGGAACCCCAACAGACCAGATATAAATACCTTGGGGTGCAGTTCCAGGCTTCTTTATCTTAGAGCAGGGGTCTCCAGCCTTGGCAACTTTAAGTCTGGCGGGCTTCAACTCCCAGAATTCCCCAGCCAACTTCTGGGAATTGAAGTCCTCCAGGCTTAAAGTTGCCAAGGTTGGAGACCCCTGTCTTAGAGGACACAGGTCTCTTATCGGGCAAGTGTGCTTCTTTGGACACTAGGTGAAGACCAGGGGTGAAATGTAAAATTTGTTACTACCGGTTCTGTGGGCATGGCTTGGTGGTGGTGGGGTAATGTGACTGGGTGGGCATGGCCAATTTTTTTTTAAGAAAAAAACTTTTCAAAGCATTTTTTTCTACCTCTTCGGCCAAAGAGGTTGCAAAAAAATGCTTTGAAAAGCCTCTCTGACAATCAGGCAACTCGGCAGGGATCATCAGAGAGGCCTTTAAAAAATCGCTTTTAAAGAAATGCTTTTAAAAGCCTCTCTGACGATCAGGCAACTCAGCTGGGATCATCAGAGGCTTTTCAAAGCATTTTTTTACCACCTCTTTGGCCAAAGAGGTTGCAGAAAAAAATGCTTTGAAAAGCCTCTGACGATGTCACTAGGAGGCAACAATGATTTTAAAAGCATTTTGAGGTGGAAGAGGTTGTAGAAAAAATGCTTTTAAAAGTAAAAAAAAAAAAGCCTCTGATGATCGTGCAGCTCAGCTGGGCATGGTGGGGGGGGGGGCAGGGATTTTTGCTACCGGTTCTCCGAACCACCCGCCGCCATTGCTACCGTATCGGGCAATCCAGTCCGAACCGAGAGCATTTCATCCCTGGTGAAGACCTAGCAACTCTCTGGAAAAGACTCTAAAAGGCTGGGAAAGATGGAAGGAAAGAGGAGAAGAAGAGGACAACCAGCAACAAGGTGGATGAACTCAGCTATCATGGCGATGGGGAGTGTTGTTGGAAGAGCTGAAGGATCAGCCTAGGGATACATCGTCATGGAGAAAATCTTTGTAGTTGCTAGGAGGCAACAATGATTTGGTGGCATCTAAACAATCAATCTCTCAGATGTCTTGGTAGAATGGGAAGTCCTCTCATAGAGCTTCCCTTGCTGAAGATTTGATGAAATTTAAGTTCTGTAGGAGCTGGGAAAGATCTCCCTAGGAGATCTCCCAATGAGAAGAGAGGACTCCTTGGAGAAGACCCTGATGTCGGCAAAAGGAGAAGGGGACGGCAGAGGATGAGATGGTTGGATAGTGTCATCGATGCAACGAACATGAATTTGAGCAAACTCTGGGAGACAGTGGAGGATAGGAGGGCCTGGCATGTTAAGGGTTATGGTGTTGTCAAGGTCGAGCATGACTTAGCAACTGAACAACAACAAAATTGAGGACCCAGTCATGGGGGCAATAAGCTGACTTTGTATAAATATACAAAAGGATGAAGGCTATTGCTGAGCACATTGTAAGCCGCCCTGAGTCTCCGGAGAAGGGCGGCATATAAATCAAATTAAAAAAATAAAAAAAAAATGAAGTTTTTGCAGGAAGCAGCTGATTGACTCGGTACCATCTCAGGTGTTGTAACTGGAGCAACATTTTGTTATCCCTTGTTCACACAACAAACTCTATATTTCTGTTTCTTCTATGACATGGCCTTCTTGTTTGAAGGGGAAAAAAAAGACAGATAATCCTTGTTTAATAACCCAAAGGTGCTTTTTTTTTTTTTACGAGGCAACCAGACTTTCTGATTTTTCTTTGAAGACGTTCCGCTTCTTATTATTCTTATTATTTTCTATGAAGACGCTTTTTCAAGAGGCAACTGGATATTCTGGTTTTTCTTCGAAGACGTTTGGCTTCTCGTCGCTTCTTCGGCTCAGAGCTTCTTGGAAAAGAAGCAAAAGGTCTTCAAAGAAAAACCAGAAAGTCCAGTTGCCTCCTGAAAAAGTACCTTTGGGATGAAGGATGACCTGGATGACTCAGAAGCTCCATAGACACTTGTTTAACAAACCTAAGTGGGACCAGCAACTAAGTGCTAATAAGTGAAGTGATTGCTAACTGAGGACCACAATTATGCTTTCTGGCTGGAAAAAGACAGACTAGTTGTTTTTCACCTTCAGCTTTTGTTTGCCCACTGACCTCTCCTCTGCCCTCCCGAAGGCTCATGTGCCCTGCTTGTTGTCTTGCACAACACAAAGCAATGTTTTTAACAGATTAAGAGAGTTGGAAGGGACCTTGTAGGTCATCTAAGAGCCTGGTGGCGCAATGGACTAACTGCTGTTAAAGTAGCACTTAGTTGCCAGCTGCCTGCAATTACTGCAAATTCAAATCTCACCAGGCTCAAGGTTGACTCAGCCTTCCATCCTTCCGAGGTAGGTAAAATGAGACCCGGATTGTGGGGGCAATAAACTGACCTTGTATAAAAAAGAACATCGCTTAGGGGGGCCCCGAAAGCCCTACTAAGCAGATATATACAAAAGTATGAAGGCTATTGCTTAATGCATTGTAAGCCACCCTGAGTCTCCGGAGAAGGGCAGCATATAAATCAAACTAATCAATCAATCAATCAATCAATCAATCAATCTAATCTAACCCACCGCCTAAGCAGGAGACCCTACAACATTTCTGACAGATGGCAGTCTAGTCTCTTGAAAGCCTCCAGGGATGAAGCTCCCACAACTTCTGGAGGCAACTTCTGTTCCATGGGTTGATTGTTCTCACTGTCAGAAAATGTCTCCTTATGTAGCAGAGGGGAGGAGACGGAGCGCAAGAGAAGGAAAGAGGGACTTGGCTGGAGGAAAATAAAAATGGGAAGCTGGGAGAGAGGAGGTGAGACCTGGAGAAAAGGGGGGATAAAGAAAAATAAGAGCATAGGATGGCAGAGGTTTTTTTTTTTTTTTTTAATTTGATTTATATGCCGCCCTTCTCCGGAGACTCAGGGCGGCTTACAATGCGCTAAGCAATAGCCTTCATACTTTTGTATATTTATACAAAGTCAGCTTTATTTGTGGGACAAGCCTGAGGGAAATAAGGGATAGGATAGCAGAGGCTTCTGTGTAGCTCCCAGTGGGAAGGATCCCAGGCAAGCTGCGTGCTCAGAGCTTCCCTGGCGGCACTCTCAGCCCCGCCATCTTGGCAGCGCCATGCACCGGCTGGGGAACAGCTGTCTCGCCAGGGAACGGGCCGGTAACTAAGAGGCATGCTGGCCCTCTTGGAAAAAATGGGGGGGGAGCATGCTGGGGGGGGCACGCTCATGCACAGTGCAGGGCACATGTGCAGAGGGAGTGGGGGGTGTTGTGCGTGCATGCGCAAATGGGGGCATGCATTGCATTATGGGTGCCGGCACGAAGGAGCACGACAGCGCTTGCGTGCTCAGACTTTTGGCACGCAATGCCATCACTTATGTAGGGTCTCCTGCTTGGGTGGGGGGTTGGATTACATGATCTTTCAACTCTGTTAATCTGTAAACTCTCTTATTCTATGTAATTTAGCGCGTAATTTAAGGCTAAACATTAGGAACCTTTTTTTCGTGCTCCACAACATTTCCATTAAGCATTTCTATGAAAAGAGCCTTGGTAGTACAGTGGTCTAAGGCACCCTGTTATTAAGCTGGTTATTAAGACCAGCTGCCTGCAATTACTGCAGGTTCGAATCTCGCCAAGGCTCAAGGTTGACTCAGCCTTCCATCCTTTCTAAGGTAGGTAAATTGAGGACCCGGTTTGTGGGGGCAATAAGCTGACTTTGTATAAATATACAAAAGGATGAAGGCTATTGCTTAGTGTATTGTAAGCCGCCCTGAGTCTCCGGAGAAGGGCGGCATATAAATCAAATTCAAAAAAAAATGGGGCACTTGGGACCTCTTCCTGATGGCCATACATGACTCAAAGACTTCAGGTAACCATACCTGACCCCCAAAAGACATGAAATACTCTCCAAATCAAATTGGAACAAAAGCTCTATTACTATTTCTTTGGCTACTTGTTCAGTCCCAAACATGATCCTATTATGATCAACCATCAACCATCAAACCAGAGATAGAAGGGAGCTTGGGAACTTCTAGTCCAACATCCTGCTCAAGCAGGAGACTCTGTACCATTGTAAACAAAAGCTTTTAAGTATCTTCTTAAAAGGCCCTGGTGTTGGAGCACCCACAACTTCTGAAGGCAAGCTGTTCCATTGGTTGGTTTTTCTCACTGTCAGGAAATTTCTCCTTAGTTCTAGGTTGCTTCTCTCTTTGTTTAGTTTCCATCCATTGCTTCTTCTCTTGCCTTCTGGTGCTCTGGAGAATAGGTTGACTCCCTCTTCTTTGTGGCAACCCCGTAAATAATGGAAGATTGCTAGCACGTCACCCCTTCTTTTCACCAGACTAACCATTCCAAATTCCTGCAACTGTTCTTTGTATGTTTTAGCCTTCAGCCCCCCGCCCAATCAACTTTGTTGCCCTTCTCTGCTACTCCAGTGTTACCAAAGATGACACCAGATTTAACCACATTTCAAATTTTTCCTACTAGTTTCTTGGGATTGAAAAGCAGAATTCTCTAGTTATTCTATCATTATTGAGTTGTTGTCCTTGCAGTGTCATTTTCTACCTTTCATTTTTATTTCTTGTTATGTATGTTATACAGGTAGTCCCAGTGGTGGGTTGCCCCCGGTTCGGACTAGTTTGCAAGAACCGGTAGTAAAACTGCACTCGTGCCAAAGCAAGAAAGTAAAAAATAATTCCTTTCGATAAGAGCGCATAGAAATAGTCAGAGAAGGCGAACCACCCAACTGTATTTTAACAAGATGCAAATTCTTTTGATAGAATAGAATAGAATTCTTTATTGGCCAAGTGTGATTGGACACACAAGGAATTTGTCTTTGGTGCATATGTTCTCAGTGTCCAAAACAGAAAAGATACATTCGTCAGGAATCATAAGGTACAACACTTAATGATAGTCATAGGTAATAAGCAATCAAATCGTACTAAGAAACAAATAAAACAATATAAATTGTAAAGATACAAGCAACATTGTTATAGTCATAAGTGGGAAGAGATAAGTACTAGGAAGGATGAGAAGAATAATAGTAATACAGTCTTAGCAAATAATTTGACAGTGTTGTGGGAATTATTTGTTTAGCAGAGTGATGGCATTCAGGGGAAAAACTGTCCTTGTGTCTAGTTGTTCTGGTTGTGCAGTGCCCTATAGCGTCGTTTGGAGGATAGGAGTTGAAACAGTTTATGTCCAGGATGTGAGGGGTCTGTAAATATTTTCACAGCCCTCTTTTGACTCATGCAGTATACAGATCCTTAATGGAAGGCAGGTTGGTAGCCATTTTATTTTCCTGCAGTTCTAATTATCTGTTGAAGTCTGTGTCTGCCTTGTTGGGGGTTCTGCCCCAGCTCCAGATTCCCAAGGATTGTGACACACACCAATGGTCCTTATCAAAGTTATAACGTACCAAGAATAAACAAAGTCCGGCAAAGGTTGGCAACCAGCCCAGAAAACAAGATACGATAAGACACTCACTCTCCAAAATGCTCTGATGTTTCTGCAATTCTGTCTGCTTTGTGTGTCTGAAACTCTGGGATATGCAGGCTGCTATCATCATCAGGGTTTGCTCTAGGAGTCCTTTCCTTATGACTTAAAAAAAGGCATAATTCTCTCAGGTTCTGCTACCATGATAATGGAGGCCCTTTGGCTACAAATAGTCCAAGTCTTTCTGCTCAGACTTTACACCTTTAGAGGCACAAAAACTCGGAAACAATTGGAACAAAGATCCAAACACGTTCAGGAAGTCATGTCTTTCTAAAAATCTAAGATCAACAGAAAGAAATCGTGTAAATCCAACTCTTAGGGGTGTGGACATGCTGCAACAGGAAAAGGGCAGTGTTTATCTAGCAATTCTGTACAAGAAGATCTGGAGATTCTTGGATAAGATCAGTTCTTCTCTGGTGTAAGGTAGAAGAATCTGGCTCTGGCCTTGAGAAGGGGATAAAAGACATGAACACTTATGTAAATCTGAGAAAGTAGAAAGTGTGGGAACAACACTTTGCTGCCCGTCTAAAGAGGCCATGAAGGAGGATGAAGAGACTTTCAAGAGATGAAGGGACTTTCAATACATCCTCCAAATAAAGTAGCATTTCTGAAATCCTAATGGTGTCTGGCCTGGCCTTGCTTGTCTGGCTGCCTGGCAAAGATCAAGGCAAGTTAGCCCCCAGAAGAGAAGAGTCCCTTTGACACCTCCCCTGCATATCTCCCCCACCCTGTACAGGAAGCAGATTCTCTTGACAGGAAGAGCCATTTGATAAAGAAGCTATGGACTCTGCTCTTCTCCATTCTTCCTTCCAGTAACCTTAAACAAAGAGAAAAGAGACAAAGAAAACGAATTTCATCTCCATGATAAACAAGACTGATTATCCACTGAAAAATGTGGCATGAGATAGCGCTTTATTTATGTATTTTAAAAATGATCTTGTGGTGAATTTGAAGTAAAGAAGACCTCCAGCTGTTGGAGAGAATCAGTTGCCTTGCAGATCCTCACTTCGATCTACCCACTTGGCTGGCGACATTTCAGCAACACCTTAAAGCAAGATGGGGATTGTGTAACCCCAAAGTGTGGTGTGAAATCCGGAGCTTGGGATTTGTCTGGCCACAATAGCTGGAAATTTCTGAGAATGCTGGTGAAGATGAGGAAGAGCTCCATCCGAGCCAAGTTTTCCCCTAAGCAGACTCTCGGTCCTGAAAAGGCAAAGTGAAGAACAAAGAGAGAAGTCAATCCAATCGCTGAAGTCTGGCAACCAATTGCAACTGCCGAACCTGTTTGTTTCTCGAAACTATGATCCCAAATCTCATGAGATTTCCAAACTTGGTAACAGTTCTTTTGCATTCTTTCCTTCTCTAAAAGATTTATCTTCCAGGCCTCTATGAAGCACACCTCATATGATTTAGACTTTAAAAAGAAGTTGAGACTCCGGAAAGAGTGCAGAAAAGGGCAACAAAGATGATTAAGGACCTGGAAGTTAAAATATATGAAGAAGAGTTGCAGGTATTGGGTATGTCTATTCTAATGAAAAGAAGGACTAGGGTGGACAATGATAGCAGTGTTCTAAAATTTGAAGGGCTGCCACAAAAAAGAGGGGGTCAAACTATTCTCCAAAGCACTAAAAGGTAAGACAAGAAACAACGGATAGAAACTAATCAAGGAGAAAAGCAACCTAGAACTAAGGAGAAATTTCCTAACAGTGAGGACAATTAACAACCAAAGGAATGGCTTGCCTTCAGAAGTTGTGGATGCTCCATCACTGAAGGTTTTTAAGAAGAGACTGGACAATGACTTGCCTGTAATGGTATAGGGCCGTGATGGCAAACCTATGGCATGCGTGCCATAGGTGGCACACAGAGCCATATCGGTGGGCACACAAGCTCAGCTCCGGCGCACATGCACACGCCGGCCAGCTGATTTTTGTGCCTTCTGGGCCCCCTGGAAGTCGGCAAACAGGCTGTTTCCGGCCTCCAGAGGGCCTCCAGGGGGCTGGGAAAGACCGTTTTCACCCTCCCCAGGCTCCTAGAAAGGCTCTGGAGCCTGGGGAGGGCGAAAAATGGGCCTACAGGGCCCACCGTGCCATTGCGTGCCAAAAGCGGGGAAAACGTGGGGGGGGGTCGCGCACACATGCCCGGAGTGGGGCGCATAGAATTATGGGTGTGGGCATGCACACGCGCGACTCCCCCGTGCTCCCCCCACTTTTGGCACGCGATGGCAAAAAGGTTAGCCATCACTGGTATAGGGTCTCCTGCTTGAGTACACCTTTCATGGTCCAGGACCAGGTGTTCTGGAATGACCATATTCAACATGATTACCTGTGTTTCTTTTAAACCCCATTTTCCTATAGGATGCTGAATTATAAACTGAGCCCAAGTGCTGACTTTCACAAGTCTCTAAAGAAAGGTTTCCACTAAAAGTGTGTGTGTGTGTGAGAGAGAGAGAGGGAGGGAGGGAGGGAGGGAGGGAGGGAGGGAGGGAGAGGGAGAGAGAAATACTCACACACAGAGAGAGAAATACAGAGAGAATAATTCACCTGCTGAAAATGCCAAAAAGGCTTCCGGCTTCACAAACTCTCCCTCTTCATTCAGGAAGTTGGAGGGGTTGAACTCATGTGGGAACTTCCACTGAGATTCATCACGATGGGCAGACTGGATATTGACAAAAACCATGGTGTCCTGCAGAAGCCAAGACAAGCACACAACGAAGATATTGAACTATAATCCTATGGCGCTCCCATAAAATGAGATTCAAAAGGAAGACTCCCTTTGATCTCAATCTCTTGCTTTCTCTTGCTCTTACATGCAAACCGCCTCAGGTGAGGAAGACACAGGTCTTCTTATTTATTTATTTATTTATTTATTCATTCATTCATTCATTCATTCATTCATTCATTCATTCATTCATTCAATTTATATACCGCCCTTCTCCCGAAGGACTCAGGGCGGTGAACAGCCAGAATAAAATACATGTAATACAAATATTAAAAACATTTAAAATATATTAACTACTATGGCCCCAAAAAACAATTTAAAACCAATTCTAAAACCCAATTTAAAGTTTAAAACAATTTAAAAGAGGTTAGGCCAGGCCAGCCTGCTGGAAAACGAACTTATTAAGGGCACGGCGGAACGCGCGCAGATCTGGGATGTTCCGTATCTCCGGGGGGGGGAGCTCGTTCCAGATGGCAGGTGCCCCCACAGAGAAGGCTCTCCCCCTGGGGGCCGCCAGCCGACATTGTTTGGCCGACAGCACCCTGAGAAGTCCCTTTCTATGGGAGCGTACTGGTCTGTGAGAGGCTACTGGTGGCAGAAGGCAGTCTCGTAGGTACCCTGGCCCTCCCGGAAGACCACCGGGAGTCAGTGCAGCTCGCGCAGGAGGTGGGCCCTATGCCAATCAGTGGTGGGTTTCAAAAATTTTTACTACCGGTTCTGTGGGTGTGGCTTGGTGGGCATAGCTTGGTAGGCATGGCAGGGGAAGGATACTGTAAAATCTCCATTCCCTCCCCACTCCAGGGGAAGGATACTATAAAATCACCATTCCCACCCCACTCCAGGAGAAGGATACTGTAAAATCTCCATTTCCTCCCAATCAGCTGGGACTCGGGAGGCAGAGAATAGATGGGGGCAGGGCCAGCCAGAGGTGGTAAAATCTATTGCAGTGCTTTGGACATAAATAGACTGGGGGGGAAATAATTCCAAACAGTTGTAACATTTGTGTAGCCCAGTCAAATCATGGTGGTTTCAACTCTTCTATTCCTGGGCTGATTCTGCTGTAGAACACAGAGCTCTCTGGCAGTGGTGGGATTCAATTTTTTTTACTACCTGTTCTGTGGGCATGGCTTGGTGGGCGTGGCAGGGGAAGGATACTGTAAAATCTCCATTCCCATCCCACTCCAGGGGAAGGTTACTGCAAAATCCCTATTTCCTCCCAATCAGCTGGGACTCGGGAGGCAGAGAATAGATGGGGGCAGGGCCAGCCAGAAGTGATATTTTCCGGTTCTCCGAACTACTCAAAATTTCCGCTACCGGTTCTCCAGAACTGGTCAGAAGCTACTGAAACCCACCTGTGATGCAGATTCATCAACACCTCACTACCTGAAAAACAATTAAAGGTTTCTTTCTTTCTTTTTTTACCTTGGGAATTTTATATCGGAAAAACTGCACATCTGTAATGGAGGCATGAGGAATTCCAAGAGGAGCAACATTTGAAACACGTTGGATTTCGTGAATGACGGCATTGGTGTAGGGCAACTTTTTCCTGTCTTCATACTTCACAATTGCCTTGTTTCCTACCACCATGTCTATTTCCTTCCAGCATTTCTCTGAGGAACAAATAGCTCAGTTATCTTCTGTAAAATGTTTCATTGACTTTAAGTAGACATTGGTTTATTTTCACCAGAAATGATGAGAGTGCAGCTCTCTGAGTTCCCAGCCATGATCATGATCCCCCAATTTGGGCCCCTCCCTCATTTACATAATAAATAAAGTCCTTACTATTACAGGTCAAGAACCCTATTTCACAATTCTTTACCTTGGATCTCTGGAAAGGCCATCAAATAGAGCAACGTCCACTGCAGTGTTGACGCCATCGTCTCTGTTCCAGCCACAAATAGGTTAGACAGTAAGATTAGTAGCTGCTCTTCCTCAAAACTTGACCCTTTCCTCTCTGGCTTTTGTAAGTTAAAACAAAGAATGTTATTACAATCAAATGGAAAAAGGACCTTCTCCCACTCTTTAATTCAGTTGATAACTCCAATTTGAAAGCAGGAATTCATTCTGAAAAATAGGACTCAAAACAGAAAGGAAGTAGGGAGATGGGAAAATAGCTGTTGTAGCTCAGACGATGAGGAGGTTGGGGAAGAACTTGGGCCAGTTCTGGATCCTGATGGATGACACAAAGATAGAGCCAGGGCCATCTGGCATTTCCCAGCCACTGGAGAGGAGCTGCCTTTGGAGTCAGAGATGAGTGAGGAGGAGGAACAGCTGGGGCCTGTTCCAGAAGCACAAATGCGCAGAGCAGTTAGGAGAGTTGAACAATGGAGGACAAGGAGTCAACTTGGGAAGCAAAGCAAATGTGAACGCTGAATGGCTCCTCCCTGGCTGGGGAATAAATAGGAGGAACAGGGAGTGGTTTGGTTGCCACAGACAACCATTCACATTTCCGGAAAGTTTGCTCCTTGTGTGTTTTGTGTGACAAAGACTGCCTTGCCAGAACTGAGGTTTGTCTATTTCTCTGTTTGAACTGAGTTAATTTGCAGCCTCCCGGCTGGGAGCTCACAATCTTGCATTTATCATAATGAACTGATAAGGACTATTATTTCAGTTAACTTCTTGCCTGGACTTTCTGTTGGTGAATGCAGTTAATTCCCAATGTGTAAATAAAGAGGGTTTTTTTCTTTGTGGGGGAGTCTGTTTCTTGCTTCTGCAAAGGCCGGCAACTTCTCCTGCTGACAACCCTTCCCAATGAAGTTTGGGGAGAGATTGAGGGTCCCTCAGAAGATCCTCCAGAGCTGGCATGTTTCCTTTCCTCCTAGTCCTGATGGAAAGGTCTGCCCTAGTCAGTTGGGGTATGGACAGCATGCAAAGCACAAGGACATGGCTCCAGGGGTGAGCTGCTGGGGGTTTGAAGGGGTTCGGGAGAACCTCTAGCTAAGATTCTGTGCATTTCAGAGAACCCCCAAATCCCACTCCTGGCTGGCCCCACCCACCCTACCCTGCCCCTCCCAGGAGTCCCCACGCGCCCATTTTGGATGGAGGTAAGTTCAGGGTGCGTATGGAGGCTCAGGGAGGGCGAAAAATGGGCCTACCGGAAGATCCAGAGAGCCTCCGGAGCCTGGGGAAGCTGTTTTCACCCTCCCAGAGGCTTGAGGAAAGCCTCTGGAGCCCGGGGAGGGCAAAAATGTTCCTCCCCCCGCCGTGGTGCAGGAGGCTGACTAGGCCACGCCCACCATGGCCACACCCACCCAGCACAACTGAGTAGAGAATCCTTTGCTAAAATTTTTGAAACCCACCCCTGCATGGCTCCGCTCACACAACATGTCATCCAAGCCAGGGGTGTCAAACTCAAGGCCTGGGGCCTGGGGCTCAGGGCCCAGATCTGTCCTGTGAAATGCTTATATCTGGCCCGCAGGACTGCCCTGGAAACAGCAAAAGACCAGCCCACATTGCCTCTGCCAGTGAAAATGGAGCTCCATTTTAGCTGGCATGGGGTTTCAGGAGGCCATTACAACTGAAAACAGAGCTCAGGAGGTCCTTTTCGCTGGCAGAGTGCTTGGACCACCAGAAGCGCCCCCAACATGAGTGACGTCAAGCTGGCCATGCCCACCCTGGCCCCCACCCACCCACTGAGGTCAGACACAAAACTGATGTGGCCCTCAATGAAATCGAGTTTGACACCCCTGATCCAGGCGGAAAGAAGATTTGGCACAACATCTAGAAAAGTCCCGATATCAACGTTTTTGTGATATTTTCAGGAGGTTAATGTCAGAAAAATAGATCCAAGGTGAGAGGAAGAGAAATCCCTGCAAATTTAACAGCAGGAAAAGACTGAAGGATCTACAGTACCTTCTGCATTTCTTCTAAATATGCATCAGTGAAATCTCGAGGTTCTCCTACAGTCAAAGTTGCCTTGTGCTCTTCGATCTCTTGTTGAAAGATAGTGTCCATTTTCTTTGTAAGTGTTAATAATTTCTGATGGGGCAGGGGAAGGCTTCTCACAAAGGGCACCTCATTGTAAAGCTACCAGCAAAGAAAAGAAAAGCCAACATTGATTAATTTGATCAAGATCAATATACCCTCCTTTGTAGGATAAATGGAGCAGGAAAAGAAACCCCTTGTAACCTATTTACAATTTGATAGGGACTCAAATGCCCCAATCAGATAAAATTTCAAAAAAATGTCCCAGTGAGGTAAAATTTGCCCTGGTTAAATTTGGATAGCTGCTGTTTTTGACAATTAACTCACACAGAAGCTTCACCCACACTTCCCGTAACTCTGATGAGAAATTATTCCAATTATAAGGAAAATTGGCTGTTCTAGCTGCTAAGAAAACCAGACAGTTTCCAAAATAGGTGAGACATGAAAACTCAAATTCCCACCACCTAATTGCACACTTATTTTGAATATTCTTTTGGATTCTTGTTAAGGATACCAAGGCCCAGGGTCCTGCTATTATTCGGGAATTTTGATGTATCATATCCAGCAGAGTTTTGAGGAAGCCGTTATCATATTCAAAGTGTTTTCCAAATAATATGGTAGACATTATGTTGGCAACTGCAGCGTCCAGAAACCCAAAAGGATCAAAAGGCACATCTGTCAAAGAAAAGAAATTAGTTCCCAATCAATTCATCTGCCTTTATGTTCCTTTATAGGAGTCACAATGTCTATGTAATAAATCCATTCCTGTAATGATAAGGACACACTGTCTGTCTTCTTGCCTGTCTCCCCATCTCTCTCTCCCTTTCTCATCTCTTTCTCATCTATTTACCATCTTTCTGTCTGTCTGTCTGTCTCTTTTTCTCTCTCTCTATCATCTCTCTCTCTTTTTCTCTCTCTCTGTCTCTCTTTCTCTGTCATCTATCATCTCTCTTTCTCTCTCTCTCTCTCTGTCATCCATCCATATCTATCTATCTATCTATCTATCTATCTATCTATCTATCTATCTATCTATCATCTATCATCTATCATCTATCTATCTATCTATCTATCTATCTATCTATCTATCTATCATCTCTCTCTTTCTCTCTCTCTCTTTCTCTCTCTTTCTCTCTCTTTCTCTCTGTCATCCATCCATCCATCCATCCATCCATCCATATCTATCTATCAATCAGATGATGGATGATAGATAGATAGATAGATAGATAGATAGATATATTTCTATCTATCTATCTATCTATCTATCTATCTATCTATCTATCTATCTATCATCTATCAGTCTAATGATCACCATCATCTATCTAATTTATGGACCTGTCCTATTTATCTACCCTGTTCCCCCCAAAATAAGACATCCCCTGATAATAAGCCCAATCGGGCTTTTGAGCACATGGCAGTAAGGCCAAGCACTAATTTCAGGGTTCAAAAAAATATAAGACAGGGTCTTATTTTTGGGGAAACACGGTATCTATCTATCTATCTATCTATCTATCTATCTATCTATCTATCTATCATCCATCATCTATCAGTCTAATGATCACCATCATCTATCTAATTTATGGACCTGTCCATTTTATAAGCCAACGACTCTGGACAGCATACAATTTCAGACAGTGAGAGTGGAAGTTCCTTCTCCAAACTTGTGGGTTGGTTTCCAAATGTTTCATTACCAGGTTAGGTAAAATCTTCAGCTGAATTTAGGGAATGTCAGTGTTGGAGTTCTTCTGATTTTAGACAGTATACAGCAAATGTTGCCCCCTAAGCACCTTTACTGTTTGCAGAGGCATTATCAGAAGAGCACAAAATCAGAGATTTCGGTTCTCTGATCAGCTCACCATGAACTTTGGGCAAAAGAACCACGAAGGTCAAATGGCTTCTGCTATTTTCGATCTTTTTCTAACAAACAAAAATCTTGCTGAAAGCTAAAACAATGTACAACTAAACATTTTAGCCCCGCCAGGTAGTGTAGATCATTAGCAGAAACAGGTATATGAGCTCTAAGGTACAACTGAAAAGACTCCTTGGGGATTATCAATGCAGAGATTATGTCTATGACATTATTATTAATAATATATGTTTTAGAGAAGCTACAAAAATTAGGAGGCAGGCTCCATACACAGGAGGAATTGGTGAAAGAGCAGTCAACAGAACCAGTTTCTCCTCAGGAAAATGTAGGTGATTCAGAACATGAGAAATCCTTGAGAATCCTGCTTTGGATTATGAACTGCAAAATATATTTTCATACTCCAGTCTCAATTTGTTGCTGTGTTAGTCTTAACTCCAGGGCAAGCATACCTTGCTAAGCATGGCATCTATGACTGTTTTTTTTTAATCTAAAATCTTTTGGTGACCATCACATTGCAGAAATGCTCCCAGAGACATCATGAAGCATGGTGGGAGGTAGACCAGTTTCTGAGGGCTAAGAGTATTTCATGAAAATAGAGGTTGGTGATTATTTATTTATTTATTGGTTCGATTTATATGCCGCCCTTCTCCGGAGACTCAGGGCGGCTTACAATGCGTTAAGCAATAGCCTTCATACTTTTGTATATACCTGCTTAGTAGGGCTTTCGGCACCCCAAGCGGTGTTCTTTTTTATACAAAGTCAGTTTATTGCCCCCACAATCCGGGTCCTCATTTTACCTACCTTAGAAAGGATGGAAGGCTGAGTCAACCTTGAGCCTGGTGAGATTTGAATTTGCAGTAACTGCAGGCAGCTGGCAACTAAGTGCTACTTTAACAGCACTTAGTCCACTGTGCCACCAGGCTCTTCTTAGTTATGTTTCCTAGGCTAACCATTTTATATACAGGAATCTTTCCCCTTTCTCCCCAATTCTCTATGAACATCCAAAAACATACTCAGAATTTTAATTTATAGCCTCCTAACAAGAATAAATCAGATGAAGAATGGTTGGAGCAGTGGTGGGATTCAGCCGGTTCGCACCACTTCAGGAGAACCGGTTGTTAACATTCTGAGCAGTTTGGCAAACTGATTGTTGGAAGAAATCATTAGAGCAGAGAACCGGTTGTTAAATTACTTGAATCCCACCACTGGGTTGGAGGCAGTGATGGGCTGCTACCAGTTCAGCCCCAATTCAGGTGAATTGTTTGTAGCGGTGGCAGGAAGCTCCGTCCACCCACCCGGATATCATCAAATACAGAATGTGCAGAAGCTTCTTCATGAGCGAACTGCTAGCAAAGATAAGTGAAACCCACCACTGGTTGGAGGATTTGGGTTTGGCTAGTGTAGAAAAAAGAAGGACTGGGGGGGGGGACATGATAGCAGTGTTCTGGTATTTGAGGGGCTGCCGACCCAAGAGGAGGGGATCAAATTATTTTCCAAAGCACCTGAGGGCAAGACAAGAAACAATGGATGGAAACTAAACAAGGAGTGAATCAACTTGGAAGGAAGGCTTGCTGGCATTTTCCATATGCTTTTGCTGTAACTGCTTGGGAATTAGAGGGTGGGAGATAGTCTTCGGAGATGGAGCGGACTCCCTCCCAGCCGGTTCCAGCCTGGTTCCAAGACCATTGTATGCTGAGACTGACCTGTTACCTGCCTAGCACCTCAGCGTTCTCAAAGCAACCTTGCGGCATCACATTGGCTGCCAGTGGACTGGTTGGGGAGTTGGGTTTTGGGAAAATGGAACGATTGCTTTGTGCTTTGTGCTGGACCTTGAGATTCCACCTGACTTTACTGCAACCACTTTCTCTCAGTAAAAGTTCTTTTGATTCAACTTAATGGAGTCTTGCTTTCCTGAGGAACCAGCTGGGGCAGATCCTTACAGTATGGCTAGTCTAGAGAAAAGAAGGGCTAGGGGTGACATGATAGCAGTGTTCCAGTATTCGATAGTCTGCCACAAAGAAGGGGTGTGCGTCATATTTTCCAAAGCACCAGAAGGCAAGACAAAAAAAAACAATGGATGGAAACTAATCAAGGAGAGAAGCAGCCTGGAACTAAGGAGGAACTTCCTAACAGTGAGGACAATGAAGGAACAACTTGCCTTCAGAAGTTGTGGGTGCTCCATCACTGTATGTTTTTAAGAAGAGACTGGACAGTCACTTGTCTGAAATGGTATAGGATTTCCTGCTTGAGCAGGGGGCTGGACTAGAAAACCTCCAAAGTCCCTTCCAGCTCTATTCTGATTTTGAATATTCCAGGACTCGTGCTCTAGAAACATTACAAGCAAAGAGACAACCTGAATAATCTGTCTTATTTTGGTTAATAGAGCTTGGAATTTCATGCAATCAGAATACTAAGATCCACCTATTCTGCTTCAACCTTGAGGTCAACTCAGTTGGGCCCCATGGAAACCAAAACCAACATTGAAATAGCAATCCCCTAACCATCCCTTCCTCCTCTTCCAGGAGAGCTTACTCATGTTTTTAGTGAACACTTGAATCAAACAAGTTGCCTCCTCCAGGATCTTTTCTTCCATTGATTTTCTGCCCACTCCAAAGTTTCTGAGAAGCAACAATGAAAACCTTCTTTGCTCCTTCCATGCTTCACCATATCTTAATGTCAGTAAACCTAAAACAACAACAAAAATATATCATCCTGCAGTTATTCACTTTTATCTTGATGTCTATGGAGCTTCTCAGTCATCCAGGTCATGGTTGTCCCAAAGTTGCTTTTTCAAGGGGCAAGTGGACTTTCTGGTTTTTCTTTGAAGACATTTTGCTTCTCATCCAAGAAGCTTCTTCAGTTCTTCAGCTCAGAGCTGAAGAAGCTTCTTGGATGAGAAGGGAATTGTCTTCAAAGGAAAACCAGAAAATCCAGTTGATACACAATAGATACAAACTTAAAAGTGAACTGCTTCAAACTCGATTGCAGAAAATACGACTTTAGCAACAGAGTGGTCAATGCCTCGAATGACTCTGTGGTTTCATCCCAACCCCCCCAAAATTTTAACCTTAGACTGTCTACTGTTGACCTCACCCCTTTCCTAAGAGGTCTGTAAGGAGCGTGCATAAGAGCACCAGCGTGCCTACCGTCCCTGTCCTAATGTTCCCTTTAATTGTATTCATTTTATGTATGCAGTTCATGCTTATACTTATATATATTATCTAATACGTACTCGACAAATAAATAAATAAATTATAATAATTTAAAAAACCCAGGAAGTCCAGTTGCCTCTTGAAAAAGCACCTATATGACATCCATGACCTGGATGACTGAGAATCTCCATAGACATTTCCTTGAAGATGTTTTGCTTCTCATCCAAGAAGCTTCTTCTTCAGTTCAGTCCTTTATGAACTGAAGAAGCTTCTTGAATGAGAAACAAAGCGTCTTCAAGGAAAACCATAGTCCAGTCGCCTTTTGAAAAACACCTTCGGGACATCTTTATCTTGCTTATCAGTAATTATGTAGTTTTAAAATAAAGGTACAGGGACGCGGTGGCAGTTTGAATCCCTAGTGCCGCCTAATGGAGTAAGCTCCCATTACTTGTCCCAGCTTCTGCCAACCTAGCAGTTCGAAAGCACCTAAAAAATGCAAGTAGAAAAATAGGGACCACCTTTGGTGGGAAGGAAACAGCATTCTGTGTGCCTCTGGCGTTTAGTCATGCCGGCCACATGACCACGGAGACGTCTTCGGACAGTGCTGGCTCTTTGGCTTTGAAACCGAGATGAGCACTGCCCCCTGGAGTCAGGAACGACTAGCACATATGTGCAGTGGTGGGATTCAAGTAATTTAACAACTGGTTCTCTGCCCTAATGATTTCTTCCAAAAACCAGTTTGCAAATACATTGAATAGGATTTTTTTTTCAGCTGAATACTGAAATTTCTACTGTACTGTTATTTATAAATGTTGCAAAAGAAAAAAAAGAAGAAGGGAACAAATTCTAACATTTAAAGAATTAAACCTTTCCTTCTCTTCCTGGAAACTTTGAGACTGAACTCCAGAATGCAAAGGAAAAGGAGGATTGGCAGCTGGATCACAGAACGGGTAACTTACTACTGGAAATCATATACAATTACCTTTCTTCCTAGTGAGGAAATCCATGATAGGAAATGATGCTCTCCCAGCAAATTCTATGCCTTTTGTCACGAGGGCCTCTTTTGCTAAAGGAAACCCATGAATAAAGACTGCAGGTATTCCTCCAAGATAAAGACTGAAGACAGGGCCGTATGTTTTTGTTAGCTGAAAAGAAGTAACCAAGCTCGTTAGCATAAAAGCATCAGGAAATTAGTTGGGACCAAACACTGCAATGTTGCAACAGAATAAAACTTCTTCATCAAGGATCACCCGAAAAAATTTACTTGGAGCTCCATCAAACTCCATTCCCCAAAGTGTTTGGCCAATATCATGAGCCAAGGTGGCGCAGGCTCATATGTATACTGCAAACTCTTGAGGACGTGTGAGTAGTCATAGCATTCATGCATGACTTCCAAAGAAATTGCTTTATGAACATGCATGGTTAGTGATGCTTTCAACAAATAAAATTGAAATCTGGCTTTAACTGCACTGAGAATTAACATGCATCAAGACAAAGCATCAACAGTTTTAAAAATAATTTAATATGAATCATGTACTAATTTATTATATCCCTATATCTATTTTTTAAAATTAATCACAATTCTAATTAATAAGTAATCATAACTTTTTGTACAATCAGAAATAACTTAATGGAAAATTCTGCTTGAGTCCTTATATTTCAAAGCATGTTTACCTCTGATCTAGCAGAATATTAATTAGATTGATGCTTTTCTATATGCATGTATGTGATACTTTATGTATTTACCAATGTTAAGCAAATTATTATTTTAACCATGTTTATTATATGCAATTAAAATAATACCTTCACTTTGGTCTTCCTTGTCATTAAAAATATTGCACTGTTATATAGAGTATGTATTTCACTTATTCATTAATTTCATATCCTGCCTCTCCTCCAGCACCATGATGACGAACCTATGGTACGCATGCCAGACGTGGCACACAGAGCACACTCTGTGGGCACACGCGCCATCGCCAGCTGCTCTTCCGGATTTCATCGTGTGCACGCACGCTGGCCACGTGGTCTTTCTGTGAAGAGCAGCTGGCTGGTACGTGTGCGCAACGGAACCTGGAAGAGAGCAGCTGGCTGGTGCGCATGCGCGCTGGACCAGCTGTCTGGTGAGCATGCGCGTGACCGAACCTGAAAGAGCAGCTGGCTGCCACGCGCATGCGCACCGACCAGCTGCTCTCTTCCGGATTCCAGTATGTTCCAGTTGCATTACATTGTCCTATTTTTTTCTACTCTGTGCAGTAGATTGGGCTGAGTAACCAGTCAAAGCCATGTAGCACAGTTCTGTGGCTGAGTTGGACTTGATTGATTCTCCTGAATCCTATGCTAATATTAAATAGTGCTAATAGCAGAAATCCAGAATTTGTCTACCAAGTGTTCCAGTACACTCACCTTTTTGAGTTTGCGGATAGCATATGCCTTTTTTTAGATTTTCCATGCTTGTGTAGACCAAGGAAACTGTCAGCTGTTTCTTCACACTGTTCCTGTTTTTCTTCATGTGGTTTAAACATTTAAGACAATAATAAAAGAAGTTATTAATCATGGGCAGGATAAGAAAACTGGAGAACTTTCTGGAAGCTGGAGTTTTGAAAATATGAGTGGAAAATATAGTTATGTGTTAATTGGTTATGTTAGCCGATAAATGGTACAAGAATTTGAACTTGGTTATGGCTTGACCAACACGAGCTCATTATGATTTCCAGTTATTTAGAACATGAAAAGTCTCATGTGAAAGTTCACAATTTGAAAGAGGTTTTCCATAGTACAATTACAGAATGTGCAAAACAAAAACCCCCACCTCCATTAAATATTACACTATGAGAATAGTGTCTAACTGTTGTTGTCTAACTGCTGCAGGGCAGAGATTACTAGAAACCTTTTAGCGATGTCTTTCATTCGTGATCAGTCAATGTTATTAGAAGGAAAAACTTTTCCTTCCCCCTTTAATACCATACAGCAATACTATTTTAAATGCAATGCATACCATATTAGAATATGCCTATTATAATTTTGGTTGCCATCTACAATACAGGCATAAAGAGTTCTCTGCAGTTCATTCAGTAAACACATTCTAATGGCCATTTTGGTGTTTTTATTATACTGTATCCTAGTACTTCAATTCTTTTTACCTTTTACTCAAAGAGCAGATATTAGCAATGAAACAAAAAAAATGAAAATTCCCAAATTCTGCAATCTTTCATCCAATAACCTCTCTCCCCCACCTTTGGTGCATTCGGAATGTAAAACAATATCTGTAGGTAAAGATTGTTAGCTTTAATCCACATGCAAGAAATTCAGAATTCAACATCAACATTACCTTTTTTCATTAAAGCACATCCTGCAAACAATTCATCCTTTGGCAGATCTTCAGTTTCACTATCAGATGATATAATCTGCAGTAAAACACTTTGGTTATAAAGAAGTAGCATTCAAGTCCTAAATAATTAACTTCAACTTAAAATGTATTATTCACACACCTTGATTTTTCTTTTTATTATTCACACGCTTTAATTTTTGCATTGGAGGAATAACTATATATTTCCTTATCTACTCTCTTGGAAACTACTACAGGTTAGAAATAACTGTTTGTTCCATTTATACAAACAGGTAAGAGGTGAGATATTTGCTATGTTACAAAAATGTGCCCCCTCCAATGCAAGAAACTTTTTTCCTTGTAGACTATCAGTTATTAAGAAGTATTAAAAAAAAAAAAGAATTCTCCTCCTAATTTGATGCTAGCCAATAAAGAATTGTAATTCTTTCTTCAAGGTTTCCTGGGTGTACTATATGTAGAAAAGCAACAAAGATTTACTATCACATTTACATTTCAAATGGACTCTGGAAATGCAAACAACATTTATTTTAATCTCTGGTTATTATGCATTTTATGATGCAAATGATTCTTAAGTTATTCTAAAATGTTTGTTTTGCATTATTTTCTGGATGCCAGTTGTTTTCTTTTCCATAACGCTACTTAACATCAATCTCCAAAGTGACTCTAAAATAGTACTTTCAAATGCTAATATTCTTTTTCCCCCCAGTTAGACTAGTTAGCATAAGTGCAGTAACATAATTAACTGACAATGGTTAATTCTTTTGAGCATGTGCTAATTACACCACCGTAACTGTTTAGGGACTATCTTTTTTTTCATTAAAGACAGAATATACAGTATTTCTGATAAACCAAACATCAAGACAGATGAGTCATTAAGTAATAAAAATAAAGAACATTTCAAAGCAGAATTTTAGAAAGTTGGATGTACCTAATTGAGTAACATTATGCTATATTATCTGTAATGAAAACTTCTTTGTTGCAAGGATGTAATAAAGAAAGACAAGTGAATGAAATGTTTACTTCCAAGTATGTTAAATAAATCTTTTAGTAGTAACAATCACAACAAGAACATTATAGCTATTGGTAGCATCTAGCCAGTTACAACTGATCTCTTGTTTCCTTCCCCAGAAGTGAAGTGAGACCTTGTTGGACGTTGTCAGTTCTCTAGTGAGGAAAGAGGAAATTCAATATCCAGAGGAAGACAATAGTATACAATTTCTGTATACAAGAAAACTATATGGGTAGTCCATAGTTACCAAAATCAAGCTCAGTTTGAGTCTTTATTTATTTGTCAGTGAGTCAAAGTTTACTGGGGCCAAATACTAGTATAGAATAAAGCAATTAGTAACTATTTAAAAGTAAAAGAGGACGACAAAATATAGAACACAAACTAAAGGAAAAATACACAATAATATAACACCTGATTAATCATCTCAATCACCCCTAAAATCACCAGGGAATGACCTTTTAACTGCTCAAATTCTTCACAACAACACAGAGTGGTGTATTCCAGTCTTAGCTTTTCTGTTCTCTCTGCTATTTAGTTTTTTGCAACAATTCCACTGCATTCTGGTTTCATTTTATTCAAGTCTGACATAACTCCAGTGGTCTGTCAGAACACTGCTGATTTTTTTCCCACCAAAGCTAGCACACAGACATATCCCAATGGTGCTTTATGTGGATGATGAAGTCATTCTGTCCTAGACTGGTCTAGGCAAGATCATTCACCACCCACTGCACAGATTATGAAGTAACAATACATTCTCTGCTATTTGTTAAGTGCCCCAAAAATTACAGGTGACAATAAAATGGGCACAAATTCAACAGGTCAAAGTTTTCAGATGCCTTGGAATTGAATTTCAGGCTTCAGTTGGGAGAAATGCACATCTGGATTATATAACTCAGTAGACCCAAAGATCAGCCTCAGCAACTGAAACTTTTTACATAACAGAAATACCTTTTTATTAGAGCTGTCATAAGTATATGCCCAGTTCTTGTATAGAGCATAGCTTGGCCCTTATGATAATTGTTAAAATTAGAAATTGTGCAATCCAAATTCTTAAGAAATATCCTCCAAGTACCACGCTGGCTCTCTAATGTTATCCTCTGCTGTGAAACAGGATCAATTAGACTGAGTTAAAAAATCTGCCTAATCTTCGAGTATTGCTGAAGTTAATTTTTTTCCCTATAGGATTGACCCTCCAGACATAAGCAGACAATTTTAGTGCCATGTGAAAGTGATAGCTTCTTGATAAAATGTACTTTCATAGGAGGCTCATATGTTTAGCATGGTGAGATACTTAAACCACATTATACTATCCAAGCTGAGATGGGCCTTAACACAGGTTAAATGTTTGAGTTACACTCAGTTCAATGCTCTTCAGGCAGACACGAAAAAAAATATGCTACTTGACTATGAATGTGTGATAAGGGACCACAGAATCTATTGCCTACATTTTACTATATTGCTGTTTTTATACAGATGTTGAAATTTGTTTTATTTTTCCCTTTATCTGATAAAATGGCCCAAGCCATTCTGATATTTTCTACATACATACTCTGCTTTCTAATAAAAATTCAACTTTTCTAAATGGTGACAAATTCTACTATGTAACCAAGATCAAATCTTAATTTCATCTCTTAATATAATGTAACTCGCTAACTTTTGAACATTAAATAAATATATATAGCTAAATTTGTATTTGCGAGACCGCCTGCTGCTACCGATAACCTCCCACCGGATTCACCCCAATAGTCAGCGATGGCACCTGCTGACTATATCAATGTTGGCAATGTCAGTTGCGGCCCCCAGGGGGCGAGCCTTCTCTGTGGGGGCACCCGCCCTGTGGAATGAGCTGCCTCCTGGAATACGATTGATCCCGGACCTCCGGACCTTCCGTAAAGTCCTGAAGACGTTTTTATTTCATCAAGCCGGCCTAGCCTAAATGGTTTTTAATTGGGATTTTAAATTTTATGGATTTGGGGTTTTAAATTGGGTAGCCAATGATTTAATTCTTTTAATTATCTTAACTTTTGCATGTGTATGTTTTTTAATTTTGGCTGTTCACTGCCCTGAGTCCCTTCTGGGAGAAGGGCGGTATACAAATTAAGATAAATAAATAAATAAATAAATAAATAAATAAATAAATAAATAAATATATATCGGGACGCCAGAAGCCACAGCCACTCGGTCTTGGAAGGGTTGAGTCTGAGCCTGTTCCTCCCCATCCAGACCCGCACGGCCTCCAGGCAGCGAGACATCACATCAAGGGCATCGTTGGGGTGGTCTGGGGTGGAGATGTACAGCTGAGTATCATCAGCGTACAGATGACACTTCACCCCAAAATCATGGATGATCTCACCCAGTGGCTTCACATAAATGTTGAACAGAAGGGGCGAGAGGACCGACCCTTGTGGCACTCCCCATGCGAGGTGCCTCGAGGTTGACCTCTGGCCCCCTGCCAACACAAAGTGCGAGCAGTCGGAGAGGAAGGAGGAGAACCACTGCAAAACGGTGCCCCCTATTCCTAACCCTCTCAACCGCTGCAGCATGATACCATGGTCGATGGTATCAAAAGCCGCTGAGAGGTCTAATAGGACTAGGACAGAGGAGCAACCCCTGTCCCGAGCCCTCCAGAGATCATCCACCAACGCGACCAATGCCGTTTCTGTGCTGTACCCCTGCCTGAAGCCCGACTGGCACTGGTCCAGATAGATAGCTTCATCCAGGTGTCGGGGAAGCTGTCGTGCCACCACGCTCTCAACAACCTTCGCCACAAAACGAAGGTTGGAGACCGGACGGTAGTTGGCTAATTCAGCCGGGTCCAGGGAAGGCTTCTTGAGTAGGGGCCTCACTACCGCCTCTTTCAAGGCGGCAGGAAAGGCACCCCCACTCAGAGAAGCACTTATAATTCCGTGGAGCCAGCCTCGTGTCACCTCCTGGGAGGCCAGTACCAACCAGGAGGGACATGGGTCCAATAAACATGTGGCGGCACTAATCTTACCCAGAACCCTATCCACATCCTTGGGAGCCACAGGATCAAACTCCTCCCAGATAATATTCTCAAGACCTACCCTCGTCTCCTACCCTGGACTCATCCAATCGGAGTCCAAGTCATCCCAAATCCGAGTGACTTTATCATGCAGGAATTGCACAAAATCCTCAGCGCGACCCTGCAAGGGATCTTCCCGCACTCCCCCCCGAAGAAGGGAGTAGGTCACCCTAAACAGGGCGGCTGGGCGGTTCTCTGCAGATGCGATAAGAGCGGAAAAATGGTTAGATTTCACCGCTTTTATCACCACTAGGTACGTCTTGATATAAGACCTCACCTGTGTCCGGTCGGAATTGGATTGACTAGTCCTCCAAATGCTCTCTAGGCGTCTTTTCCGATGCTTCATCTCTCTCAGCTCCTCAGAGAACCAAGGAGCCAATTGAGATTGGCATCGGGTCAGAGGCCGCAAAGGCACGACGCGGTCCAAAGCTCCGGCGGCCGCACTCTCCCAGGCGGCCACCAGCTCTTCAGTCGAGTCATGTGTCAGAGTCTCAGGAAACGGCCCAAGCTCCGTCAGGAACCTTTCGGGATCCATCAGGCACCTGGGACGGAACCATCTGATCGGTTCCGTCTCCCTGTGGTGGGGGGAAGCAGTAGGAAAGTCCAAGTGAAGGAGCGAATGATCTGTCCATGACAAGGGTTTAATATCTAGGTCCCCTCTACCAAGATCATTCAACCACTGACCAGAGACAAAAATCAAGTCCAGAGTGTGTCCCCCTATGTGAGTGGGGCCTTGAACTAACTGAGTCAGGTCCATGGCCGTCATGGAAGCCATGAACTCCCGAGCCACCTCTGATGCCTCACCCATGGATGGAAGGTTGAAATCCCCCATGACAATAAGTCTAGGGGTATCAACCGCCACCCTGGCAATGACGTCAAGTAGCTCGGGCAGGGTTGCTGCCACGTGGCAGGGAGCCAGGTACGTAGTCAGCAAACCCATCTGCACCCCACGGCCCCACTTCACAAAAAGGGATTCACATCTGGCTATCTGAGGAACAGTTGTCTCCCTCGGACAAAGACTTTCCCTAATAATCACCGCCACTCCCCCCCCCTCCCCTGGGTCCTTGGCTGATAAAATGCATGGAAACCTGGTGTTGACGAATGGTCATAATTCGAGGACAATTTTGTCAGCTGCCTGGGTCGCAATCCCATGATCCCCATGGATGCTACAATAGTTGTGTAAAAATTTTTTTTCAGTGTCATCAGAACTTTGAATGATCACTGAAAAATTGATCACAAATTAAAGATCACCTGTATGGGCTGTTCTATCTTCTGTCGATGAAGAAAGAGCTAATTGATTTAATGGCATGTAACCCAAACTTTCCCGTTTCCTAAATTGCAGCTTGTGAAATCTAGTTTCTGTTCAAAGTTTATCTTTCATCCTGACCTTAAAGATTTAATCTATGGCTGATTTACTAAAGTCACCACAGCAGAGAAAGACAGAGAGAGGCGTCTCTTCTAACCAACATGGTTATTCTCAGCTGGCTGATCGTTCTTTCCCTCCTATTCCTCTGTTTCTGGAAGAACCAACGCCCCAAAGGTTTCCCCCCTGGGCCATGGAGTCCCCCCCTGATTGGGAACCTGCTTCAGTTCAGTAAGAAGGACCCTCTCAAGGACCTGGATCAGGTACGGCTCCATAATGTAGGATTGGATAAGATCGCACATTGAATCTCCATGGAATGAATCTCCCACAAATATCTCCTTGCAATTGTTTAAGCACCCTCCTGCAAAAGGAGGGATTGAATTAATATGTTAGGAAACAAATGATTCGGACAAATATAAAATGTTATCTATATTTAAAGGATTCTGCTCTGTAGAGATCTATATTTGATTCAAAGGAATCCTAACAGTTAATGGAATTGGGCTGCTCTCGAGAAAACCATTAGCTTTTAGAGATGAAATAAATTCTGGAACTATGTCTGACTTTCATGGGCTTTGAAAGAAATTTGGTACTTTGGAGAGCATAAATACAGATCATTTAAGAAGAAAAGAATGTTTTTTTCAGTAATCAAAAGGCGGTGGTTATATACCTGCTACCCTTGTTTATTTGAAATGAAGATATTGATGGAGCTTTTTTCTTTTACTCTGTTGAATATTGTTCTCCCTATTCTTGTCCCCTCTTTCAATGGCCTTTCCTCAATCTACATCTGTATTGTACCATTTTATATTACATTTCAACTAGCTAACCTACTCTTAATTAAATGTTTACTTACTGAGCTTAGTTAAATGGCAGTTTCATAACCTTGTAATTCTATTTTTTTTGTCCCCCTGTCCTTCTATCGCTTTTAAGCCAGGCTATTGGTAAGGTTGCAATATTTTTCTAGTGCTTATGAAAGAATAATTTGATCGGATTCATAAACTAGGCTAAATTAAGAAAGTAAATTGGGTTGTGGGAACGGAGGGAAGTGAGGCTACTTGAGAACTCTGATCATCCTGTGTCTATGGAGATCATCGGAAGACAGAAGTACAACTACAGCAGAAGAGAAGTGAGTACTCTGTAAAGCCAAAGCTGCAAACACTGCAACTATGGTGCCCAAATATGACTGCTCTACATGTGGCAGAACATTCCGTGCCCGTATAGGCCTTACCTGCGGACACACTGTGGACAGCCCACAACACGTAGATGTCAAGGTCCTCACCGAATACGATGGACGAACATCATGAAGATTCTCAATCATCCAGGTCATAGTTCTCCCAAAGGTGCTTTTTCCAAAAGGTAAATGGACTTTCTTGGGGTTCTTTTTCCCTTTGAAATTGTTTAATTTCTCATCCAGGAAGCTTCTTCAGTTCTGAACTGGAAAAGAACTTCTTGGATGAGAAATGAAACATTTTCAAGGGGGGGAAAAAAAAGAAGAAAAAAGCCCAGTTGCCTTTTTGAAAAACATCTTTGAGTTACCATGCTGTGTTTTTAAATGTTCTGTTGAAGATAAATTGGCTTGTCTGCAGACATATCAGAAGAAAATCCAGTTCTGGATGGGCTCCGATTAAAAAACACCGTCTTTTCTACTCAAGGGATCCCGTTAATATTCTACTTATAAGATCTATTTATGAACAAGAGAGGAGAGGTTGAAGATGACGGATGTTTCAGGATTCTCATATCTCTTTTAGGTTGCATTCTTGCAGTTATTGGTTTCAAATGATCTCTTAATTCCTCTAGATTAATCTGGTTGATGTCATTTCAGCTGGCTCAAAAATACGGTCCCGTCTTCAGTCTCAACATTGGAGGAAGGCTTGTGGTCTTCACTCATGGATTTTCTTCAGCCAAAGAGGTCCTGGTGACAAAAGGCATAGAATTTGCCGGGAGGTCAGATAATCCAATAATAGATGATATCGTTAAGAAAAAAGGTACCAATATATCATTTCCAAGCATTCTTTTACCTCTAAATTTTTGTTGTAGCGGCAGATATTACTCTCTCTGAGTGCAAAGAGAAAATATCTGCTGTGAAGTTGATGTAGGCATCAGGAAGGACATCTGGCCAATAAACGTTCAGCTCCATTCGGTCTCCCAGACCCCACCCTGATGGAAGGGATTACAGGGTTGTTAAGAGAGAGAAAAAAAATCTAGTTCCAATTTTCTGCATTTCATTTGTACAGGCATAATCACAGTATCCTACGGCCAAGTGTGGAAAGAACAACGGAGATTTTCACTGATGCTTCTCAGAAACTTTGGACTGGGCAAAAAATCAATGGAAGAGAAGATCTTGGGGGAGGCAACTAGTTTGACTGAAGCATTTGCTGAATACACTGGTAAGCTCACCTGGGACGTGTGTGTTTCTTTTTCCACAGGACATCCCAGAGGTGCTTTTTCAGGAGGCAACTGGACTTTCTTGTTGTTGTTGTTTTTGAAGACATTTTGCTTCTCATCCAAGAAGCTTCTTGCAGACAGCTGGTCATTTGCATCCTTTTAGAAGGTCTTTGAAGCAGTTGGAGGTTTATCCGTGTCTTCAGGGTCATCTCAGTGGTAAAAAATGGTTCCTGTAGTCTGCAATTTTTCCTCTGGAAATCCGTTCCTACTCCCACAAATTGAGTGTTCATCCCAAACTGTATGGCTAAAAGTCTGTAGAGATTCTCAGTCATCCAGGTCATGTTGTCCCAAAAGATGCCTTTTCAGGAGGCAACTGGACTTTCTTGTTTTTTCTTTTGAAGATGTTTCACTTCTCATCCAAGTAGCTTCCTCAGCTCTGATTGGATGGCGGGGAATGGAAGGATTGATATTTCTTGCAGAGAGCTGGTCATTTGCATCCTTCTACAGGGTCATTAAAGCACTTAGAGGTTGAAAGGATCTCTGCAGAATTTGCACAGGAGACAATTCAATTGCTCTCAAGTGAGTGTGTATTGATGCAGAGAGGGAGAAACGTAGAATTCTAGTTTGTGTAAAAATAAAGCAAATTAAAACATGATTACATTGTTCATGGGATCGTTGGGGAATTATTATTTCCATATCCCCCCCTCCCCAGTAGGCAAGACTTCAGTTGCTTCCGTAGTTGATTTAAGTATTGCAGGCTAATTCTGCCGACTGCCAGCGGTTTGATTCTCACGTGCGCAAGGCTGACTCAGTCTTCCATTCTTCTGACAGTAAAATGAGAACTTGAATTGTTGGAGGCAATATCCTGACTCTGAGTGTAAACCATTTACAGGGGGCAGTAAAGCATTGTGAAGCGGTATATAAGTCTAAGTGCTATTGCTATTGCTAAGTGTTATTGTTACTGGGCAGAGGTCCTCAAACTATTGCCCACGGGCTGGATGTGGCCTGCCGAAAGCCATTAATCCAGCCCAAGCAGGACCACAAAGTTGCCCCGCCCACATCACCCCACCTACCCGCCGCCCCCCACCTATCTTCTGGAGGCTGAGGATACCAAAGATGGGATGCGCGGAGGCCTCAGGAGGCCAAAATTGGGCCCATTTCTGGACAGCAGAGTGGTTCTGGAGATCACGGAGGTGACCAATGTGCCCGTTTTTGACTTCCCCAGCCTCCAGAGTGAGGGAGAGGGAGGGAGGGAGGGAGAGAGGGAGAGAAAGAGAGAGGAAAGGAGAGAAAGAGAGAAATACACACACACAAACAGAAATCCCTCCCACACACCCCAAGGCAGCCAAATCCCTTCACTAATCTGATTTCTACCCCCAGGAGAAAAACAAATTAAAGTTTAATTTGTTTGTATTGTTTAATGGACTGCTAAATTGGCCATGCCCACCCAGTCACATGACCACCTAGCCACGCCCACCCAGCTGGTCCCATCCCCCAACAGTCTGAGGGACTGTGAATGGCCCTCCCTCTTTAAAAAGTTTGAGGACCCCTGCTATTGGGGAATGAATGTTTTGAAGCAGGGTGGGAAGAGCTTATAATTCTGGTTGCATAAAACGTAAAGATTTGAATGGCTATAAATCGAGGATTTATTGCAGAGCAGCAACCCGTTGTGCCCATGTGACACCCCTCCTGCGCGAGCTGCACTGGCTCCCAGTGGTCTTCCGGGTGCGGTCCAAGGTATTGGTTACCACCTTCAAAGCGCTCCATGGCATTGGACCTGGGTACCTTCGAGCCGACTTCTGCCACCAGTAGCCTCCTACCGGCCAGTCCGCTCCCACAGAGAGGGTCTCTTCAGGGTGCCATCGGCCAAGTTATGTCGGCTTGGTGACACCCAGGGGGAGGGTCTTCTTTGTGGGAGCCCCTGCCCTTTGGAATGAACTGCCCCCGGAACTGCGTAAGATCTCCGACCTCCGTGTATTTCATTGCGCCCTCAAGACCCTGTTGTTCCGCCAGGCCGGGCTATCAATGTAATGATTTTAAATTGGGGTATTTTAAATTTGGGGTTTTAAATTTGGAGTTTTATATTTGAGCCAAAATTATTTAATAATTTTAATAATTTTAAAATTATTTTTTGTCTTTGTGCTTTTAATAGGCTGTACACCGCCCTGAGTCCTTCGGGAGAAGGGCGGTATAGAAATAAAATTATTATTATTGTTGTTGTTGTTGTTGTTGTTGTTGTTGTTATTGTTGTTGTTGTTGTTGTTGTTGTTGTTGTTGTTATTATTATTATTATTATTATTATTATTATTATTATTATTATTGACGGTAGGAGGGCTCCCCTGAGGAAGCAGCCTGCTGTCCCTACATAAATACAAGAGGGCTCTCTCATTCTCTCTCCCCCTCCAATGATTTAGGGCAGGGGTCCCCAACTCTCATGCTGCAGTCCGGTCCATTTGGAACTGGGCTGCACAAGCTGTGTGGCCGCTCGCTCAGAACCAGCCCTTCTCCCTCCCACCAAGCCAGAAAGGTTGAGGACTGCTGACTTAAAGCCTACTTTGATCTTTCCCAGGCAAAAGCTTCCAATCTTGGAAGATTCCTGTATTATAGGCAGAGAACAATAAAGTAGATAGCTCAAACCCTACATGTGTGAGTCTCATTGTTCGCGCCTCACAGGACTACCTGTAATCTAATTTTCCTTTGCTTTATTCTACAGGTGCCCCTTTTGATCCTTCTCTACTTCTTGAAACTGCAGTCATCAACATCATGTCTTCCATTCTCTTTGGGAAACGTTTCGAAAGCAACGACAGCTTTTTGGGGCCTGTGATGGATGTGATACATGAAACTGTCAAAATGATAACAGGACCTTGGGCCATGGTATGCTCAACATGGGTGCAGGAAGACAGTTACAATTCACATACTACTAGTGGGAATTTCGGTTCGTAGGTAATCCTCGACTTACAACCTTTTGTTTAGTGACCGTTTGAAGTTACAACCGCACTGAAAAAAGAAACTTATGACCATGTTTCACACTTATGACCATTGCAGCATCCCCATGGTCGAGTGATCAAAATTTAGATGTCTTTTGGCAATTAGTTTATATTTTATGTCGGTGGCATAAAGTTGTTATTTATGAACGAAATACCGGACAAGAGAAGTTTTATAAGCAACTTCATAAAAAGATTCTAGAAATAAAATATGAAAATATTTGTATCTTGGGAGATTTCAACACAATTGTTAATAATGAACTGAACTACAGCAGTAGTAAAATTAATTTAAAAAAATAGAAGGACATTTTTTTTACTTTTAAAAAGCATTTTTTCTACAACCTTAAGAGGTTGCAGAAAAAAATGCTTTTAGAAGCCTCTGACGATCAGGCAACTCAGCTGGGTTTGCCAGAGGCTTTTAAAGGCATTTTTTCCCCTACAACCTCTTCGGCTGAAGAGATTGTAGAAAAAAATGCCTTTAAAAGCCTCTGACGATCCCAGCTGAGCTGCACGATCATCAGAGGCTTTTTTTTTTTACTTTTAAAATAATTTTTTTGGCTAAAGAGGTTGCAGAAAAAAATGCTTTTAAAAGGAAAAAAAAAGCCCCTGATAATTGTGCAGCTCCGTTGGATTTGCCAGAGGCTTTTAAAGGCATTTTTTTTCTACAACCTCTTCATCCAAAGAGGTTGCAGAAAAAAATGCTTTTAGGAGCCTCTGACAATCAGGCAACTCAGCGGGGATCGCCAGAGGCTTTTAAAGGCATTTTTTCCCCTACAACCTCTTTGGCTGAAGAGGTTGCAGAAAAAATGCTTTCAGAAGCGTCTGACGATCCCAGCTGAGCCGTGCGATCGTCAGAGGCTTTTTTTTTTTTTTTTTACTTTTAAAAAAATTATTTCGGCCAAAGAGGTTGTAGAAAAACTGCTTTTAAAAGTAAAAAAAAGAGCCTCTGATGAGATAGGCGGGGTAAGCGAGCGGCGACCGGGCTGGGGACCGGTTCGGGGGCATGGCCAGCCAATGTTATTACCGGTTCTCCAAACTATTATAAATTTTTACTACTGGTTCTTGTAAACCAGTGTGAACCGGGACCAACCCACCACTGGTTAAGAGAGTTTTGTCCCCTTTTATGACATTGCCACCATTGTTAAGTGAATCGCCGCTGTTAATAAGATGGTTGTTAAGTAAATCTGACTTTGCTTGTCAGAAGGTCGCAAAAGGGGATGACGTGACCCCGGGACACTGCAACTGTCATAAATGTGAATCAGTCGCCAAGTATCTGAATGTTGATCTTGGGGATGCTACAACGGTCATAAGTGTGAGAAATGGTCGTACGTCACTCTTCTCGGTGCCGTTGTGACTTTGAACAGTCACTAAATGAATTCTTGTAAGTTGAGGACTACCTGTACATGATCAAGGACATTTCCCCGGTCCCCCCCTCACAACACACCCCGTGAAATATATTACCCTGTGATTGCTTCAATTCTTTTGTGCTTCTTTCCCCTTGTTTGTAGCTTTACAACGCTGTGCCTTTGGTGAGGAAGCTTCCCTTGCCCCATCAGAGAATAGTAGCACAGGCCCATGAAATACTTGCTTTGCTGGAGAAAGAGATAAAAGAACACAGGAGCACCTTGGTTTCTGGTGAACCCCGAGATTTTGTTGATGCCTATTTAGAAGTAATGAACCAGGTAAAAAAATTTAGTCTCTTTTGTTCAATTTTGCACCCTTATATAAGTATAAGTATAATTTTATTTCTATACTGCCCTTCTCCCGAAGGACTCAGGACGGTGTACAGCTTATTTAAAACACAAGACAAACATCAATTAAAAATTTAAAATTATTAAATAAATTCGGCTTAATTTAAAACCCCAGAAATTTAAAATTAAAAGAGCCTTGATGGTACAGTGGTCTAAGCACCCTGTTATTAACACAGCTGCCTGCAATTTACTGCTGGTTCGAATCTCTCCAAGGCTCAAGGTTGACTCAGCCTTCCATCCTTTCTAAGGTAGGTGAAATGAGGACCCAGTTTGTGGAGGCAATAAGCTGACTTTGTATAAAATATACAAAAGTATGAAGGCTATTGCTTAACGCAGTGTAAGCCGCCCTGAGTCTCTGGAGAAGGGCAGCATATAAATCAAATTTAAAAAAAAATACCCCAATTTAAAATTATTACATTGATAGCCCGGCCTGGCGGAACTGGGTCTTCAGTGCACAGCGAAATACCCGGAGGTCGGAGATCTTACGCATTTCCGGGGGCAGTTCATTCCACAGGGCTGGGGCTCCCACAGAGAAGGCCCTCCCCCTGGGTGTTGCCAGCCGACATAACTTGGCCGATGGCACCCTGAGGAGACCCTCTCTGTGGGAGCGAACTGGCCGGTGGGAGGCTATTGGTGGCAGAAGGCGGTCCCGTAGATATCCTGGTCCTATGCCATGGAGTGCTTTAAATGTGGTGACCAACACCTTGAATCGCACCCGGAAGACCACTGGGAGCCAGTGCAGCTCGCGCAGGAGGGGTGTCAGGTGGGCACAAGGAGTTGCACCCATAACCACCCGCGCGGCCGCATTCTGGACCAGCTGGAGCCTCCGAGTGCTCTTCAAGGGGAGCCCCATGTAGAGAGCATTACAATAGTCCAGCCGGGAGTTCTTCTATATAGTTCTTCTCCGTGGCTTGTAACTGTGGCTACCACGTTAACAGATGTGTGAATCCAACCCACAGGCCTCTGGTGGATCATCATAACCTACTTTGGTATTTAAAAGCGTACAGAATTGGTTGGTTGGTTAGTGAATTAAAGTTTTGTCTTAAGGAAAGGAACAAAGCTGTTATGTTACCAGGGTAGACAGGATAGCAGTGTTCCAATGTTTGAGGGGGTCAAGCTATTTTCCAAGGCACCCGAAGGCCAGACAAGGAATAATGGATCAAGGAGAGATTCAACCTGGAAATAAGGAGGAACTTTCTGACAGTGAGAACAATCAACCCATGGAACAGAAGTTGCCTTCGGAAGTTGTGGGAGCTTCCCCACTGGAGGCTTTCAATAAGAGACTGGATGGCCATTTGTCAGAATAGGTGGGGGAGAGGGTTGGACTAGATGACCTACAGGGTCCCTTCCAACTCTGTTAATCTGTTAATGTTATTGGAGTTCATCTATGGGATTTGCTTAGCAAGATGTAGAAACCAAGCCAAAGCAATGTTCTAAATCAAAACCAGGCCATGTCAATATGAAATTCATTCAACACATAAGGGTGAAAAATAACACCGTACTCCTTGACTCCACAATTGGGACAGATAGACCCCCGGTAGTGAAGTGGTTAGAATGCAGCATTGCAGGCTTCATTCTGCCCACAGCCAGGAGTTCAATCCTGACCGGCTCAAGGTTGGCTCAGCCTTCCGTCCTTTACGAGGTCAGTAAAGTGAGGACCCAGATTGTTGGGGGGCAATAGGCTGATTCTGTAAACCGCTTAGAGAGGGCTGTAAAGACCCATGAAGCAGTATATAAGTCTAAGTGCTATTGCTAATCCATCTCTAAACAAGGCAGTTGTTAAGTAAGTCATACCCAATTTTATGATCTCTTTTGCAACATTGTGAAGCAAATCACCAGGGTTGTAACTGAATCACGTGGTTATTAAGCAAATCCAGTTTCTCCCATGGACTTTGTGAGAAACTAACTGGGAACCTTCAGGTGGCTGAATTCTGATCAAGTGACGGCAGGATGCTGTTAGGGTCATAATGCAAGAACTGTCCAAAGTCCATTTTGTCGTAACCTCACACCTTCACTGAACAAATGGTCGTAAACGAAGGACTATTTTCCCTTTCTTTCTTTGTTTTAAAAGGCAGAGCAGAAAGGTTTTGAAGAAGAACAATTATTAGTTTTACTGATGGACCTTTTGTTTGCTGGATCAGAGACAATGAGTGAAACTCTTCGGTGGGCATTGCTCTATTTCGTAGCCTTTCCAGAGATCCAAGGTATGGAAATAGAAAATGACGAAGATTCCTTCTATTAAGGAATCTTAATAGAAATCAGGATGGGTCTTGAAGTGATGATTCCAGACCTTTCTAAAAGCTTCATTGGGACAGAGACAGATTCATCCCTTCTGATATGTTTAGAACTATAACACCTAAAATTCCCAGATAAGAGATTCATTGCTCTCCCACAACTCTCGGAGAGTTGAGAAGGACACAAAATATGGGGAACAAGTGTTTTCAAAAATATATGTAGGAGATTGTCGGAGCATAAATCAGCCCCATTCCCCCCCCCCCGGGGTAATTGCACCAAATTAGAGACGGACGGATCTTGTTTTTCCATGCTGTATACTTTAAAGAAAGAAAACCCGAATGTATTCTAAGAAGCATTTTATTATAAAAGTAAAAAAAAACTAGCTAACTACAATTTTACCGGTAGTCATCAGACGAACAAAGGAAGAAGTAAATCAGGAAGTTAGAAAAGAAAGAATGTAGACATGCACAGTAGCTCGAAAAATCACAAGACAGTCTTATCTCTGTTGATAAAGTTCTCTGGCAGACTACCGTAATGCTCAGAATGGAAGCTCAGCTGGCAAACACATAACGCAGTGACAGAGATGAGCAGGCTGAGCCGGAGAGACGGGCCAAATGTGTCAGCAGTCTCTAATCCCTTCGTGCCCACAAGAGATCTAAATCCAGCCCACTTTGAATTCCGCTGACTCTTATCTACCGCCAATTTGCTTTGACGGTTGGTAGTTCAGATTCTTGTAGAGTGTTCTGTCCCCATCTCACACATGCACACAAACAGACAGCCGGGGGTTAAATAAACTGGCAGACAACAAATTCTTCCGATAAGAGGCTTGGCAGCAACCCATTAGCTGCTTGCCAAGAACTTTACTCATAAACAAGATACACCCAGTTCAAGAATTGTCCAGTCCGTAATTAAATCCAAGGCAGATAATGTTGTTTCCAAAGATGCAATGTGACTCAATAATAGTTAGTTTTGTCCGTCACAGAGTCTGAATGGCCACCTCACCCCCTTTTATACCCTGTGGGGTGTGGTCCAGTGACTCAGCTTAATCTCTGGCACGCCTCTTCTTCTGTTGTGCGCGTTTATCTCTGTGACGCTGCCGAGGATCCAGCCAAGACTCATCTCCCTCATTACTGTGGCTACCTGTGGCTGCGTGGACGTGCTTGGCCCCGGCCCTATCTCTTGCCCTTCAGCGGACACCGAAGGCATTGCCAGAGAGGCGGGTCCTGGAGAGGGAGGCCTTGCCAACTCCTCTCCTTCAATCTCGGAGTCCTCTCCTGCCGATGACACAGGCTCAGGTAACGGAGCCACAACATAGAGAGTGTTTCCATGCAATGAACCTGTATTCATTTGAACTGCCTTAACTCCTGATTTCCTGCATTTGACAACATAACTGTCAACCTTACTAGACCACAAACTCAATTCTTCAGGAAGCTAAAACAGCTTTCACTGAGATTGGATATCATAAGAGAATCTAATTGTGCCAGATCTCCTTCCCTTGTGTCCAGTTAGCTACTAGAACTGTGATGGCGAACATATGGCACGCATGCAAAGTCCTCTCTGTGGGCATGCAAGCCATCGCCCAGCTCAGCTTCACCGCGCATGTGCACGCGCACCTCCCGCCGGTCAGCTGATTTTTCGGATGCACAGGGGACGGGCCACATGTGGGAGACGTGCGTGTATATGCGGAGGAGTCGCAAGAGCATGCACGGATGGTCGCAGCGCGTATGCAGGGGGCAGGGGTTGCATGCAGATGCATGGTGAACAAGGAACAAGGTGATCCAGGAGGCTACAGAGAGGCCTACTAGCCCAAAATACAGCTGCCTGCAATTACTGCTGGTTCGAATCTCTCCAAGGCTCAAGGTTGACTCAGCCTTCCATCCTTTCTAAGGTAGGTAAAATGAGGACCCAGTTTGTGGGGGCAATAAGCTGACTTTGTATAAATATACAAAAGTATGAAGGCTATTGCTTAACGCATTGTAAGTCTCCTGAGTCGCCCTGAGTCTCCGGAGAAGGGCGGCATATAAATCAAATTAAAAAAAAAAAAAAGAAGCACCAGAAGAGACTGCTTCATATTTATTATGTGTGTCTGAAGCTCCATTTCTCTACTGGAAATGCCAGTTGAAACCTCAACACAATAAGAACTATTTTAAATTGTCAGATCACATCAACTTTGTATCTCGTGTTAGTCCCACTAGGGCAGTGATGGCTAACAGCACGCACGCATGCCGGCAGCCATAATGCAATGGGTGCCCCCTTGCGCATGCGCGCACGACCGCCCCCACTCCTCACGCCCCGTTTTGGGACTTGTAGGCCTCCCTGCAGCCTCCAGGATCACCTTGTTCCTTGTTCACCTCGCATGCGCGCGCAACCCCACGGACATGTGGCACGTCTCCTGCATGCGCCCCGCTCCTCCGCATCCCAAAAATAAGCATAGCCGGTGGAAGGTTAAACTCTGCAGGTTAAAGATCTTTTTATTGAGATTGGCCAAAGAATCTTGCAAGTCTCCTTTTTCTGGATTCTTCTCTCCTTCTTATACTCCAGTGAATTAGGGAGGTGTCTCCCAGATCCTCTTCTGAATGTGGCCTCGTTGTTCTAGACTTAAAAATGCTTCAATCCTTTTTCCCAGGGAGCACTTTCTGCATAATTGTGTTGAGGTCTCCTTTCTTACCCTCTTCAGTAACTGATTTATTTGCACTGCAGAAAAATGCCAGAAGGAAATAGACGCTTTTCTGGGAAGTAATTCAAACCTGCAATGTGAAGATCGGGAAAAGCTGCCCTACACAAATGCCGTCATTCATGAAATCCAGCGCTGTACAACTGTTGTTCCTCTCGGAGTAGCTCACGCACCCATCCAAAATGCACGGTTTTGGGGCTATCAAATTCCCAAGGTAAAACTGGGAACTTTCACAGGAGGGCCATGGGTCTGGAGGCTAAATTGTACAATGAAGGGAACTATGTATATTTAGCCAAATGAAGGGAAGGATTAGGGGAGACCTGATAGCAGTCTTCCAATCCTTGAATGGAAATCCCAGAGAAGAGGGGACAAGGATTAAGGGAGACATGACATCATAGCAGTCTTCCAATACTTAAAGGGCTGCCAGAGAAAAGAAGGGGTCAATTTATTCTCCAAAGACAGGGCAAGAAGCAATGGGTGGAAGCTCAACATAAGAAGATCCAACCAGGAATTTTCTGAAAATGACAATAATTAATCAGTGAATTAGAATTTTTTTATTGGCCAAGTGTGATTGGACACACAAGGAATTTGTCTTGGTGCATATGTTCTCAGTGTACATAAAAGACAAGATACGTTCCTCAAGAATCATAAGGTACAACACTTAATGATAGTCATAGGGTACAAATAAGCAATCAAATAATATTAGGAAACAGTCAATATAAATCATAAGGATACCAGCAACAAAGTTACAGTCATACAGTCCTGCAGTCATAAGTGGGAGGAGATGGGTGATAGGAACGATGAGAAGATTAATAGTAAGGCAGACTTAGTGAATAGTTTGACAACGTTGAGGGAATTATTTGTTTAGCAGAGTGTTGGTTTTCAAGAAAAAACTCCCCTTATGTCTAGTTGTTCTGATGTGCAGTGCTCTATACATCATTTGAGGGTAGGAGTTGAACCAGTTTATGTACAGGATGCGAGGTGTCAGGTTTCGATGCTATCTCAAAATAAATGAATTTCCAAACTGCCGATCTTTAAGGAAATTTTCTTTTTATTCGAGCACAGCAATCTGATCCTGGCTCTTTCGCGGTCAGTACTGACCTTTGCCCCCCAATCCCTCCCTTTCCGATCCCCAATTCTCTGCTTCTCATTGGCTATCTTCCAAGTCACTTTCCTGATCCCTTCTTCGTCAGATCACAGGAATGTCTCCCCCCTCTCCCTTCTCCGAGGAGACAGAATCTTCAAAGGGATTTAGTAGGCAAAAGTTCAGGCTTCTCCTCTCTTTATTATATGTCAGTGCTGGGACGCTGACACGAGGGGTCTGTCAATATTTTCACAGCCCTCTTTTTGATTCGTGCAGTATGCAGGTCCTCCATGGAAGGCAGATTGGTAGCCATTGTTTTTTCTGCAGTTCTGATTATCCTCTGAAGTCCGTGTCTGTCTTGTTGGGTTGCAGAGCCAAACCAGACAGTTATGGAGGTGCAGATGACACTCAATGATTCCTCTGTAGAACTGGATCAGCAGATCCTTGGGCAGTTTGAGCTTTCTGAGTTGGCGCAGAAAGAACATACTTTGTTGTGCTTTTTTGATGACGTTTTTGATGTTGGGTGTTCATTTTAGATCTTGTGATATGATAGAACCTAGAAATTATTAATCATTGGATTAATTCATTAATTCCACTAATTAATTACTCCATGGAAAAACTGCCAGTGCTCCATCATTGGAGGTTTTCAAGAAAAGGTTGGAGAGCCATTTATCTGGGATGCTATAAGGACTCCTGATTCTATGATTCCAGAAATAGTTCTTTTCACCATCAGTGGTCCATTCTTGAACTAGATCTCAAAAGGGCTAAGCCAAATTGATTCCAGATCCCTTCCATCACTCAGCATTTTCTTCTGTATGATCTTGTTTTACTGACATTTGCAGGGCACGACCATTTTGACCAACCTCCATTCTGTTCATCACGATGAATCCCAGTGGAAGTTCCCACACGAGTTCAACCCCTCCAACTTCCTGAATGCAAAGGGAGAGTTTGTGAAGCCGGAAGCCTTTTTGCCATTTTCAGCAGGTAAATTCTCTCTTTCTCTCTGTTTTCCTTTGAATGGGAAGGGATGCACAATAGGAAGAATCAGGGATTAGACAACCCTGTGAACTCAGCTCCTGTACTTAAGCCTACTTCAGGGCACCATTGGGTGGAGAAAACTAGGATGCATGCTTTAATTATTTTAACGTTTTTTAATTTTTGTGATGGGTTTGTATTTAATATGGCTGTACACCACCCTGAGTCCTTCGGGAGAAGGGCGGTATAGAAATGTAAATAAATAAATAAATAAATAAATAAATAAATAAATAAATAAATAAATAAATAAATAAATAAATAAATAAATAAATATCATGTGAATGAGGCCAACGGGGAGCAAATGAAAAGTGTATTCACTTTGGGGATATCATCACCCATACTTGTGAAAGCACTCCTTCTCTGCATGAGTGTATCCTTCAGCAGGCTAAAATATGCCATTTCATCAACCCATTCCAGAAACCAGGAAATACATCTTTTCCTTTGCTATTCTCTCCCTCTCCCACTCCCTCTCCCCTCCCTCTCCTTCTCCTTCTCCTTCTCCTTCTCCCTCTCCCCTTCCCTCTCCTTCTCCCTCTCCCCTTCCCTCTCCTTCTCCCTCTCCCCTTCCCTCTCCTTCTCCCTCTCTCCCTCCTCTCCCCTTCCCTCTCCCTCTCCCCTCCCCTTCTCTCTCCTTCTCCCTCTCCCTCTCCTTCTCTCTCTCCCTTTCCTTCTCCCTTCCCCTTCCCTCTCCTATTCCCTCTCTCTTCCCTCTCCCTTTTCTTCTCCCTCTTCCTCAACCTACCCCTTTCCTCTCTTTCTTTCTCCCTCTCCCCTCCGTCTCCGTCCCCTTCCCTGTCCCTCTCCTTCGGCCTCTCCTTCTCTCCCTCCCTCTCTCTCACACACAAAGATATAAATCCATTAATCCTAAGGATACTAGTTAGTTTCACATGACACTACAAAACCACAAGTCTGAGTTTCAGGGGTGCTGTTTTATCATCAAAGTGTGTGCTGCTCTAGATGAATAGCTGTGATCGTTCATCTTGTCCTTGATTTTTCAGGACCAAGGGTCTGCTTAGGAGAAAATCTGGCTCGGATGGAGCTCTTCCTCTTCCTCACCACCATCCTGAGAAACTTCCGGCTATCTTGGCCACATAAATCCCAGGCACCAGATCTCACACCTAACTTTGGTGTCACACAATTCTCATCAAGCTTTAAAATATCCATGAAAGGCCTCCAGGAGAGTGACTAGATCGAGGGAAGGTTTCTCCATCACTCAAGACAATGTCGTCCTCTCCAAGAAGATACTGAAGACACTTGAAAGATTCAGATGAAATTCATAGGCTACGTGCTTTGAAAGCTGTTACGTGAGCAAATGATTTATCCTAGATGATCTCAAAAAATTATCTTCAATATTGTAGACCTGATTTTGAAGAAATCATGTTGTTCTGTGGGTATAAATATATGTGGACCTGACCTTGGGAGGAGGAAGAGCTGCAGGCTAGACCACAGTGAGTTAAGAGGCAACTGAGCCTGCAGAAAGAATGGGCACAAGGCAAATCTCTGAGAGGGGACCCTCCCTAGTTTTAATCAATCTGAATACAACTGGAAGGGACCTTGGAGATCTTCTAGACCAACCCCCTGCTCAAGCAGGAGAACCTGTACCATTTCAGATAAGTTACTGGACAGCCTCTTCTTAAAGACCTCCAGTGATGAAGCACCCACAACTTCTGGTGGCGAGCTGTTCCACTGGTTAATTGTCCTCACAGATAGGAATTTTCTCCTTCATTCCAGGTTGTTTCTCTCCTAGATTAGTTTCCATCCATTGTTTCTTGTCTTGCCTTCAGGTACTTCGATAAATAAGTTGGCCCTCTCTTCTTTGGGGCAGCCCTTCAAATTCTGGAATACTGTTGTCATGTGTCCCCCTTTCTCCCCCAGTCCTTCTTTTCTCTAGACTAAAGGTAAAATTAAAGGTTCCCCTCGCACATATGTGCTAGTCGTTCCCGGCTCTAGGGGGTGGTGCTCATCTCCGTTTCAAAGCCAGGCCTGTCTGAAGACGTCTCCGTGGTCATGTGGTCAGCTTGACTAAACCCCAAAGGTGCACGGAACACTGTTCCCTTCCCAACAAAGGTGGTCCCTATTTTTCTACTTGCATTTTTTGCGTGCTTTCGAACTGCTAGGTTGGGCAGAAGCTGGGACAAGTCACAGGAGCTCCCCCCGTTATGCGGCACTAGGGATTCGAACCGCTGAACTGCCAACCTTTCGATCGACAAGTTCAGCGTCTTAGCCACTGAGCCACTGCATCCCTAAAGGATCCTCCTACATAAAGGGTTTCAGCCAATCTCCAAAGATCTCACAAACACATTGTGTTTTTAACACATTTCTTTCATTCATTGATATTCATCATCTGTTTTATGTATAATTTGCATCTGCACAACCGGCCTGCCTTTCTCCTCCTCCTCCTCCTCCCTTCCCTATCACCTCATTCAAATTTAAATCCTAGATCAGTTTAATCACACAATAAATCTGTAGTTGTCACTGTAGTTCACAAATGTGTATTCCTTTTAATAAAATTAAAGAAACAGGCTTACACGATGTCTGAGCTTTTCTCATATAGATTAATATGTCTCCCTACCTATGATGGCTATTCCTTGGACTGATTCTGCTATAAAGAATGGAGTTTTTCCAAAAATAAAATTTGAATTTCACAAATTAGCATTTAAGGGACACCCAGCGAAAAACTAGCAATGCTTCGAAATGCTAAGCATTTCTATGAAATATCACATGAATGCGATAGAGCAGGGGTGTCAAACTCATGTTATTTCATTTCATTTCATTTATTGGATTTGTATATCACCCTACTCCCGAAGGACTCAGGGCGGTGAACAGCCACAGAATAAAACACATAAATACAAAATTTAAAAACAGAATAAAACCGAATTAAACAATTTGGCCGAGACAAATTTAAAACACCCAATAATTTTAAAAACAAATTAAAATTTACATTTTAAAGGGGAAAGATTTAGGCCAGGCCGGCTTGATGGAATAAAAAAGTCTTGAGAGTGTGACGGAAGGTGCGCAGATCCGGGATCCTCCTTATCTCCGGGGGGAGCTCGTTCCAGATAGTAGGTGCCCCCACAGAGAAGATGCTCCCCCTGGGGGCCGCCAGTCGACACTGTTTGGCCGACGGCACCCAGAGGAGTCCTTCTCTATGAGAGCATACCGGCTGGTGGGAGGCTATTGGTGGTAGCAGGCGGTCCCGTAAATAACCAGGTCCTAAGCCATGGAGCGCTCTAAAGGTGGTAACCAAAACCTTGAAGCGCACCCGGAAGACCACCGGGAGCCAGTGCAGCTCACGCAGGAGAGGTGTTACATGGGAACGCCACGTTGCTCCCATAACCACCCGCGTGGCCGCACTCTGCGCCAGTTGGAGCCTCCGAGTGCTCCTCAAGGGGAGCCCCATGTAGAGAGCATTACAGTAGTCCAGGCGGGAGGTGACGAGGACATGAGTGACTGTGTGTAAGGAGTCCCGATCTAGAAAGGGGCGTAATCATGGCGTTGTCACGTGAGATATCACTACTTCCCCCTTTTGCTAAACCAGGTGTGGGTGTGGCTAGTGCGTGACGCATCTGGCCTGCGGGCCATGAGTTTGACCCCTGCAATAGAGGGTAATTATGGACCAGAAGAAAAAAACATGTGCAAATTTGGTTTACAAGCTTTGTAAATCATAAGGTTGCTTCTTGTAGCCTGGGAGAAGAACAGGCAGAACTGGAGGGTGGAGTTCAATGTGTCATCAGTTTAGAGTGTTTGCATTGCCACAAACAATCCACTGATTCTTATCTAGCGCCAGTTTAGTGGTGACTGTTAGTCAACTAGATTCTTGTGTTTAGGCTACTTTCTGAGCCACAATTCAACCTATGATCCTGATCCTTTGCACCTGATACCAGACTGGAAATCATAGGGTTGGTTTTGGAAGCGGGGACGTGGGGAAGAGGAAGGGAAGGAATGTGAACTGAATTGAGTAAGAAAATAATGCAAAACATGTGAAGTCACATTAGAGATATGATCATGGCCAGAGGTTCCTAACTTCTGAGTGTTTTCTTTCTGTTCGGCTTTCAAATCAGTGTTGTCATTGGGCCTTCGAAGAGTTACCTGGAGCTATGCCGGAGTCAGTTCACAGAGTTGGGGGATTGGCTAAACCATCAATTAAATCTTTGTTTGGTCATTGACCAATGACTCGGCGGGCTAAACAACAAGGAACCTGTTTTCCCCTGCTTCACAACATTTCCATTAAGCGTTTCTATAAAATAACACAAATGCAATGTAGGCTGAATGTGGAGCAGGCAAAAACTTGCAAAGTTAGAGTACAACTGACGTTGCATGAAACAGAGTATAAATCATGGGGTTGCTTTTTGTAGCCTTTGAAAAGAGCAGGCAGAACTGGAGGGTGGAGTTCAATGTGTCATCAGTTTAGAGTGTTTGCATTGCCACAAACCATCCAAGTCCAGTCCTTCTTGAATTCCATCGATTCTTATCTATCCCCAATTTAATGCTGACTGCTATTTGACTAGATTCTTGTGTTTAGGCTACAGCAATAAAACTTTCTGAACTACAACTCAACCTATGGTCCTGATCCTTTGCACCTGACACCAGGCTCTGGAAATCATAGGGTTGGTCTTGGTAGCTGGGAACATGTGGGGGGAAGAGGAGGGGAAGGAATGTGAGCTGCATTGAGTAAGGAAATAATCCAAAACATATGAAGCCAAACCAGAGATATGAGTTGTGATGGTGCGTGGCTGGAAAGACGCGCTGCAGACTAATTCTGCCAACAGTCTGGAGTTTGATCCTGACCTGCTCAAGGTTGACTCAGCCATCCATCCTCCAGAAGTTGATAAAATGAGGACCCAGATTGTTGCGGGCAATAGACTGACTCTGTAAACTGCTTAGAGAGGGCTGTGAAGCACTGTGAAGTGGTATATAAGTCTAAGTGCTACTGTTATTACCCTTCCTTCCTTCCTTCCTTCCTTCCTTCCTTCCCTCCCTCCCTCCCTCCCTCCCTCCCTCCCTCCCTCCCTCCTATAGTAAGTGTTGCAGGCTGACTCTGCCCACTGCCAGCAGTTAGATTCTCCCCGGCTCAAGGTTGACTCAGCCATCCATCCTTCCGAGGTCGATAAAATGAGGACCCAGATTGTTGGGGGTAATAGGCTGACTCTGTAAACTGCTTAGAGAGGGCTGTAAAAGCACTGTGAAATGGAATATAAGTCTAAGTGCTACTGTTATTACCCTCCCTCCCTCCCTCCCTCCCTCCCTCCCTCCCTCCTATAGTAAGTGTGTGGGTAGAATGCAGTATTGCGGGCTGACTCTGCCCACTGCCAGCAGTTTGATTGTCCCCGGCTCAAGGTTGACTCAGCCTTCCATCCTTCCGAGGTCGATAAAATGAGGACCCAGATTGTTGGGGGCCATCAATCTGTAAACTCTAAGCAGTTTACTAAGCAGTAAACTGCTTAGAGAAGGCTGTGAAGCACTGTGAAGCATTATGTAAGTCTAAGTGCTATTGCTATTGCTATCAGGGCCAGGGTTTTGTATTTTTTGGATGGTTTTTACTTGCTCTAGGTGTCATCGAATCACTTCATGGTGGGTGGGAGTGGGGTCTAAACATTAGATACCTGTTTTTCCTTGTTTCACGACATCGCCATTATGTCGCATTTTGGCTTGTATTCTTTCTAACCCAGGGCGTGAAACGAACTAGGGAATGACAAATGGTCCTGATTCGAGGACACCCTGTTGCCAAGGGTTTGGATCACAATCCCGTGTGACCCCTGTGGTTGCTGCAATAGTTGTGTAAGGACCGACTGTAAGTCATTTTTTTCCCCCAGTGTCATCAGAAGTTTGAATGGTCCCTGATCAATTGCTCATAAATCAAAGGCCACCTGTTGATGAAGGGAAAGATTTTAACGGCAGGAAAACCCAAACTTTCCTGTTTGTTAAGTTGCAGCTTGTGAAATCTAGATTCTCTTCAAAGTTTATCTTTCATCCTGACCTTAAAGATTTAATCTATGGCTGATTTGCTAAAGTCACCACAGCAGAGAAAGACAGAGAGAGGTGTCTTTTCTAACCAACATGGTTATTCTCAGCTGGCTGATCGTTCTTTCCCTCCTATTCCTCTATTTATGGAAGAACCAACGCCCCAAAGGCTTTCCCCCTGGACCATGGGGCCTCCCCCTGATTGGGAACCTGCTTCAGTTCAGTAAGAAGGACCCTCTCAAGGACCTGGATCAGGTACGGCTTCTTATCCGATCCCTCATTAATCCCCTCTGTGTGAATCAGCCAAAGATGAAGGACATTTCCTTGCAATTAGTTAAGCGTCTTGCTGCAAAACAGGAGATCAAAGTAAGATTTAGGGAAAGAAATTTTCAGAATGCTACCTAGATATTAAAGGATTCTGCTCTGTAGAAATATATGTTTGATTCGAAGGAATCCTAATAGTTAATGGGATCAGGCTGCTCTTGAGAGAATCAATAGCTTTTTAAGATGAAATCAATCCTAGAACTATGTTTGACTTTCATGGGCTTTGAAAGAAATTCAGTACTTTGAAGGACGTAAATACAGATCATTTAAGAAGAAAACAGATGTTTTTTCAGTAATTAAAAGGCGGTGGTTATATGCCTGCCACTCCTGGTTATTTAAAGTGAAATTGTTGGTGGAGCTTTGTTGTTTTTGCTGTTGAGTCTTCTTGCTATTCTTGTCCCCTCTTTCAATGGCCTTTCTTCAATCTACATCTGTATTGCAGTTTTATATTACATTTCCACTCATTAACCTATTCTTAATTAAAATGCTAACTTATTGAGCTTAGCTCAATGGTAATTCCATAACGTTGGGCTCTGTTTTTTAGCTGTCCTTCTATAGTTTTTAAGACAGGCTATTGGTAAGGTTGCAATATTTTTCTAGCACTTATGAAAGAATAATTTGATCTGATTCGTAAACTAGGCTAAATTAAGAAAGTAAATTGAGTTGTGGGAATGGAGGGAAGCATGTGTCTATGGAGATTCTCAATCATCCAGGTCATAAGTGTCTATCAGGGCAATCTGGTCTACCCAATTATGGGATGGAGCATACTGCTTCCGCTTTCGCCTTTCAGCCCCAATCCGGGAGCCTTCGTAGGCAGTCGCTTTTGTGACAAACTCTTTTTGTGTGGAATTTATATTTTACTGACAAAGAAATAAAGGGAGACTAGCATAGATCTATTTCAAGATGTTTAGCTAGTTGAATGTCCTAATGCTTCTAGGTTAATCCCGGTGATTTCATTTCAGCTAGCTCAAAAATACGGTCCCATCTTCAGCCTCTACATCGGAGGAACGCTTGTGGTCTTCACTCATGGGTTTTCTTCAGCCAAAGAGGTCCTGGTGACAAAAGGCATAGAATTTGCTGGAAGGCCAGATAATCCAATAGTAGATGATATCGTGAAGAAAAAAGGTACCAATATATCCTTTCCAAACACTGTTTTTCCTCTCTACTTTTGTTGTTCGCTTTGTTGGATCTTTATGTTGGCAATTAGTGGCTATGTGAATCAACAGCAGAGATAGTATTCAGATGTTGGCAATTAGTGGCTATGTGAATCAACAGCAGAGATAGTATTCAGCCGGTTCGCACCAGTTCGCGTGAACCGTTGGCGGAAATTTGGACAAGGTTACCGAACTGGTAGCGATGGCCGGCTGGCCACATCCCTGAACCAGTTCCCCGGACACCGCTCGCTCACCCTGCCTGCCATGTTCTCCGCCGCCATGTTCTTCGCGCATGCTCATCCTATTGCCTTGCAAGTCCAATGGGATATGCATGCATGAAGAACATGGCAGCGAGGGCAGCAGCTTTTTCTGTGCCCTCCAGTACTTTTTGGTGGCCTGCTTCTTTGCCAGCCACTTTCCAGCAGGGGCAGCTGGCAGGGGGCTGTCGAAAACTCCGGTCGGCTTGCCTTCTGAACTCTAGACCAGCTGCCGTGGAAGGTAAGCAGCCTGAACAAAGAGGCGGTGGTGGGAGAGGAAGGGGGCTAGGGCCGAGGCTTTTAAAGGAGGGGAAATGACTGGCGAAGGGAGGGCAGGGATAGATAGGTGGAAATTCCCAAAATTTTCCTACCTTTTCCTGTGGACATGGCTAGGTGTGGGGGTTCATGTGACTGAGTGGGCATGGGCGTGAGTGATATCAAGTTGGCCATGCCCACTCAGTCACATGCCCCCCCAGCCACGCCCACCGAACTGGTAGCGAAAATTTTTGAAACCCACCACTGATCAACAGAATAATTAATTAATTAATTAGCAGGTTATACCATTAGGTTAACATAAGAAAAATACAAAAGAATCATTGTAGTTCAAATGCTTGAGCGGCACAGTGGCCTAGAGGTGGAGCTCTCATCTCACAATCAGGAGTCTGTGATTTCGGTCCTATATTTCTCTCTCTGGGCACAAAGAAAATTTTTTTTGCTGTGAGCTCCACATAGGCGTCAGGAAGGGTATCCGGCCAGTAAATGCTCATATCCGTCCAGTCGTCTAACTCCACACTGATGCAAGGGATTACAGGGTCATTAAAAGAAAAAAAAAGTGTAATTCCAGTGCTTCATTTTTGGTCTTTCATTGTTACAGGCATAGTAGCAGCACCCTATGGTCAAGCATGGAAAGAACAACGGAGGTTTTCATTGATGCTTCTCAGAAATTTTGGACTGGGCAAAAAATCAATGGAAGAGAAGATCTTGCAGGAGGCATCTTATATGATTCAAACATTTACTGATAACATGGGTAAGTTCTCCTGGGACAGGATGGTCATATCAATGTTGCTTCTTTTTTCCACAGGACGCAATTCAGTTGATCTCAAAGTTGACCAGTGAGCTTAGAATTCTGTTTGCATAAAAATAGAGCAAATTAAAATATGATCACAGTATTCATAGGATGGCTGGGGAATTCTGTAGGAAAGAGTTCAATTGATTCCATAGTTGATTGTATGGATGTTTTGACTAGTTGTGGATGTTGCAAAATGCGCAAATCATGGTTGTGTTATCTCATATGCTGCAGAGAGCTGCAAACACAGGCTGCAAAACCCAAGATGAGATCCCATAATTATGTGTTGGGGGAGATGGACAATGGAACTTCCACTCTGACTCCAATCACCTGTTTTTGGAGTCTCTTTTAACTTTGAAGGGTTATAAATTGAGAACTTGTTGAAGAGCAACCATCATGGATGGGAGGAGGACTCAAGCAAGGAAGCAGTCTGGTCTCCCTACATAAACACAAGCAGTCTCAGCCTCCTTGAATGATTTAGAACTTTTCCTGCTCTTTCCCAGGCGAAAGCTTCCAGTCTCGGAAGATTCCTGTATTATAGGCAGAGAACAATAAAGTAGCTAGTTTGAACTCTGCATGTCTGGTTGTTTACACCTCACAGGACTTTCTTACATTCTTTTGCTTTATTCCACAGGTGCCCCTTTTGATCCTTCTCTATTTCTTGAAACTGCAGTCACCAACATCATGTCCTCCATTCTGTTTGGGAAACGTTTTGAAAACAACGACAACTCTTTGAGGACTGTGATGTATGCGATACATCAAAATATCAAAATGGCAACAGGATCCTGGGCCATGGTATCCTCAAAAGGGGTGCAGGAAAATGATCACGATTCCCAAAACGCTAGTGGGAATTTCGGTCTATTGCAATTAGATGTTCCAGCCATCTTAAAAAGGCTGACGTTGAGAAACACCAACTTGCAGGATATTATAAGACTGGTAGAAAAAAATGCCTTAACATATATTGGAATTTACCCAATTTTCCTTGCACAATTTTATTTATTTTTTAAGGAGCAGCATAATTTTATGACTGACTTGATTAAGCCAGCAGGAAGCAGAGTTAATTATGGCGAGTGGTGCAGTGGCCTAGAGGTGGAGCTCTCGCCTGACAATCAGGAGGCTGTGAGTTCAATCCTAGGTTGAAGCAGGTATTTCTCACTCTCTGGGCACACTGAGAATATATCTGCTGGAAAAAAACCTCCGCATTGGTGACAGGAAGGGCATCTGGCCAGTAAACACTTGCTCCATTCAGTTGCCCAGACTCCATCCTGCAAGAGATTATGGGGTCGTTAAAAGGTGATGATACAGAGTTAATTAGGGCATGACACTTCTTTATTAAAATATTATTTGGATATTTGTGTCCTATCAAACTTGAATAGGAGATAATATATATGAACATATGAATATAGATGGTCAAAGGTGTTTTTTCTCTAGCAACACATTCTATAATATTAAGATTATAACTATAATTATAATATTATTTTACTTAATGTTGATTTCTTTTCTCTTTGTTGGCAGCTTTATAATGCTGTGCCCTTAGTGAGAAATCTTCCCCTGCCCCATCAGAGAATAGTAAGAAATGGCCATAAAATTTTTTCTTTTCTTGAAAAAAATGCTGGAGGAACACAAGGCAACCTTGATCCCTGGAGAAACCTGGGATTTCATTGATGCATATTTAGAAGAAATAAAGGAGGTAAAAAAATTCACTCCACTTTGTTTCATTTTGCACTCTTATATAGTTTTTCTCATTGAGTGGTGCGGTGGCCTAGAGGCGGTGCTCTCAACTCACAATCAGGAGGCTGTGAGTTCGATCCTAGGTAGAGGCAGATACTTCTCTCTCTGGGCAGGTTGAAAATATATCTGCTGAATATAACTCCGCATTGGTGACAGGAAAGGCATCCGGCCAGTAAACACTCAGCTACATTTAGTTGCCCAGACTCCACCACGCAAGTGATTTTGGGGTCGTTAAAAGACGGTGATGATATAAATTTTCTCATCTTATATCCGTGGCTACCAAATTACAGTTGTGTGACTATGAAAAAGAGGTCTCTGGTAGTTGGCCCTAACCTCATTTGATAATCTAAAAGCATACATGATAATCTAAAAGCATACGTTGCTTGGTCAGTTAAACAGCTTCCACACAAAGTCGTTTGAAATTTGTGTGAATTAGAGTTTTGTCCTAAAGAAAGGAACAAGCTATTGTGTTATCTGAACTCATCTATGGGACTTTGCTTAGCCTGTTGCATAAACCCTGCCAACCCATTGCTCTAAATCAGAACATGAATGAATGTGAACTTCATTCAACAGATGCGATTGGAAAATATCCTAGAATAATACAAATGGCCCTCAACCTATAACCTCATTTGGGACTGGAGCTTCCATCACGAAGCAAGGCACTTGTGAAGCGATGCACACCCTATTTCACAACCTTGTTTGCCTGAGTGTTAAGTGAATCACCAGGATTGTTAACTGAATTGTATGGTTATTAAGCAAATCCAGCTTCTCCCATGGACTTTGCTTGTCAGAGAGAGAGTGGAAACCTTATAAAATGGTGATCAACATGGCCCTGGGATGCTGCAACCGTCATAAATGCATGCTGGTTTCCAAGTGCCCAAATTTTGATCCTGTGAATGCAGGATACTGTGATGGTCATAAGTGTGAGAAGAGTCCCTAAGTCATAAGAGATTGGACAGCCATTTGTCTGAAATGGTATAGGTTTCCTCCCTATGCAGGGGGTTGGATGTGAAGACTTCCATGGTCTTGACTCTTCTCTTCTCTTCTCTTCTCTTCTCTTTCTCTTCTCTTCTCTTCTCTTCTCTTCTCTTCTCTTCTCTTCTCTTCCCTTCCCTTCTCTTCCCTTCTCCTCTCTCTCCTCTCTCTCTCTCTCTCTCCTCTCCTCTCCTCTCCTCTCCTCTCCTCTCCTCTCCTCTCCTCTCCTCTCCTCTCCTCTCTTCTTTTCTTTTCTTTTCTTTTCTTTTCTTTTCTCCTCTCCTCTCCTCTCCTCTTCTCTTCTCGTCTATTCTTCATTTCAGCACTGTCATAACCTCAAACTATCAGTGTACTAATGGTTCAGGACTATATGTTGAGGACTATTTTCTCTTTCTTTCTTTGTTTTAATAAATAAAAGGCAGAGAGGAAAGTTTCGAGTTTTGAAGAAGAACAATTACTAATTTTACTGGTGGACCTTTTAACTGCTGGATCAGAAACAATGGTTGGCACACTTTGGTGGGCATTGCTGTATTTGGTAGCCTTTCCAGAGGTCCAAGGTATGGAAATGACTAAGATCTTCTAATAACCCTTTCTAAAAGCTTCATTTGTATACAGACTGGTATGTTTAGAACTATTACACCTAGAAGAATTCCCAGATAGAGAGGCATTGCTCTCCCACAACTCAAAGAGAGGACCAAGTTGAGAAAGACACAAAATGTGGGGAACCAGTGTAAAGTTTTCAAATATATATGTAAGAGATGACATGGCTGAGCCTGAAGGAGGAGTCAAGTGCATCATTAGTCTCGAGTCCCTTCATGCCCACAAGAGATCTAAGTCCTGCCCACTTTGAATTCCGTTGACTCTTATCTCTCTCCAATTTGCTTTGACCAGAAGAGTAGAAGACCTCCAAGGTGTCAGTGTTCCAGAAAACCCCAACTCCAAATAAAAACTCTGACGCAAGCATTTTCCAAAGTTCTCTTTACTAGAATAGATAAACTGGCACATCTGGGAAAACCTGAATCTGAAAGGTCTGGGTTTTCCCTCAGTAAATCAAAACCCCAAAAACCATCCCCTCACTCCTCAGTCGATCACATGCTGCAATCAACGTCCATCCCATCTCCACTCAGCACTCTGACCACTCCTTCTCCAGATGCCGGATCGCCCTGACCTTGACGGACAGGAAGAATGCTATTATGTCTACCAACAATCCCTCTATTAATTCCCCCCTCCTAGTTTCCCACACATGAGAAGGTGGCAGCATGGAAGCTTCTGGCCTAATATGGCTTCCAAAGCTGACAGGTCTCTTCCAACTCTGTTGTGATTGATTGATTGATCGATTGATTGATCTTGCACATCTCATTTGGATGGATATCCTCCCCTTCTTATACTATAGTGATTAGGGAGCGGTCTTTCACATTCTCTTCTGAATGTTATCTAATTGTTTTCCCCTTAAAAATGCTTCAGTCAGAAATATAATCAGAAATTAGATAGAACAGAAGTACAACGTGCATATAGTTACTTCCTTATGGGCGAATAAATCTTCAGAAAGGATCTCAGAATGCGAAGGCATAATTTAAACATATAACATACAGACTAGAAGTCCTCAAGAGTAAAAGAGAGGAGAGCATAAAGAAGTAATAATAAACCATTATTTTAGGATTTAAGGGAATAAGAAAATTGTATTACTGAAAAGACCATTACGAAACAGACGTTTCAAATGATTGACTATTTATAACTGTTTATTTTATAATGTATATTTTGTTTTTTGTTTTGTTTTTGTCATTTGTGTTTACTATGTTTTTTTTTCTTTATCTGTATTAATAAAGTTTATAAATTTAAAAAAGAAATGCTTCAGTCCTTCTTCTCAGGGAGCACTTTCTGCATAATTGTGTTGAGGTCTCCTTCCTTACTCTCCTCAGTAACTGATTTATTTGCACTGCAGGGAAATGCCAGAAGGAAATAGACGCTTTTCTGGGAAGTAATTCAAACCTGCAATGTGAAGATCGGGAAAAGCTGCCCTACACAAATGCCGTCATTCATGAAATCCAGCGCTGTACAACTATTGTTCTTCTTGGAGTAGCTCACACACCCATCCAAAATGCACGGTTTTGGGGCTATCAAATTCCCAAGGTAACACTGGGAACTTTCACAGGAGGGCCATGGGTCTGGAGGCTAAACTGTGCAATGAAGACTAAGGCAACTTGGTATATTTAGCCAAATGAAGGGAAGGATTAGGGGAGACCTGATAGCAGTCTTCCAATCCTTGAATGGAAATCACAGAGAAGAGGGGACAAGGATTAGGAGAGGCATGACATCATAGCAGTCTTCCAATACTTAAAGGGCTGCCAGAGAAAAGAAGGGGTCAGTTTATTCTCCAAAGCACCTGGGTGAAAACACATCACAGGGAGCTCCAGACAGGAAATAAGGGGGGATTTCCGGAAAGTGAGAATGGTTAATCAGTGGGAAAGCTAGCCTCACCATTTTATTTTTTTTAATTTGATTTATATGCCGCCCTTCTCCGGAGACTCAGGGTGGCTTACAAGGCGTTAAGCAATAGCCTTCATACTTTTTGTATATTTATACAAAGTCAGCTTATTGCCCCCACAAACCGGGTCCTCAATTTACCTACCTTAGAAAGGATGGAAGGCTGAGTCAACCTTGAGCCTGGCAAGGTTCGAACTTACTAATTGCAGACAGCTGGAGTTAAATTACAATGCATTAGTCTGCTGAGCTAGCCAGGCTCCTTGCTGGAGGTTTTCCAGACAAAGTTGGAGAGCCAACCCTTCAAGCCTTACGATTCCATGAAAGATTCTTTTCACTATCATCAGTTCATTTTTAAACCAGATCTCAAAAGGGCTAAGCCAAATTGATGGTGGTGCCCTGCTATTTGCAGGGCACAACCATTTTGACCAACCTCCATTCTGTTCATCACGATGAATCCCAGTGGAAGTTCCCACACGAGTTCAACCCCTCCAACTTCCTGAATGCAAAGGGAGAGTTTGTGAAGCCGGAAGCCTTTTTGCCATTTTCAGCAGGTAAATTCTCTCTCTCTCTCTGTTTTCCTCTGAATGGGAAGGGCTGCACAATAGGCAGAATCAGGGATTAGACAACCCTGTGAACTCAGCTCCTGTACTTAAGCCTACTTCAGGGCACCATTGGGTGGAGAAAACTAGGATGCATACTTTAATTATTTTAACGTTTTTTAATTCTTGTGATGGGTTTGTATTTAATATGGCTATACACCACCCTGAGTCCTTCGGGAGAAGGGCGGTATAGAAATGTAAATAAATAAATAAATAAATAAATAAATAAATAAATAAATAAATAAATAAATAAATAAATAAATAAATATCATGTGAATGCTGCCAACGGGGAGCAAATGAAAAGTGTATTCACTTTGGGGATATCATCACCCATACTTGTGAAAGCACTCCTTCTCTGCATGAGTGTATCCTTCAGCAGGCTAAAATATGCCATTTCATCAACCCATTCCAGAAACCAGGAAATACATGTTTTCCTTTGCTATTCTCTCCCTCTCCCCCTCCCTCTCCTTCTCCCTCACCTCCCCTCCCCTCTCCTCCTCCCTCTCCCTTTCCTTCTCCCTCCCCTTCCCTCTCCTATTACCTCACTCTTTCCTTCTCCCTTTCCTTCTCCTTCTTCCTCTCCCTTCCCCTCTCCCTCTCCCCTCCCCTTCCCTCTCCTTCTCCCTCTCTTTCTCTCTCTCCCTTTCCTTCTTCCTCTCCCTTCCCTTCTCCCTCTCCCCTCCCCTTCCCACCCTTCTCCCCTCTTCTCTCTCTCCCCTTTCCTTCTCTTCTCCCTCTCCCTTCTCTTCTCCCTCTCTCCTCCCCTTCCCTCTCCTTCTCCCCCTCTTTCTCTCTCTCCCTTTCCTTCTCCCTCTCCCTTCCCTTCTCCCTCTCCCCTCCCCTTCCCACTCCTTCTCCCTTTCCTTCTCCCTCTCCCTTCCCTTCTCCCTCTCCCCTCCCCTTCCCACTCCTTCTCCCTCTCTTTTTCTCTCCCTTTCCTTCTCCCTCTCCCTTCCCTTCTCCCTTTCCCCTCCCCTTCCCACTACTTCTCCTTCTCTTTCTCTCTCCCCTTTCCTTCTCCCTCTCCCTTCCCTTCTCCCTCTCCCCTCCCCTTCCCACTCCTTCTCCCTCTCTTTCTCTCTCCCTTTCCTTCTTCCTCTCCCTTCCCTTCTCCCTCTCCCCTCCCCTTCCCACTCCTTCTCCCGCTCTTTCTCTCTCTCCCTTTCCTTCTCCCTCTCCCTTCTCTTCTCCCTCTCTCCTCCCCTTCCCTCTCCTTCTCCCTCTCTTTCTCTCTCTCCCTTTCCTTCTCCCTCTCCCTTCCCTTCTCCCTCTCCCCTCCCCTTCCCACTCCTTCTCCCTTTCCTTCTCCCTCTCCCTTCCCTTCTCCCTCTCCCCTCCCCTTCCCACTCCTTCTCCCTCTCTTTCTCTCTCCCTTTCCTTCTCCCTCTCCCTTCCCTTCTCCCTTTCCCCTCCCCTTCCCACTACTTCTCCTTCTCCCTCTCCCCTTCCCTCTCCCTCTCCCCTCCCCTTCCCTCTCCTTCTCTCTCTCCCTTTCCTTCTCCCTCCCCCTTCCCTCTCCTATTCCCTCTCCCTTCCCTCTCTCTTTCCTTCTCCCTCTTCCTCAACCTACCCCTTTCCTCTCCCTCCCCTCCTCCCTCCCCTTCCCTCTCCCTTTCCTTCTCCCCCTTCCTCAACCTACCCCTTTCCTCTCCTTCTCCCCCTCCCCTCCCCTGTCCCTCTCCCCTCCCCTTTCCTTCTGACTCTCCTACTCTTCCTCCTCTCTCACACACACAAAGATATAAATCCATTAATCCTAAGGATACTAGTCAGTTTCACATGACATTACAAACCACAAGTCTGAGTTTCAGGGTGCTGTTTTATCATCAAAGTGTGTGCTGCTCTAGATGAATAGCCCTGATCGTTCATCTTGTCTTTGACTTTTCAGGACCAAGGGTTTGCTTAGGAGAAAATCTGGCTCGGATGGAGCTCTTCCTCTTCCTCACCACCAACCTGAGAAACCTGCGGCTATCTTGGCCAGATAAATCCCAGGCACCAGATCTCACACCTAAATTTGGTCCCACACAATTCCCATCAAGCTTTAAAATATCCATGAAAGATCGCCAGGAGAGTGACTAGATCGAGGGAAGGTTTTTTCCATCACTCAAAGCAAAGTCATCAACTCCAAAGACACTTGAAAGATCCAGATGAAATTCATAGGCTACGTGGCTTAAACTGGTTACGTGAACAAAAGATTTATCCTAGATGATATGAAAAAATTATGTTCAATAGTATAACTTGATTTAGCAAAATAATGCTGTTTTTTGGATATAATGGTATGTGGACCTGACCTTGGGAGACAGGAGGAAGAGCTGCAGACTAGGCAATAGTGAGTTAAGAGGCAGCCGAGCCTGTGGAAAGAACGGAGACAAGGCAAAGATCTTAGAAGGGACCCCCCCTAGTTTCTTGGACTGTAAACATGAGGGGGGGGGGGAAGTACTTTCAGACTTACAAGATTATTACAATGCCAACTTTGTGAGGTACTCCAGAGAAGTAGCACACTGAGGACTACTAGCTGTATCGGTAGTCCTCGACTTACAACCACCTGCCTACAAAAAGAGGGGGGGAAAAGAATAGAGAGAGGGAGGGAGGGAGGGAAAGACAATTCAAAACAACAACCAAGAAAAGGAATCATCCATCCATCATCTCTTGCGTGCTTATACTTTAATTGCTAAGCTTTAAAAGAAAGAGGGGGGGGGAAAGGAAAAACAAGTCAAAAACAACAATAAAGGGAAAAAACAAGAAATCATCTACCCATCGTCTCTGGCCCGCTTTGATACTTCAATTGCTATGCTGTTTTTTTTTTTTTACTTACCTCCCCCATTCCTCTCTTAAATCTCCATCTATACCTATTTCTTGGATGTCCAACCTATTTCTGCCACCTCTACCCTCTTCCACTCCCTATTTTCTAAAGTTTTTACCATGACCCCTGCCTCTTTTTCAAGCATATCTTCCAACTCCCTTAATATGTTTTCCCCCTAGTTTAAATTCATCAATCATTGTTATTTTCGTTATAATCTCCTCCTTGTCTTCTTCCTTTTTTATTTTTTCTTTTGACTCCTCCCTTTCCTGAGCGCCTTGGTCTGTAATCATCATCCCTTGTATAGTGTTTTCCATTTTTTCCATGATATCCTTAAATCCTTTGTCCATAATGTCTTCTATATTTTGAAAAAGTAGATCCATCTCCTGGACAATTCCACTCATCTCTCCTTCTTCATTATCTTTTTTTAAAAAATTGATCTAACAGTCCAAAAATTATTTATTTAGTCTTTAAACTATCTTTCAAGGAGTACGCTAGTCCAGCGGTCACCAACTGGTGGTCCGTGGACCACTGGTGGTCTGTGAGAAAATTTTGGTGGTCCGCAGAAAAATTATTTGCATTTTTAAAAAAATATTGCACAAAATCAGGGGTCCTCAAACTATCCCCCCTGGGCCGGATATGGGCAATGAACGTTTGTGTTGCTGCAGAGAGTCTCCCCCTTCGGGGTCTTTTTGTGCGTGTTGGAGGGGGACAGAAATTCCGACTTGGGGTCTGCTTCGGCCTCCTGGTGCAGGGCTTTGGGTGAAAGCTGGAGGGAAGTGCCACTGGTGGTGAAGAGCTGAAGGGCCTCGTTCCAGTGGGACAGCCTCATGGCCTGGAACTGGCTGACCATCTCAGCCCGCTGAGCCTCCAGGTGCCTGTACCTGGCCTTGCACCCCCACAGGTCTTCCCTCTGCTTGGAAAGTCTATGCTCGTAGTCCTCAGTGAGGTGCTTCTGCTGAGTTTCCTTCTCGGTCAGATCCAATTTGAACTGAGCCAGCTGTTTTGCCAACTCTTTCTCATGGTGGCTGCCTAACTCCAACAGCTGCTTCCTGTTGGGGCCCTAAGGAGCCCGGGCGGGGAGGCGAGAAGTGGGTGGCAGGAGAGGGGTGAGTAGAGGCTGGCAAGGCGCCCTTTGATGTGAGTGACATTGAGTTGGCCATCAAATTGGCCACAACCAGCCCAGTCACATGACTACCTAGCCACACCCACCCAGCCATTCATTAGGTAGATCATATTAGTGGTCTGTGGGATTTAAAATTATGAATTTAGTGGTCCTTGAGGTCCGAAAGGTTGAGGACCCCTGCATTAGTCCCAGTTTTTTATATCTCTTAAGTTAACACTCAGTTCTATTCAGTGGTGGGATTCTACTGGTTTGCACCGGTTCGGTAGTAATTCTGGGAGAATTAAGCGTTCAACAGAGTGAAGGCATGAGGGGGGGGGAAACTGTCCCTGTGTCCAGATATTTTGGCATGCAATGCCCTATAGCACTATCCTGAAGGGACAATTTCAACTGGGTGAAATCCAGAAGGTTCTGTCAGGTTCTGGAGAATCGGTAGCAGAAATATTGAGTAGTTTGGAGAACCGGCAAATACCACCTCTGGCTGATTCAAATGGGAATGAGGAATCCTCCACCCTCAAATGACAGGGATTGTTCACATATCTCCAAGATTCTAAATGTTTTTCTCTCAATCCTGAGCCAAGCAGATATCGGATCTCACGTAGCAAAGTTAAACGACCGCATTGGTCCCTTTTTCAGTTGTTTCCTCAGCAGCAAAAAAAGATTGACGGATTCACCTTGTCCAGTTTAACATGAGAGAAGGTAAAGGGCTTTACCTGGTCCAACTCCTTCAGAAGGAACCTTGTACTGAAATAAATCAGATTCCCAAGTAGAGGCAGCCTCCATGGTCCAGGGGGGAAACCTTTGGGATGTTGGCTCTTCCAGAAACAGAGGAATAGGAGTCGAAAACCACCATGTTGATAAGAAGGAACACCTCGTTCTGCGTTGCTCTCCTGAGCCAAAGATTAAATCTCTAAAGTCAAGATGAGGGTACACGGTGTTCTGAAGTCAGATTTTGTACTTTGGCAAGCCATAATATGGTATTTCAGTCAAGCCTGGGCACATTAGGAACCTCAGGAAAAATACAGCATTACGCATTTGTCTAAAACCACAGAAATCATTTCATCTGTGAATCTGGAGAAGATGGCCCCTCAATTACCAAATTTCTCCAGCAGGTTTTGGAAAGCCAGTGTTTAACTTGAAAATTTCAAAGGCAAACTTAATTCCCAGCTGATGAATCTTTAAGAAGTTTGATTCAAATGGGAATGAGGATACATTTATATACTGAACAATAAAATAGAAAAAACAATACAAAACCAAACAAACAAACAACCTAAATATAGATAGATAGATAGATAGATAGATAGATAGATAGATAGATAGATAGATAGATAGTGACTTATTACATCATTTATCCTGTTGACGGTACCTGTTTGTTAATTTTATTTTCATACAAACTTTTACATTTACTCTCTCTTTTTTTGACTTATCCAATCGTACCATCTATTCCATACCATATAGTATTTTGAGTCTACCTTGTCTTTTAACTCAAATGTTAATTTATCCATTTCCGCACAAATAAAAAAATTTCTGGTTTAAACTCTTATTTCCTCTTCTGTTATTTCTGTTAACCACATTTTTATTTTTTCCCAGTATTTCCTAATTTTTGGGCAAAGCCACCAGACATGAAAGAAAGTACCCTGTGCCTGTTTACATTTCCAACAAGTTGGGTTTAAATTTGGATACATCTTCGCTAATCTCGAAGGGGTCAGATACCATCTATACCACATTTTATACTGATTCTCCTTATAAACTACTGATTTTGTCGTGATATAATTGGTGAAAAAAGTGACACGACTGTTTTTTCACCCTTATGACCATTGTTGCAACCCCATGGTCACAAGAGGCCAGGTGAATAACTTTATGGATATTGGAACTGGAAAAAAGGGAAAAAAAGAAGAAGAAAGAGTTTAGACAGAATGAGAAAAACACCATAGTTTGATTAAAATGGATGTAAATGCTTTTTATGTAATTGATTTCTAAACAATGTAAGGAGGAGAGTTTCTCCCTCCTCTTTCTCTTTCCTCTTTACCTTTTTCTTTTTTTTTACCTTTTCTTACCTTTTACCTTTTCTTATTAACAAGCGTGGTTTAAAATGCTGTAAAATATAAGGGATATGAAGATTATGAATGAATCTTTGATTACCAATAAGAATTACTGATAGATTTAACAATTACAGAAAACTGTCTCTTTAAAATGGTCAAAAATATTGTTTTTTATAGAAAATAAGAAAATGTGAACAAAGCTTTGAATATTGTTAAGAACTACTTATACACGCTCATTTTTAAAGCAAGAAATGTTATTAATAGAAAAAATGTGAATACTTTGAAAGAATTCTCTAAAAAATATTAAGTGTTTTAATGGTTATAGAAAATGGATTTGAAAGTTGTTTAAAATGTTGTTTTTCTACAGCAAACAAGAGAATGGGAATGAATTCTTGAATAACAATAAGATTTGTTTATAGATTCTATAACTATGGTGAATTGGCCTATAAATGGTTTAAAATGTTGTTTTATAGAGAAAAGAAATAGGAAATGGGAGAATTAATAATTCGGGAGAGAGTAGGAGAGAAGATATATTTCAAAACAATTTACTATTTTAAATTGCTAAAGAAGAATGATTTGGGGAATTAGATGATTAAAATTAAATTGTGAATTTGTTAAATATAAGGTTAGGAGTGGAGGAAAACATCCCCGGAGAGCAGCTAATTAAGCTGTGAACCAGCCAAAAATAAATTTAGGAGGAGTGGAGGAGGCAACGCTGGGGACCAGTTAAAGCTAAACTGTGAACCAGTTAAATATAAGGTAAGGAGTGGAGGAAAGCATCCCTGGAAAACAGCTTATTATGCTGTGAACCAGCAAAAAATAAACTTAGGAGGAGAGGAGGAGACATACTGGGGAGCAGTTAAAGCCAAACTGTGAACCAGCGAAATATAGGTTAGGAGTGGAGGGAAGCATCCCTGGAAAACAGCTGAAAAGCTGTTATCCAGCTAAAAATAAACCTAGGAGGAGTGAAGGAGAAAATGTTGGAAGCAGTTAAAACTAACTGTGATCCAGCCAATAAATAAGGTTAGGAGTGGAGGAAAACATTTGAATAGAATAGAATAGAATAGAATAGAATAGAATAGAATAGAATAGAATAGAATAGAATAGAATAGAATAGAATTCTTTATTGGCCAAGTGTGATTGGTCACACAAGGAATTTGTCTTCGGTGTATATGCTCTCAGTGTACATAAGGAGAATAAAACACATTCATCAAGAATAAAAAGATACAGCACTTAGTGATAGTCAAGGTTACTAATAAGCTATCAAATCGTACTAGGAAACAAATAAAAACAATATAATTGAAAGGTACAAGCAACATCGTTATAGTAACAGGTTGCCTGCTTCCTTTCACAAGCACTAACCACTAAGAAACCATGTTGCACAAGCCCTCTGGCTCTGGTTCAAGCTCACACTGGGTTTCTCTTCTCTCTGGTCTCTCTACAAGTTATACAAGCTTTTTAGAGAACGATGAGAGCTAAATGGCTTGAAATAGATCTATACTAGTCTCCCTTTATTTCTTTATCAGCGAAATGTAAATTTGGTGTAAAATGGTTTGTCATGAATGCGACTGCTTGAGGGCTCCTGGATTGGAGCTGAAAGGCGATAGGGATGCAGTACGCTCCCTCCCACATGCTGGGTGTCTCGATAGAAAAACACTTCACACACACACACACACACACACACACACACACACACACACGTATGTAATACACGTACTAAGCTAAACCAGGCAATCAATGAATCCTCAACTATAACAGGATGCATACACGGAGAGAAAATACACGGAGAGCTATAATGGAGATTGAACATGAGGAGAGAGAGAAGCCAATGGCTTCCCCCATATAGACAGCTTCTTAATGTGGCAGTAACCCTGCTGACTCATTCTCATTACGTCATCTCGGTTTACAGTCTTACAGCAGGTGGTCAGCTATTAAATCATCCTTACCCTAACAAAAGGCCACTTGTATGGCACTCCTGTTGATGAAGAGAAAGAGTATTATTTTAATTGCATGTAACCCAAATTTTCCTGTTTGTTAAGTTGCAGCTTGTGAAATCTGGCTTCTGTCCAAAGTTTATCTTTCATCATGACGTTAAAGATTTAATCTTTACTAAAATCACAGCAGCAAACAGACACAGAGAGAGGCGTCTCTTCTAACCAACATGGTTATTCTCAGCTGGCTGATCGTTCTTTCCCTCCTGTTCCTCTATTTATGGAAGAACCAACGCCCCAAAGGCTTTCCCCCTGGACCATGGGGCCTCCCCCTGATTGGGAACCTGCTTCAGTTCAGGAAGAAGGACCCTCTCAAGGACCTGGATCAGGTACGGCTTCTTATCCGATCCCTCATTAATCCCTGCTGTGTGAGTCAGCCAAAAACGGAGGACATTTTCTTGCAATTATTTAAACGACTTGCTGCAAAAGAGGAGATTAACGTAAGATTTAGGGAAAGAAACTTTCAGAATGTTACCTCGATATTAAAGGATTCTGCTCTGTAGAGATGCATGTTTGATTCAAAGGAATCCTAATAGTTAATGGAATTGGGCTGCTCTTGAGAGAATCATTATCTTTTTGAGATGAAATCAATCCTAGACCTATGTTTGACTTTCATGGGCTTTGAAAGAAATTTGGTACTTTGGAGAACGTAAACACAGATCATTTAAGAAGAAAACAAATATTTTTTCAGTAATCAAAAGGCGGTGGTTATATACCTGCAAGTCTTGATTATTTAAAGTGAAACTATTGGTGGAGCTTTGTTGTTTTTGCTGCTGAGTCTTCTTGCTATTCTTGTTCCCTCTTTCAATGGCCTTTCTTCAATCTACATTGCAGTGTTTTACATTTCCACTCGTTAACTTATTCTTAATTAAAATGCTTGCTTACTGAGCTTAGTTGAATGCCAATTTCATAACTTCGTGTTCTATTTTTTAGCTGTGCTTCTATCGCTTTTAAGCTAGGCGATTGGTAAGGTTGCAATATTTTTCTAGCGCTTATGGTGGAATCATTTGATTTGATTCATAAACTAGGCTAAATTAAGAAAGTAAATTGGGTTGTGGGAAAGGAGGGAAGTGAGGCTACTTGATAACTGTGATCATCTTGTGTCTATGGAGATTCTCAAGCATCCAGGTCATACTTTTCCCAAAGGTGCTTTTTTTCAAAAGGCGACTGGATTGGACTTTCTGGTTTTTTGCTTTGCAAATATTTTGCTTGTCATCCAAGAAACGTCTTCAGTCCTAACTGACGTTAGAATCAGCTAGTCCAATTCAGCGTTATTTCTGGTGAGACCCATCTATCGGGGCTACCTGGTCTACCCAATCATGGGACGGAGCATATTGCTTCCACTTTTCAACCCCAATCCAGGAGCCTTTGCAGGCAGTCACTTTCACAGCAAACTCTTTTTGTGTAAAAAAGAGCTAAATATCCTGAAATAGATCTATACAAGTCTTCCTTTATTTCTTTGTCAGTAAAATATAAATTCAGGTCATAGTTATCTCAAAGGTGCTTTTTCCAAAAGGTAAGTGGAGATTGCATTGAGGATAATTTGGCCTGTCTGCAGATGTACTTGAAGAAAATCCAGTTTTGGACGGGTCACAATTTACAGAAAAGGCCATTTCATTTAATGGTATAATTCTACTCAAGAGATCCGATTATTCTTCTACGTCTAAGAAGTTATATCTATGCCTGAACAGGAGGGGAAAGGATAGGCTGAAGGTTTTTGAAGGAGATGGCATGTGATGGAGGTTCAGGTAATCTCGCCTCTCCTCCGTGTTGCATCCTTGCAAGTGATTGCTTCCAACCGATCTCCTGATGCTTCTAGATTAACCCTGGTGATTTCATTTCAGCTAGCCCAAAAATACGGTCCCGTCTTCAGTCTCAACATTGGAGGAACGCTTGCCGTCTTCACTCATGGGTTTTCTTCAGCCAAAGAGGTCCTGGTGACAAAAGGCATAGAATTTGCTGGAAGGCCAGATAATCCAATAGTAGATGATATCATGAAGAAAAAAGGTACCAATATATCCTTTCCAAACACTGTTTTTCCTCTCTACTTTTGTTGTTCGCTTTGTTGGATCTTTATGTTACATTGGCAATTATGAGATGGATTAATCCAAGGAATGATTGATTAATTAATCAGGTTTTACCATTAGGTAAGCAAAAAATAAATAATCCTCAATGTACGACCACAGTTGAGCCCAAAATTTTTGTTGCTGAGCAAGACAGTTGTTAAGTGAGTTTTGCCCCATTTTATCACTTTTCTTGCCATAGTTGTTAAGAGAATCATTGCAGTTATTAAGTTAGTAAACACGGTTGTTAAGTGAATCTGGCTTCCCCATTGACTATGCTTATCAGAGGGTCACAAAAGGAGATCCCATGACCCCGGGACACTGTAACGGTCGTAAATAGGAGTCGGGTGCCAAGCATCTGAATTTTGATCATGTGACCATGCGGGGGGCTGCAGCAATCGTAAGTATGAAAGCCAGTCATAAGTCACTTTTTTCCAGTGCCGTTGTAACTTCCAAGGGTCACTAAATGAAGTGTTGTAAGGTCTACCTGTACAAGGAAATCATTGTAGTTCCATTGCTTCATTTTCCATCTCTCATTTTTACAGGCATAATCACAGCACCCTACGGCCAAGTGTGGAAAGAGCACCGAAGGTTTTCACTGATGCTTCTCAGGAACTTCGGACTGGGCAAAAAATCAATGGAAGAGAAGATCTTGCAGGAGGCATCATATTTGATTGAAGCAATTGCTGAAAACTCAGGTAAGCTCACCTGGGACAGGACGAGATGGCTGGGAAATCATCACACCAATGTTGCTTCTTTTTTCCCACAGGACAGAATTCAGTTGATCTCACAGTTAGACCCATGGTTTTTGTGTGTGTGTGTGTGTGTGTGTGTGTGTGTGTGTGTGTGTGTTGATGCAGAGTGGGAGGAGCTTAGAATTCTGGTTGTATAAAACTTCAAGCAAATTCCAATGGAAGAGAATATTTGTAGGTTTCAGATATTTCATTCCCCTCCTAGGTAACAGGATGATGTTATGTAGGTGGGTAATGAAATGTCAGTTGTGGCCCACAAGCGGCCAGCAGAGCTGGCAGCAGATTCGGACAGTGAGGAGATTGGGGAGGAGCATGAGCCAGTCCTGGAGTCTGGGGAAGGCTCTGAGGAGGGCTCTGCGTCAGAGGCAGAGAGGGGGCCAGGGCCGTATGCCAGTTATCAGCTGCCTTCAGAGTCAGACATCAGTGAGGCAGATGAACAGCTGGAGCCTGTTCCGAGTGTACGCATGCACAGAGTTTCCAGACAAAAGGAACAGCTAAAGAACAAGGGTCGACTTGGGAGTAAGGCCACAGATGGACGATGAAGGGCCCCTCCCAGAGGGAATAAAAGAGGAGCAAAAGGGGAGTGGAGTTTGCAGGAGAGAATTTAGTTCACCTAATTGGTTTGTGACTCTCCGAGACTCCTTGCCAAGTTTTGAAGATATCGGCCTGGCAGCTCTCCAAGCCAGATAAGGTCTGTGACTGTAAATTCTCCCTTGAAAGACTTTGCTGAGTGTGAATGAGAGAAATCCACAGTAACTTAATAAAAAGGGATTTTTGTCAGGATAAAGAGTCTGCTTTGTGGTTTGGGAATGCCTAGATCAGAACAATGTCTACAAGCAAACGATTAAGCTCAGAGATCATCAAGGACTCCATAGTTAAAGCACATTAAAATAAGATTGTATTTCAATCAATCAGAATAGAGCTGGAGATCCTATACCATTTCAGACAAGTGACTGTCCAATGAATTACTGGTTATTAGAGGTGACGAAACACCCACAACTTCTGAAGGCAAACTGTTCCCCTGATTAATTGTCCTCTCTGTTAGGAAGTTCCTCCTTAATTCCAGGTTGCTTCTCTCCTTGAATAGTTTCCATCTGTTGTTTCTTGTCCTGCCTTCTGGTGCTTTGGAAAATAAATCAACCCCCTCTGCTTTGTGGCAGCCTGTCAAAATACTGGAATCCTGCTAAGTTAAGCAACTTAATCATCTTAGTTGCTCTTCTTTGCACTTTTCCCAAAGTCTCAGCATAACATTGTTCATGCTCATGTTTTCATTGTGGCGGTAATAAAGGAGGAGGCCTCTTTGTTCCTTGGTTGCAAAACACAAATGGGAATTCTGAGATAACTCATGGAAACACATGGAGACTCTGAAAGGGAAGGGCCAGGGAATGTCTGCAGAAATAGGCTACCTGTTCTGACCTAGGCTTCCTTAGAAAGCATGAAGCAAAGTCTTAAGTCCGGCCAAACCTCTTTTATTTAAACAACTGTGAATTACTGTCATTCACAGTCAACAAGGTGTAAAGTCCCAAAATACACTTGAGTCACCAGAATGCCAAAGAGAGAGACTCAAGACGAGGCTTGCAAAAAAACAGATTTTATTTATGGCCAAAAACAAAATACTGGGTGGAACTATATCCAGAACATACAGATACAATGCATGCGAGGAGATAGCCACACCTTGGGGAAGGTATGGCGTCCTTTTATACCCTCAGAGACGTCAGTTTAGTACCCAACTCTGGCCTCCCAATCCAGGCCCGTGCATTCCTTGTTGCCCTGCAAGGAGGAATAGAAACTTCCCAATTAGTCATCTTGAGCATTTCTTTGTTTACTCAATTGGCCACTTAGGCACCCTGGCCCTGGAAAGTAGGAGTCTATCCAGATCAACATAAATTGACTGAGATAGTACCATGCTCTTAGATGGCACAAGAAAAAAACAGGGAGAAGATTGATATGGGTTCAGGTCAAATGGTAGGGACATATGTTTGACAAATACCAGATACATTACAGGCCTAATAACAGAATATGTTTGTTACAGGAGATACAAATATAAAGGCATAATATATGTGATACAAATACAAAGGCATATGTGTATTACAAGAACCTAAAGGTTACAGAATCTAGTATACTAGTATATCATATCCTAGCATTATTTATTATATCCTTATTATTGTTTCCCTTCAAAGGCTTTGGCAAACAGTCTTTCAGAGGAATGTTTATCAACACCCACCGTATCTCCTTTGGAACGCTGCCAGAAAATCAATTTCCAAATGCAGGGCGAGGCCAAACTTGGCACAGATTCTATTAGAGTCAGGAACAGAACTTTCCAATCTTGAATCGACCAAATGAACTAATTGCTTCCTGCAAAAGCCCACGTCCCATTCGCTCCTCTTTTATTTATTTATTTATTTTATTTTATTTTATTTATTTTTATTAGATTTATATACCGCCCTACTCCTGAAGGACTCAGGGCGGTGAACAGGCACAAAATAAAATACATAAATACAAAAGTTAAAAGACATAATTAAAACCAGATTAAATAATTTAGTCTGAGACAATTAAAAAATCCCAATAATTTAAAACAGATTAAAATTTCGATTTAAAAGAATTTTAAAACAGGGGAGAAAATTAGGCCAGGCCGGCTTGCTGGAATAGGAGAATCTTAAGAGCACGGCGGAAAGTGTGTAGATCCGAGATCCTCCGTATCTCTTTGGGGAGCTCGTTCCAGATAGTGGGTGCCCCCACAGAGAAGGCCCTCCCCCTGGGGGCCGCCAGTCACCAGTTTTATTTCCTATTAGAGGGGCCAATTATCTCTAAGGTGTGCCCTTACTGAGTCGATCCTGCTTTCTTAAATGCTCTTGTCTTCTGGCAGTTCTGGGAATGGGCTCCAACTGTTCCTCTGCCTCGCTGCTGTCTATCTCCCTCTCTGCCTCCGATGCAGAGCCCTTGTCTGAGCTTACTCAACCCCCAGGACTGGCACAGATTCCTCCCCAACCTCCTCACTCTCTGACTCTGTTGCCAGCTCCACTGGCCACCGATGGGCCACAACACTACCATTGCTTACCTAAATAGGCTCAAAGTTCTAATGGTCACTGCCTTTTCTGACCTTGCTGACTCTTTTCCTTTTTCTGGACCTGGGGCTGCCTTTCAAAAGAAGTGCCCGAACCTGGAGCTCCTTCCCATTTATATTTCTTTACAAGACTTGACTGATGGGAAAATTAAAAGGAATAGTTCACAAGTATAGTTAGTCCTCAACATATGATCACAACTGAGCAGGGGAATTACGGTTGTAAGTCATGCTGTTCGTTAAGTGGGTCACCACGTGACTAATCAGATGTTATGAACCTCTCTTGGTTATTAGAGGTGGTTACGCAAATCACGACGGTCGTTTAGTGAATCTTTGGCTTCTGGCAAAATGCGTAAATCGTGGTTGTGTGATCTCGGAATGCTGCAGAGAGTTGTAAATGCGGGCTACGAAACCCAAGATGAGATCACATAATTATCTGGGGGAAATGGCCATTGGAACTTCTAATCCCAGTCTAATTACCTTGTTTGTGGTCTGTTGTAACTTTGAACAGTTGCAAGCCGAGGACTTCTTGGAGAGTAACCATTTTGGATGGGAGGAAGGCCTAAGTGAGGAAGCAACCTGGTGTCATAAACATAAACATCAAGAGCATTCAATCTCATCTCCCCTTGAGTGATTTAGAGCCTTCTCTGGTCTTTCCCAGGAGAAAGCTCCCCGTCTAGGAGATTCCTGTATTACAGGCAGAGAACAATAAAGTAGCTAGCTTGAATTATACACATATGAATCTGTTTGTTCAGGCATCACAGGACTATCTCTAATCTTATTTTCTTTTGCATTGTATTGCAGATTCACCTTTTGATCCTCATCCATTCCTTGAAACTGCAATCGCCAACATTATGTCTTCCATTCTGTTTGGGAAACGTTTTGAAAACGACAGCTCTTTCAACACTGTGCTGGACATAATACATCGGAATATCAAAACAATGATGGGACCCTGGGCCATGGTATCCTTGACAGGAGGGCAGGAAAATGGTCATGATTCCCAGAATGGTAGTGGGAATTTTAGTTTATTGAAATTAAATGTCCACCTCTCTTAAAGTTGTTGAGGTTGAGCAACACGATTATGCAGGATATTATGGATGAAATGCCTTATCTATTTTGGAATTTCATCCAATTTTCCTTGCATAATTTTATTTATTTTTGAAGGAACATCATAATTTTATGATTGACTTGGTGGAGCCAGTAGGAGTAAATTACAGCATGACAACTCTTTGTTGAAATATTAACTTAGTTTAATATTTGGGCTCTATCAAAAGGTGAACATGAAATAACATACACGAACATAGATAGTTGAAGGTATTTTTTCTTTCCCAACATACCCTACAGCGTATATTACCCGATGATCATTTTAATTAATGTTGATTTATTTTCTCCTTCTTGGCAGCTTTACAATGCTGTGCCCTTAGTGAGGAGGCTTCCCCTGCCCCATCAGAGAATAGTAGAAGATACCCATAAAATCTTTGCTTTCCTTGAAAAGGAAGTGGAGGAACACAAGAAAACATTGATTCCTGAAGAAAGCCAAGATTTCATTGATGCATACCTAGAAGAAATAAAGGAGGTAAAAAATCCACTCCCCTTTGTTTGGTTTTGCACTCTTATATACAGTAGCTGTTGTCATCTTGTATCTGTGGGTACCACACTACAGTTGTGTGACTATGAAAAAGAGGTCTCTAGTGGATGGCCCTAACCTCATTTAATAATCTAAAAGTATACATAATTCGTTGCTTGGACAGTTAAACAGTTAAACAGTTAAAAGTCTTTTGAAATTTGTGTGAATTAGAGTTTTGTCCTAAAGAAAGGAACAAATGACCTTCCATCACGAAGCAAGGCACTTGTGAAGTGATTCACACCCTATTTTACAACCTTGTTTCCTGTAGTGTTAAGTGAATCACTGGAATTGTTAACTGAATCGCATGGTTATTAAGCAAATCCACCTTCTCCCATGGACTTTGCTTGTCAGAAAGTGACTGTGGACCTTATAAAATGATGATCCACATGGCCCTGGGATGCTGCAACTGTCATGAATGCATGCTGGTTTCCAAGTGCCCAAATTTTGATCATGTGACTGCAGGATAATGTGGTGATCATAAGTGTGAGAAGAGTCCCCAAGAGATTGGACAGCCATTTGTCTGAAACGGTATAGGGTTTCCTGCCTAAGCAGAGGGTTGGACGTGAAGACCTCCAAGATCACGTCCAACTCAACTCTTCTCTTCTCTTCTCTTCTCTTCTCTTCTCTTCTCTTCTCTTCTCTTCTCTTCTCTCCTCTCCTCTCCTCTCCTCTCCTCTCCTCTCCTCTCCTCTCCTCTCTTCTCCTCTCCCCTATCCTATCCTATCCTATCCTATCCTATCCTATCCTATCCTATCCTATCCTATCCTATCCTATCCTTCATTTCAGCACTGTCATAACCTCAAACATCAGTGAATAAATGGTTCAGGACTATATGTGGACTATTATCTCTTTCTTTCTTTGTTTTAATTAATAAAAGACAGAGAGGAAAGCTTCAAGTTTTGAAGAAGAACAATTACTAGTTTTACTGATGGACTTTTTAGTTGCTGGATCAGAGACAACAGTTGGAACACTTTGGTGGGCATTGCTGTATTTGGTAGCCTTTCCAGAGGTCCAAGGTACGGAAATAGCAAATGACAGAGGTCTTCTATTAACCATGCAAAATCAGGATGGGTCTTGAAGGTGTGATTCCAGACCTTTCTAAAAGCTTCATTTGGATTTCGACAGATTCATCCCTTCTGTTATGTTTAGAACTATAACATAGTTATAGTTATGGTTCTGACCAGTTCTGGAGAACTGGTAGTGGAAATTCTGAGTAGTTCGGAGAACCGGTAGTAAAAATTCTGACTGGCCCCGCCCCCATCTCTTCTCTGCCTCCCGAGTCCCAGCTGATCAGGAGGAAATGGGGATTTTACAGTAACCTTCCCTTGGAGTGGGGTGGGAATGGAGATTTTACAGTATCCTTTCCCTGCCATGCCCACCAAGTCAGGCCACGCCCACCAAGCCATGCCCACAGAACTGGTAGTAAAAAATTTTGAAACCCACCACTGTATTAGACCTCGAAGAATTCCCAGATAGAGAGGCATTGCTCTCCTGCAATTCAAGGAGAGCACCAAGTTGAGAAGGACACAAAACATGGGGTTTCAGTTTGAAGTTTTCAAAAATGTATGTAGGAGATGACATGGCTGAGCCTGAAGGAGGAGTCAAGAGCATCATCAGTCTTGAGTCCCTTCGTGCCCACAAGAGATCTAAGTCCTGCCCACTTTGAATTCTGTTGACTCTTATCTCTCTCCAATTTGCTTTGACCAGAAGAGTAGAAGACCTCCAAGGTCTCTTCCAACTCTATTGTGATTGATTGATTGATTGATCTTGCACATCTCATTTGGATGGATATCCTCCCCTTTTTATAATCCAGTGAATTAGGGAGCTGTCTTCCAGATACTCTTCTGAATGTTATCTAATTGTTTTCCCCTTAAAAATACTTCAGTACTTCTTCCCAGGGAACATTGGCTATATAATTGTGTTGAAGTCTCCTTGCTTGCCCTCCTTAGTAACAAATAACTTAGTAACTAATTTATTTGCACTGCAGAGAAATGCCAGAAGGAAATAGATGCTTTTCTGGGAGGTAATTCAATCCTGCAATGTGAAGATCGAGAAAAGCTGCCCTACACAAATGCCGTCATTCATGAAATCCAGCGCTGTACAACTATTGTTCCTCTCGGAGTAGCTCACGCACCCATCCATAATGCACAGCTTTGGGGCTATCAAATTCCCAAGGTAAACCTGGGAGGCTAAACTGTACAATGAAGGCTAATGGAACTAGACATATTTAGCCAGACGAAGAGAAGGATTAGGGGAGAGATGACATCATATCAATCTTCCAATAATTAAAGGGCTGTCAGAGAAAAGAAGGGGTCAATTTATTCTCCAAAGCACCTGGGTGAAAACTCATCACAGGGAGTGCCAAACTGGAAATAAGGGGGAATTTCCTGAAAGTGAGTTTATTTATTTTATTTATTTATTCATTTGTCAATCATATATAAGATAACAGATATATGTATAAATATGATTATGAATACAGGATAAGAATACGAAAAAATGGGGACAGTAGGACGGGGACGGTAGGCACTTATGCATGCCCCTTACAGACCTCTTAGTTATGGGGTGAGGTCAACTTTAGAGAGTCTAAGGTTAAAGTTTTGGGGATTTGGGGAAGAAACCACAGAGTCAGGTAGTGCATTCCAGGCATTGACCACTCTGTTGATGAAGTCGTATTTTCTGCAATTGAGTTTGGAGCGGTTTACCTTAAGTTTTTTTCTATTCTGTGCTTGTGTATTGTTGTGATTGAAGCTGAAGGTAGGACATTGTAGCAGATAATTTTATGTACTATGCTTAGGTCAGACTGAAGGCGGTGTAGTTCTAAGTAGTCTAAGACCAAAATTTCAGGTCTGGTGGCATGAGGTATTTTATTGCGGGTAGAGGAATGGAGGACTCTTCTCGTGAAATATGGACTCTCTCAATTGTATTAATGTCCAATATGCGGTGTGTGTTCCAGACACATGAGCTGTATTCGAGAATTGGTCTAGCAAATGTTTTGTATGCTCTAGTTAGTAGTATAATATTTCCAGAGAAGAAGCTATGCAAGATTAGGTTAACAACCCTTTACGCCTTCTTGGTAATGTAGTTACAGAGGGCTCTGGCACTTAGATCATTAGAGATGAGTACTCCAAGGACCTTTACAGAGTGAAGGTCGTGTCCATCCAGCTTGTATTTTATGTTCGGGGTTTTTTTTTTGCCAATGTGTAGGACAGAGCATTTATTGGTTGAGATTTTTTTTTTTTTAATTTGATTTATATGCCGCCCTTCTCCGGAGACTTAGGGCGGCTTACAATGTGCTAAGCAATAGCCTTCATACTTTTGTATATTTATACAAAGTCAGCTTATTGCCCCCACAACTGGGTCCTGAATTTACCTACCTTAGAAAGGATGGAAGGCTGAGTCAACCTTGAGCCTGGCGAGATTTGAACCTGCAGTAATTGCAGGCAGCTGGTCTTAATAACAGGGTGCTTTAGACCACTGTACTACCAAGGCTCATTTGAAGTTGCCACTTATTTATCCATTCTGACACATAGTCAAGGTGTTTTTGAAGGGTAGTAGCATTGTCGGTAGTGTTGAACAGTTTTACATCATCAGCGAAGAGCACACAGTTGCCTTTAATATGATCATAAAGGTCATTTATATAAAGTATAATGATGTTAGTCCTAAAGTGCTACCTTGGGGAACACCACTGTTAACAGGTACAAGATTTGATAGAGCGCTTCCTATTTTGACCACTTGTTGCCTGTTTGACAGGAAGGCAGCTATCCATTTATGCAGGAGTCCAGAAATGCCATAAGATTTTAGTTTTAGAAGTAGTTTGTCATGTAGCACTGAATCAAAGGCTTTACAGAAGTCTATGTAAATTGAGTCTATTGCTTTGCCCAGATCGAGATGTGTAGTCCATATGTTTTTGCAGTATAGTGGTTGCAGATTATAGGATAATTTTTTTCTGAAACCAAATTGTTTGTTGGAGAGTAGGTTGTTTGTTTCTAGGTGGAAGGTAAGGGATTGGTTAATGATTGCTTCCATGACTTTGCAGCAGTGGTGAAATCTAAAATTTGTTACTACCGGTTGTGTGGGCATGGCTTGGTGGTGGTGGTGGATAATGTGACTGGTTAGGTGAAGAGGTTGTAAAAAAATGCTTTTAAAAGCCTCTGACAATCCCAGCTGAGTTGACTGATTGGCAGAGACTTTTTTTCTTTTAAAAGCCTCTGGCGATCAGGCAACTCAGCTGGGATCGTCAGAGGCTTTTAAAAGCATTTTTTTTTGTAAATATTTTTTTATTTTTTTTCCCAAACATAAGCATAAAATATAACTTTTAAGAACAAAGTCTTGATCCGGTCATAGATGGTTACCACGGTTACATTCCTTTAACAAGCTCCATTCAATTTCCCATTTCATCTTTTGCGGATAGAAATTCAAAACATAAAAAAACAAATTTTAACATAAAGTCTAGCATCTCCACCTAAACAAATCCATTATATCAATACAATTTTAATTTCAAACTAACTTTCGCTCATTTTTATATCTATATGTCAATCCTGATTTTATCTTGTTCTTCTTCACCTTGTATCTTTTACCATCAGTGTCAAAATAATTTTTAACAATATTCTAACCTCTTATTCCAATTATTTACCTTACAATTTTATCACCATAAATCTTAATTTCAAATTCAATACAACTCCATTTTTATTACACTTTCTAAAACAAAATTCTATCTAATTCTTAAAAGCATTTTTTTAAACAACCTCTTCAGCCGAAGAGGTTGTAGAAAAAATGTTTTTAAAAGAAAAAAAGCCTCTACCAATCAGGCAACTCAGCTGGGATCGTCCGAGGCTTTTAAAAGCATTTTTTTTATAACCTCTTCAAGAGGTTGTAGAAAAAAATGCTTTTAAAAGCCTCGGACGATCCCAGCTGAGCTGCGCGATCATCAGAGGCTTTTTTTTTTTTACTTTTAAAAGCATTTTTTCTGCCGAAGAGGTTGTAGAAAAAATGCTTTTAAATTTTTTTTAAAAAAGCTACCGGATTGGGGGATCCGGTCCGAACCGGGAGCATTTCACCCCTGCTTTACAGGGGACGCAGCATAAAGAGATTGGTCTGTAATTTTCAACTAGGTTGGGGTCTCCCTTTTTCAAGATAGGGGTGAACTTTGGCTACTGTCCAATGGTTGGGCAAGGAGCTGGTCCTGAAAGATTTTTCAAAGATTATGCTTAGAGGTTCTGCTATTGCAGTGGAAAGCTTTTTTAAGAAGTAGGCACATAGTCCATCAAGTCCAATAGATAGAGATGGTTTTAGACTGCGTAGTTTAAGCTGTTGCTTGGGAGCGGGGCTGGATTAGAAGATCATCTTGAAGTTCCCCTTCAAGCCTTACGATTCCATGAAAGATTCTTTTCACTACCATCAGTTCATTTTTGAACCAGATCTCAAAAGGGCTAAGGCGAATTGATTCCAGATCCCTTCCATCACTGAGCGTTTTCTTCTGTGTGATCTAGTTTTACTGACGTTTGCAGGGCACAACCATTTTCACCAACCTCCATTCTGTTCATCACGATGAATCCCAGTGGAAGTTCCCACATGAGTTCAACCCCTCCAACTTCCTGAATGCAAAGGGAGAGTTTGTGAAGCCGGAAGCCTTTTTGCCATTTTCAGCAGGTAAATTCTCTCTTTCTCTCTGTTTTCCTTTGAATGGGAAGGGCTGTACAGCAGGCAGAACCAGGGATTAGACAACCGTTTGAACTCAGCTCCTGTACTTAAGCCTACTTCAGGGCATCATTGGGCGGAGAAAACTAGGATGCATGCTAAGATCATATGAATGCGGCCAATGGGGAGCAAATGAAAAGCGGATTCACTTTGGGGATATCATCACCCATATTTGTGAAAGCACTCCTTCTCTGATTGAGTATATCCTTCAGCAGGCTAAAATAGAAAATATGCCGTTTCATCAACCCATTCCAGAAACCAGGAAATACATGTTTTCCTTTGCTATTCTCTCCCTCTCCCCCCTTTCCCCCCTCCCTCTCCCTCCCCCCTTCCTCTCCCTTTCCTTTTCCCTGTCCCAGTTCCCTTCCATCTCCTTCTCCCTCTCCCCTCCCTCTCCCTCTCCTTCTCTCTGTCCCACTCCCCTTCCATCTCCTTCTCCCTCTCCCTTTTCCCTTCCTTCTCCTTCTTCCTCTCCCTCTCTCTCACACACAAAGATATAAATCCATTAATCCTAAAGACACTAGTCAGTTTCACATAACATTACAAACCACAAGTCTGAGTTTCAGGGTGCTGTTTTATCATCAAAGTGTGTGCTGCTGTAGATGAATTCATCTTGTCCTTGATTTTTCAGGACCAAGGGGTTGCTTAGGAGAAAATCTGGCTCGGATGGAGCTCTTCCTCTTCCTCACCAGCATCCTGAGAAATTTCCAGCTCTCTTGGCCAGATAAATCCCAGGCACCAGATCTCACACCTAAATTTGGTGTCACACAATTCCCATCAAGCTTTAAAATATTCATGAAAGGCCGCCAGGAGAGTGACTAGATGGTGGGAAGATTTTCCATCACTCCAGGCAAAGTCATCCTCTCCAAAAACACTTGAAAGGCCCAGATGAAATTCATAGGCTAATTGAAATTATGTTCAATATTATAAACTTGATTTAGAAAGATAATGCTATTTTGGGTGTAATGGTATGTGGACCTGACCTTAGGAGACAGGAGGAAGAGCTGCAGACTAGGAAATAGGGAGTTAAGAGGCAGCTGAGCCTGTGGAAAGAACGGAGACAAGGTAAAGATCTTAAAAGGGACCCTCCCTAGTTTCTTGGATTGTAAACATGAGGGGGGGAGGGGAAGTACTTTCAGATTTACAAGATTACTGCCAGCCTTGTGAGGTACTCCAGACAAGTAGCACACTGAGGACTACTAGCTGTATCGGTAGTCCTCGACTTACAACCACCTGCCTACAAAAAGAGGGGGGAAAAAAGAATAGAGAGAGGGAGGGAGGGAGGGAAAGACCATTCAAAACAACAACCAAGAAAAGGAATCATCCATCCATCATCTCTTGCGTGCTTATACTTTAATTGCTAAGCTTTAAAAGAAAGAGGGGGGAAATGGAAAAACAAGTCAAAAACAACAATAAAGGGAAAAAAAAGAAATCATCTACCCATCGTCTCTGGCCTGCTTTGATACTTCAATTGCTAAGCTGTTGTTTTTTTTTTGACTTGCCTTCTGAGGTACTCCAGACAAGTAGCACACCAAGGACTCCTAGCTGTATAGGTAGTCCTTACTTACAACCACAACTGAGCCCAAAATGTCTGCTGCTAAATGGTTATCATAAGGTTATCACCTTATGATTAATGATTGAAACTATGATTTATGATCTTATGACCTATCACGTTGTTGTTGTATATTTATATTCTGCACCAGAGACAAATTCCTTGTGTGTCCAATCAGACTTGGCCAATAAGAGAATTCTATTTTATTCCACTATACTCTATTTCTCTGTATCTGGAAGAACTATTCTCAGGATCATTATCGAGCAGATCTTCTTGGTCATTGAGCAAGAGATTAGTGTACTCACAGGGAAATGATTTCAAAGAACTCAAAAGCACAATGTCTTTTTAACGTACAGTGCATTCAGAAAGTATTCAGACCCCCAACACTTTTGTCAATATTTTGTCCTCATTTTTCAGTAGTTGAAAATGGTTTCCCCCCCTTCCTTAATCTCCACTCAGTACCTCATACATTTCAGTGTTTTCTTTTTAATAAATTTACAGACATGTTTAAAATTCTGTTTTCACTTTGTCATTTTGTGGTACTGATTGTAGATTAGTGAGAAAATAATGGATTTCAACAACTGTAGCATCAGGCTGTAGCATCCCAAAATTGACAAAAGTGAAGGGAGACTGAATACTTTCTGAATGGTGTGGGTTTTCATTCATTGATATTTGTAATCTGTTTTATGTATAACTTGCATCTGCCCAGCCAGTCTGCCTTTCACACTTCTTCCTTTCCTCCACCTCATCCAAATTTAAATCCTGTATTCGTCTAACAATAAATCTTCTGCAGTTATTGCTGTAGTTCACAAAAGCTTATACCTTTTAATAAAATGAAAGAAATAATCAAACTATGCCTGACATTTTTGTCCATACCATAGACCAGGGGTGTGAAACTGGATTTCTTCGAGGGCTGGATCAGCATTGTAGTTCTCCTCCATGGGATGGCTGGGGTGAGGAGATGGAGCAGATGCTCCCGTAGCACTTTGCTAGCCAAAACGAGGTGCGAGGGGGCTCTGTGCAGCCCTCCACAACCTGTTTTGGCCGACAGAGGCATCACGGGCTGGTCTTGGAAAGTTTCCATCTTCAAAGATGGAAACTTTGAACTCCGAGGCTGCTAGGTGCCAAGCGTCTCTATGAAATAATAAAAGGATGCAACAGAGGCTAATACGCTGGCTCTGTAAACCTCTTAGAGAAGGCTGTAAAGCAGCGGTTCTCAACCTGTGGGTCGCGACCCCTTGGGGGGGTCGAACGACCCTTTCACAGGGGTCGCCTAAGACCATCGGAAAACACATATACCTGCGTTTTCGGCTTGGGAACAGCTGTCTTGCCAGGGAACGGGCCGGTAACTGGTTGTCCTCCGATAAGAGGCGCGCCGGCTCTCTTGGAAAAAGTGGGGGTGCATGCATGGAGGGGGCACACATGTGCATTGCTGGTTGCATGTGCACATGCGCAGTGTGAGGCGCATGCGCATTAGGAGCATTGGGGGTCATGCATGCTCAAATAGGGGCGCTCATTGCATTATGGGTGCTGGCACGTGAGAGCGCGCGAGCACTCGCATGCTCGGACTTTGGGCATGCATTTTATGGTGGTTGGGGGTCACCACAACATGAGGAACTGTATTAAAGGGTTGTGGCATTAGGAAGGTTGAGAACCACTGCTGTAAAGCACTGTGAAGCGACCTATAAGTCTAAAGTGCTATTGCTATCATGGCTAAGGTTTTGTATTTTTTGGATATTTTTTACTTGCTCTAGTTGTTATCGAATCACTTCATGATGGGTTGGAGTGTAGTCTAGACATTGGATATCTGTTTTTCCTTGTTTCACAACATCACCATTATGTTCTGTCCCCGTCCCACACACACACACCAACAGTCGTCCAAGAGTTAAAAACCAAACCAGCCGACAAAATCCTTTTCCTTATGATAACGGAACATGGCAGCAACCTAGTGGCTGCCTGCCAAGAGTTTATTACTCATGAAGGGAAGAGATAACTTCTCTCCGCTTTTGGTACATCAAAGTAAAATGTTCAATAATTACAGAGTAAATTAAGTCCAAATATAATCCAGCAAAGCCTATAGCAAAAGCCCGGCAATGCAGAATGGTGTGGAAGCTTTCAGCTTTGTTTGTCACAAGGCTTGACTGGCCACCACGCTCCCTTTTATACCCTGTGGGGTGTGGTCCAGTGACTCAGCCTAATCTCTGGCACGCCTCCTCTTCTGTTGCGTGTGCTTATCTCTCCGACGCTGGCGTGGATCCAGCCAAGACTCATCCCTGTCACTGTCTGACTGCGCCTGCGCAGGGATACCTGGCTCCTGGCCAATCTCTTCTCCGTCAGGAGACACCTGAGGCATTGATAGAGAGGAGGGTCCTGGAGAGGGAGGCCCAGCCAACTCCTCTCCTTCCCTTTCGGAGCCTTCTTCCTCTGATAAGATGGGCTCGGGGGTCAGAGCCACAACATATTATGTCTCACTTTGGCTTTTATTCTTTCTAACCCAGGGCTTGAAACAAACTAGAGAATGACAAATGGTAATAAATTGAGGACAATATGTTGTCAAGTGCCTGGATCTTAATTTTGTGATTCTGTATTTTGCCTCCTTACAAACAGTGCACCCTAAGTACTTCTTGCACTGCTTTGGCATTTGCTGGAGCTTATGTTACCTAACCAGTGGTGAAATTCAATTTTTTTTAGTACTGGTTCTGTGGGCGTGGCTTGGTGACTGTGGTGTGGCTCGGTGGGCATGGCTCGGTGGCTGTGGCAGGTGAACCTCCATTCCCACCCCACTCCAGGGGAAGGATACTGCAAAATCTCGATTCCCACCCCACTCTGGGGCCAGCCAGAGGTGGTATTTGCCGGTTCTCCTAACTACTCAAAATTTCTGCTACCGCTTCTACGAACTACTCAAAATTTCCGCTGCTGCTTCTCCAAAACCTGTCAGAACCTGCTGGATTTCACCCCTGCACCTAACTAGGTCTGGCATCTTCTGCAGCCCTCTGAAACTCTCACCATTCCCTTATGCAACAAATGTACACAATTGTCATGTGTGGGAGCACCCGTACGCATTTGGGCACAACTATTCTCATGCCTTCCTAGAATGTACAGGCCATCCTTCTTAACCCCTCATGCATGAATCCTTCCACCTTTCCTGATGGAGTACTCTCCTCCTGCAAATAGTATTTCATAACCTTGCCAGTCTAACCTGGACACACTCAACAGATTATGATCTAATGCAGGTACATATAGGACATTGTACAATGTTTCTCCTATCTCAGGTACATAAACATTACCTTCCTCTTTTACAGCAGCTCCTTGATCATTGGCCAGACTCACATATGTTTGCATAGCTAGTCTCAAACCAGAAAATGTTTGTAGATTATTCGCAATATGTTGACTCACCCCACTGTCCAACAACCAAATTTTTCCTAACCCTACAGCTTCTTTAAGAAGACAGCTTCTTAAAGTGGCAGTGACCCTGCTGACTCATTCTCATTGCATCATCTCGGTTTACAGTCTTACAGCAGGTGGTCAGCTATTAAATCATCCTTACCCTAACAAAAGGCCACCTGTATGGCACTCCTGTTGATGAAGAGAAAGAGTATTATTTTAATCTCATGTAACTCAAACTTTCCTGTTTGTTAAGTTGCAGTTTGTAAAATCTGGCTTCTGTCCAAAGTTTATCTTTCATCGTGATATTTCATCATGATTAAAATCACAGCAGCAAACAGACACAGAGAGAGGCGTCTTTTCTACCAACATGGCTATTCTCAGCTGGCTGATCGTTCTTTCCCTCCTGTTCCTCTATTTATGGAAGAACCAACGTCCGAAAGGCTTTCCCCCTGGACCATGGGGCCTCCCCCTGATTGGGAACCTGCTTCAGTTCAGGAAGAAGGACCCTCTCAAGGTCCTGGATCAGGTACGGCTTCTTATCCGATCCCTCATTAATCCCCGCTGTGTGAATCAGCCAAAAATGAAGGACATTTCCTTGCAATTATTTAAGCGTCTTGCTGCAACAGAGGAGATCAAAGTAAGATTTAGGGAAAGAAATTTTCAGAATGCTACCTAGATATTAAAGGATTCTGCTCTGTAGAAATATATGTTTGATTCGAAGGAATCCTAATAGTTAATGGGATCAGGCTGCTCTTGAGAGAATCAATAGCTTTTTAAGATGAAATCAATCCTAGAACTATGTTTGACTTTCATGGGCTTTGAAAGAAATTCAGTACTTTGAAGGATGTAAATACAGATCATTTAAGAAGAAAACAGATGTTTTTTCAGTAATTAAAAGGCGGTGGTTATATGCCTGCCACTCCTGGTTATTTAAAGTGAAATTGTTGGTGGAGCTTTGTTGTTTTTGCTGTTGAGTCTTCTTGCTATTCTTGTCCCCTCTTTCAATGGCCTTTCTTCAATCTACATCTGTATTGCATTGTTTTACATTACATTTTCACTCGTTAACTTATTCTTGATTAAAATGCTTTTCAAGGGTGGCTTACAATGTGCTCAGCAATAGCCTTCATCCTTTTTGTATATTTATACAAAGTCAGCTTATTGCCCCCACAACTGGGTCCTCAATTTACCTACCTTAGAAAGGATGGAAGGCTAAGTCAACCTTGAGCCTTGGTGAGATTCGAACCTGCAGTAATTGCAGGCAGCTGGTCTTAATAACCAGCTTAATAACAGGGTGCCTTAGACCACTGTACTACCAAGGCTCTAACTGAGCTTAGTTGAATGCCAATTTCATAACCTTGTGTTCTATTTTTTAGCTATCCTTCTTTCGCTTTTAAGCTAGGTAAGGTTGCAATATTTTTCTAGTGCTTATGAAAGAATAATTTGATCTGATTCATAAACTAGGCTAAATTAAGAAAGTAAATTTGGGTTGTGGGAAAGGAGGGAAGTGAGGCTACTTGATAACTGTGATCATCCTGTGTCTATGGAGATTCTCAAGCATCCAGGTCATACTTTTCCCAAAGGTGCTTTTACCAAAAGGTAAATGGACTTTCTTGATTTTGTTTAGCTTTTCACCCAAGAAGCTTCTTCAGTTATGAAGAGAAGTGAAATATTTTCAAAGGGGAAAAAAAACCCCAAGAAAGTCCAGATAAAGCGCCTTTGAATGACCATACTATATTTTTAACCATCGCATTGAAGATAATTTGGCCTGTCTGCAGATATACCTGAAGAAAATCCAATTTTGGATGGGTCACAATTTATTTTTATTTTATTTTTATTTTATTAAATTTCTATACCGCCCTTCTCCCGAAGGACTCAGGGCGGTGAACAGCCAAAAGATAAAACACAAAGATACAAAATTTAAAATAGATTAAAACAGATTAAACAAGATAGAGGAATATGGAAGAGTCGCAGGGCTTAAAATTAACAAACAAAAAACTAAAATATTAACAAAGAATTTGACAAAGGTACAAGAGACAATACTAGAAGACAAATTAGGAATACAAATTGTAAAGAGAATAAAATATCTAGGAATCTGGCTTACTGCTAAAGCAATAACAATTAGAGAAGACAATTATAATAAATTAATGAAACAAATTAGAAAAGACCTGGAAATGTGGAACAAATTACAACTGTCATTCCTAGGGAAAATTGCATCCATAAAAATGAATATACTCCCTAGATTACTCTACCTCTTTCAAGTAACCCCAATCTGGCCAGGAAAGAACTTTTTTAAGGACCTTAATAAAATAATAACAAAATTTATTTGGAATGGGAAAAGGGCTAGAATCAAAATAAAATGTATGCAAGTTATTCGGGTAAAAGGAGGTTTAGGCCTACCAGACTGGGAGTTATACTATAAAGCAGCGTCGTTGAACTGGATAAGGGACTGGATAGACCTTAAGAATAAAAGAATGCTATCACTAGAGGGCTTTGAATTACAACGCGGATGGCACGCCTTTCTGTGGGAGAGAAAGGACAAGCATCATAGATACTTTCAGCAACACATTATCAGAGAATCATTGTACAAATCATGGCAAGAGATTAGGAAACATTATACTAAGATCCCACGATGGCTATCGACAATGGAAGCACTAATATATCCCAACGCCATGGATATAGAGAAAATGAGGACTTACAAAGAATTACTGAACAGTGAAGGAGAATTACAAACAAGACAAGAATTACAAAATCAGGGTATAGACATTGATTGGTGGCCATACATGCAAATAGAATCAAGATATAAAACTGATCGGGCACAATTCGGATTTCAAAATGAACCAAATGAATTGGATAAAATATTACAAAGTACAGATGAGAAAATGATTACCAAAATTTATAGGTACCTATTAAAATACAAATTAGAAGAGGAAGTTGTCAAAGAGAATATGATAATATGGGCCAAAAATATAGGACATACTATTGAATTGGATAAGTGGGAGAATCTGTGGAAGATAAATTACAAGATGACATTGTCTATACCCTATAAGGAAAACCTTTACAAAATGTTCTACCGATGGCACCTCCCACCGGCGCGCCTAGCCAAGATGTTCCCAAATACATCTCCGATGTGCTGGAAATGTAAATCACAGAAAGGGACATATTATCATCTCTGGTGGCTATGCCGAAGGGCAAAACAATACTGGCAACAAATTAAAACAATGATTGAAGAAATCACGAAACAAAAACTGGAAATGAGGCCGGAAACCTTTTTATTGGGAATAATCACAACACAATATACCAAAGAAATAAAATATTTGATCATCCATATCCTCACAGCAGCACGTATACTCTTTGCCCAACATTGGAAATCTGAACAGTTACCCACAGAAGACAAAATAATAGCTAAAATTACAGAATGTGCAGAATTGGATAAGCTCACAAAAGAAATACAAGAGAAAGATGATACTGATTACTATTTAATATGGCAAAGATGGTACAACTGGCTGGAGGCAAAAATAGGAATATAAAGATGATTTTCGAGTACTCAATAGAAATGTATAGAAGTAAATAAGGAGTCAATTATATATGTACATATATAACTAAGTAATTAGGTGACTGTAAATATTGATACAAATAGAAATATGAAAAATAACCCACCGTTGTAATATCTTCTAAGAATCAGTCATTGGACTGAATTGATGTGTGTTCGTTTTGTATGTTGTTTCAATGTATCTATGTTGGTTTTGTTTTTTTCTTTTTATTATTAATAAAAACTATTAAAAAAAAAAAAGAAATATTTTCAAAGGGAAAAAAACCCCCAAGAAAGTCCAGTTGCCTTTAGAAAAAGCACCTTTGAATGACTATACTGACCACTGCCCAGTGCGCTCACATAGGACTGCCCTCCTCCGGATGCCATCGGCCAGACAATGTCGGCTGGCGGCCCCCAGGATGAGGGCGTTCTCTGTGGTCGCACTGACCCTCTGGAATGGGTTACCCACCGGGCTCCGGACGGCCCCCGACCTCCGCACTTTCCACACCGACCTGAAGACATGGCTTTTTCAGCAAATTCCCTGATCTTCCGCGAGGTTTTAATTGTCTGGGGATTATAAATTGGCTTGTTTTAGTACTATTTTACTGTCAGGTTGTTTCTATTCTGTGAGCCACCCCGAGTCCTATGGGAGAAGGGTGGCATATAAATTTGATAAAATAAATAAATACTATATTTTTAAACATGGCGTTGAAGATAATTTGGCCTGTCTGCAGATATACCTGAAGAAAATCCAATTTTGGATGGGTCACAATTTATTTTTATTTTATTTTTATTTTATTAAATTTCTATACCGCCCTTCTCCCGAAGGACTCAGGGCAGTGAACAGCCAAAAGATAAAACACAAAGATACAAAATTTAAAATAGATTAAAAGAGATTAAACAATTTGGCTAAATTTTAAAAATATCCCATAATTAAACAAATTAAAATTAGTGTTTAAAATTTAAATTTAAAAATTTTTAAAGGGAGAAGATTTACAATGTGCAAAAAAGGCCATTTCATTTAATGGTATAATTCTAATCAAGAGATCCGATTATTCTTCTACGTCTAAGAAGTTATATCTATGCCTGAACAGGAGGGGAAAGGATAGGCTGAAGGTTTTTGAAGGAGATGGCATGTGATGGAGGTTCAGGTAATCTCGCCTCTCCTCCGTGTTGCATCCTTGCAAGTGATTGCTTCCAACCGATCTCCTGATGCTTCTAGATTAACCCTGGTGATTTCATTTCAGCTAGCCCAAAAATATGGTCCCGTCTTCAGTCTCAACATTGGAGGAACGCTTGCCGTCTTCACTCATGGGTTTTCTTCAGCCAAAGAGGTCCTGGTGACAAAAGGCATAGAATTTGCTGGAAGGCCAGATAATCCAATAGTAGATGATATCACTAAGAAAAAAGGTACCAATATATCCTTTCCAAAACTGTTTTTTGTTCTATACTTTTGTTCGCTTTGTTGGATCTTTATGTTACACTGGCAATTATGAGATGGATGAATCCAAGGAATGATTAATTAATTAATCAGGTTTTACGATTAGGTATGCAAAAGATAAATACATGTAGTCCTTAATGTACAACCACAATTCAGCCCAAAATTTCTGTTGCTAAGCAAGGCAGTTGTTAAGTGAGTTTTGCCCCATTTTATCACTTTTCTTGCCGTAGTTGTTAAGTGAATCACTGCCGTTGTTAAGTTAGTAAACACGGTTGTTGTTGGGTTTTTTGTAAAGTTTTTTTTAAACACACAAACAAACATACCATACATCTTTTCTTTTTTTTTAATAAAGTTTTTTTTATTTTTAAGGCAAACAAACATTTAGTACTTCATTCATTTCTTCCATGTAACATTTCGCTGTTATCCTCAAAAATTTCTTCTCTTCTCTGTCTCTTCTGTCTTCAATCTCACCAAATCCATTACAAAGGTTTTCCATTAATATAATATTCTAATTACAACAAAAAAAATTTTTCTTCAATCTCTTTTAAAACTTATTTATATCTCTTTTCTAACCAGCAGTAAAATTTATTCCATATCTTAAAATATTCCGAATCTTCTCTTTCCTTTATCATCATAGTTAATCTATTCATTTCTGCACCACCTTCCTGGTTTATTTGCATTTTTTAATTGCTCTTAATTTATTTGCTAATTGTTCCTGCTCATTTAAATTTATTTCATGTTTTTTCACTTCCATCACTTCTTAATTTTTTTTATTTTGTGTATCTTTTTGTAATTCTTTTTCTAATTTCTTATATTCCTCTTCCAATCTTATCTGTTTTTGTCTTTTCTTTTTATTCTTTTGCCCAAGAAAGTTATTGCCAGTCTTTTAATATAAGCTTTCATAGTGTCCCATACAATCTGAAGTGATATATCCTCTTTTTTATTTAAAGAAAAAATCTAATTCTTTTTCCATAAGCTGTTGAAAGTCTTTTTCATTTAATATTGTTGCATTTAAAGTCCATCTTGTCCTTTTCTTTTGACCTTTCCATGTTATTATCATTGGGTTATGATTTGCCCAGATATTTGAGTCAATATTTGCTTCTTGAATATATCCATAAGTTCTGTTGACATCCATATCATATCTAACCTTGACCATGATAAGTGTCTATTTGAATAAAATGTATATTGCTTACATATTCATAATCCAGTTCTAATATTTTTTGTGTAATCCTCGATAAAATTCTTCTTGTTTTTCATTTGGTGCATATACTGCAATGAGTAATATTTGTTTTAAATCCATATTTATTTCCACCATCAAAAGCCTACCTTTACCATCATAATTTTGGTTCTAATTTTCTTTTGATATACAGTACCACACATCTTTTACTCTGTTGTATCAGTGATGTAAATAAAACTCCTAGCTTTGGATATTGTAACAATTTCACATGTTGTCTTCTAATATGTACTTCTCGTAGACATATAATGTCCATTTCGAACTATTCAATTTAGTTAAGGTTCTACTCCTTTTTATTGCCGCATTTAGTCCATTTACATTGAGTGATATTGCTCTTATTTCTTCTTCCATGTTTTACTTGTTACTAGTTTTTGATTTCATCGCCCTTGTCTCTCTTTGTTCCATTCGGTCTTTTACTCTTGCTCCCTCTCTTAACACTTGTTCTTCTTTTGTTTTTTCATCTTTTTCTTTCTCCTCATCTCTCTGTTTTGTCTTGCCTACTGCACCCTGATCTTCCTCTAACGGTCCACAAAATTGTTGATAAAACAACTTTTTCAATAGAATCAACTCTATGTCTTTGTTCTTGCCATGTCACAATAATTCCTTCAGGTATTAACCATCTGAAACTCACTCCTTTAAATATTAAGACTGGCACTGCAAGTCAACTTTTAACATTAACACAGGCTTTCCCTTCTTTATGGTTTGTTGATTCAAGATCCTACAACAATCATCCCCATTCTGTAATAGTTCATTCAAATGGGATTTCCATCTTCAATTTAATTCAATTCATTGTCCCAATTCTTATTATCAGTTTTTAAAAAGAGTTTAAAATTCCCCAAGTTCTCTTTTTTTTTTCCTGATAGCAAAATAGTAACAAGCGGTTACTATTTCACTTTCCTCGCTGCTAAAATACTGGATGTGAGAGTGGATCCCCACACACTCTCACTCCTCTCTTTCAGCTGATCTTTTCCACCCTGTAAATTTTCCAGCTAGAGTTGAAGATGTACCTTTAGTACAAATAACTCAAAGTACTACATTTTTCTGAACAGAATATTGGCCTGGTCTTAAATTTGTACAAATTTTTGTTCATCTTTAACACAATTATATATGTTCAATTTTTATCATAACATTTATTTTCTCTAATTTTAAGAAAACTATTACCCTTCATTTTAACTTCTATTCTTGATATAATTCAATTTTTCTTTTCCCTCCCTAAAGTTTGAAGCCCTATATTTTAATTCACACAACATAGTACAATCCCCAATTATTTCTTTAAATTCTCTTATTCTAATCACAATTTGTAGAAACCGATTAAGTATAGATCTTAACCCAAATGTTCCAACTACTACAATTTCATATATTAAACTTATTCATATTTCTAAGCCTTATTTCAATTCTTAAACATCCATACATTTTGTCATTTCTTCATATTGACTTAATTAATTCATTATTCCATTTATCATAATTTCCCTAATTAATTAAGAATATTCAATTAAAAAATCAATTAAATATGCCTTAATTCAATACCCCTAAATTTAAATTCATATAACATAATACAGTTCCCAATTATTTGCTTCCATTCTCTTATTCCAATATCAAATAATTTTTTTAATCAACTGTTCCAAATAATACACTTCAACATATTTATAAAAAACAATTAAGTATAAATCTTATCTAATTAACTCATCATCCAATATCATTTCAGCTTTCTTTTTTTTAGTTAAATTCCAGATATGTAGTTAAGAATATTCCAGTTGTTACAATTTCCTTAATTTGAAAATATTCCAATTGTTACATTCATCATACATCCATATGGTTTTAAATTACTTAGTTAATAATACAATTTCATTTTTTTCTAATAGTCATTTCATTTACCATATATTCCTCTTCCATTTCTTTTTTCCTTTCTATTTTAATTTTTTTCTTTTTCTTTCCTCTTATTTCCTCTGTGCTTTGAACTTCTGAACTCTCTTTTCCGCTTTTCTTATCTTTCCATTGTTAATCCCAGTGTAATCATTTTTTTAAAAAAATCATAGGCTCTTCTATTTTGTTGTGCATTTCCCGTTATTTTCCATCCCTTTTCCCTTCCCAGTGTAATCATTTAAGTTTTTTATATTCTTTCTATTCCACCCTCTTTTCCTTCTTTGTTTCTTCCCCCTTTTCCATTGTTAATCCCAATGTAATTTTTAAAGTTCTCCTTTTTATTATTACTACCTACATAATCATTTAATTTTCCATAATCAATCTCCTTGTCTTTGTCTTCTTCTTTATTGTCAGTCTCTCCTTCTTGCTTCTTATTAGTTGTTTCCTTGTCAGCTTGAATATATCCTAAATCAATTTTTTGCTTGTCAAATTTTGGTTTTCCATGCAACATTGTAGTCATTTCCCTTATTTCCATTTTCAATGATAAGTACATCATTTTCATCATTTCCTTAAATTCCTGCACCATTTTGTTCTTTCTAGATTGATATTATTCCAATTTGAAGTTACATTGTAATCCTCTTTTTTTAATCATCAAAGTCAAAGCGCTGACAAACAAAGCCTCCTTAAAAATTCTCACAGATGTTGTTCCTTTCAAAGTTTTTTCCAAAACAAAGATTCAGTTTTGTAGTAACTTTTTTTTCTCCTGAAGATGGCTCTCTACAATCCACAATTGCAATCAGCAGCCTAGACAAATATCCATTTTGTTTGCAATCCACTTTAACAGTCTTTACTTATTTAATTTTTCCTCTTCTTCTGTTTCACCTTTATATGTACCAAATCAATTTAAAATTCAATCCAGATTTGCAAAGTCCAAATTCCAACTTTACATTCCAATTCAATTTCAATTTAGAGTCTTTAACTGGTCCTTTCTATTGTGGGTTTTTCTTCTTTCTTTAATCTTCCTTCCTTTAAAATTCCCAAATTAGAGAAAGACCTTTTCGGGTTTTTAATTCTTCTAGTATTTTAAAGTTCTCCAAATAATTAAATCCCCCCCCCCAAAAAAACAAAACAATTTTCTGATCGGGTTTTGTCACTTTATAACTTCCACTTTAATCTTCTTTTTCCGTCCTTTCCCCATGTGTATTAGCTGCTGTTATACTGCTAGAACATTTATAATTACTTTGAAAATCCTCTTTTTTTCCCTTTTCTCTGCCTATGAGTTAGTTGTCACTCACCTGGCATCAATGTTCTGCTCAGTTCTCCGCTCCTGCAAAATGATTGGTCTCGTTGCCCCAGCTTACTGACGGTCACAATGGCCACCGCCCCTCGCTGCAGAGTCAGGGAGAGTTTCCTCTGACCTCCAAGGAATTTGCCTGTTCCTCTTGGTCTTCCGAGGTGCCTCTCCTTCTTCTTTGTCCCTACAGGACAGATCCAGTCTGAAGACCCCTCTGCAATGGTTCGTCAGTCCAGGATTTCCAAAGGCTCATCAGAGCCCACTAATCTCCGACTGTCTCACTGCGATGCTTCCGGTCGAATCCAGTAAACACGGTTGTTAAGTGTATCTGGCTTCCCCATTGACTATGCTTGTCAGGGGGTCACAAAAGGGGATCACAACACCCTGGGACACTGCAACCATTGTAAATATGAATCAGGTGCCAAGCATCTGAATTTTGATGAGGTGACCATGGGGAGGCTGCAACGGTCATAAGTATGAAAGTCAGTCATGAGTCACTTTTTTCCAGTGCCGTTGTAACTTCAAAGGGTCACTAAATGACATGTTGTAAGGTCTACCTGTACAGGGAAATCACTATAGTTCCATTGCTTCATTTTCCATCTCTCATTTTTACAGGCATAGTCACAGCACCCTACGGCCAAGCGTGGAAAGAGCACCGAAGGTTTTCACTGATGCTTCTCAGGAACTTCGGACTGGGCAAAAAATCAATGGAAGAGAAGATCTTGCAGGAGGCATCATATTTGATTGAAGCAATTGCTGAAAACTCAGGTAAGCTCACCTGGGACAGGACGAGATGGCTGGGAAATCATCACACCAATGTTGCTTCTTTTTTCCCACAGGACAGAATTCAGTTGATCTCACAGTTAGAGCCATGTTTCTTTGTGTTTGTGTGTAAGGGTGTGTGTGTGTGTGTGTTGATGCAGAGTGGGAGGAACTTAGTATTCTGGTTGTATAAAACTTCAAGCAAATTCCAATGGAAGAGAATATTTGTAGATTTCAGGTATTTCATTCCCCTCCTAGGCAATAGGATGATGTTATATAGGTGGGTAATGAAATGTCAGTTGTGGCCCATGAGTGGCCAGCAGAGCTGGCAGCAGATTCGGACAGTGAGGAGGTTGGGGAGGAACATGAGCCAGTCCTGGAGTCTGGGGAATGCTCTGATGAGGGCTCTGCATTGGAGGCAGAGAGAGGACCAGGACTGGATGCCAATTTTCTGCTGCCTTCAGAGTTAGACATCAGTGAGGCAGATGAACAGATGGCGCTTGTTCCCAGTGTGTGCATGCACAGAGTTGCCAGATGAAAGGAACAGCTAAAGAACAAGGGTTGACTTGGAAGTAAGGCCACAGATGGACGATGAATGGCCCCTCCCAGAGGAAATAAAAGAGGAGCGAATGGGGAGTGGAGTTTGCAGGAGACAATTAGTTCACCTAATTGGTTCGTGACTCTCCGAGACTCCTTGCCAAGTTTTGAAGATATCAGCCTGGCAACTCTCCAAGCCAGATAAGGTCTGTGACTGTAAATTCTCCCTTGAAAGACTTTGCTGAGTGTGAATGAGAGAAATTCACAGTAACTTAATAAAAAGGGTTTTTATCGGGATAAGGAGTCTGCTTTGTGGTTTGGGAATGCCTAGGTCAGAACAATGTCTACAAGCAAACGATCAAGCTCAGAGATCATCAAGGACTCCATAGTTAAAGCACATTAAAATAAGATTGTATTTCAATCAATCAGAATAGAGATGGATACCCTATACCCGTGATGGCAAACCTATGGCATGCATGCCACAGGTGGCACGCAGAGTCCTTTCTGAGGGCACGCCAGCCATCGCCCCAGCCCAGCTTCACCGCACATGGTGCACCTCCCGTCAGCCAGCTGGTCTTTGGGTCTCTGCCCCGCGGGGCCTTTCCCGATCTCCGCAGGTTCCACCATCCACAGGTGCCTCTCCATGGCAGGAATGCAGGAGAAAGTTAGAACACGATTGGGTAAAAACTGCAAAGATTGGAGAAGGCAGGAAGGCAGGAGGCAGCTAGGACTAGATTGGGGGAAAAACTCCAGTTCCATGATCTCCAGTTTCTCCCCCCACATCGAGTCCTAGCTTTCTCTTGCCTACTGTGCCTTTTCCAATCTTTGCAGTTTCTCCACCCATCGAGTCCTAGATGCCTCCTGCCTGCCTGCCTTTCCCGACCATGCTGACTCTTTTTCTTTTTCTGGCCTTTGAAAAGAAGCACCCAAACATGGAGCTCCTTCCCATTTTTATTTTTTTAGGAGACACATGACCGATAGGAAAATGAAAAGTGATAGTTCACAAGTACATATAGTTAGTCCTCAACATATGATTACAACCGAGCAGGGGAATTACGGTTGTAAGTCGTGCTTTTGGTTAAGTGGGTCACCATGTGACCGATCAGATTTTATGAACTTTTGTTGGTTAGTAGAGGTGGTTAAACAAATAATCATGGTCGTCCAGTGAATCTTTGGCTTCTGGCAAAATGCGTAAATCGTGGTTGTGTGATCTCAGTATGCTGCAGACAGTTGTAAATGGGGGCTACGAAACCCAAGATGAGATCACATAATTATCTGGGGGAAATGGCCATTGGAACTTCTAATCCCAGTCTAACTACCTTGTTTGTGATCTGTTGTAACTTTGAATGGTTGTAAATCGAGGACTTCTTGGACTCCTCCCATTTTGGATGGGAGGAAGGCCTAAGTGAGGAGCATTCAATCTCACCTCCCCTTGAGTGATTTAGAACCGTCTCTGGTCTTTCCCAGGAGAAAGCTCCCAGTCTAGGGAGATTCTTGTATTACAGGCAGAGAACAATAAAGTAGCTAGCTTGAATTATACACATATGAATCTGTTTGTTCATGCACCACAGGACTATCTCTAATTTCATTTTCTTTTGCTTTATTCTGCAGATTCACCTTTTGATCCTCATCCATTTCTTAAAACTGCAGTCACCAAAATTATGTCTTCCATTCTTTTTGGGAAATGTTTTGAAAACGACAGCTCTTTCAACACTGTGCTGGACTTGATACATCAAAATATTGAAATGATGATGGGACCCTGGGCCATGGTATCCTCAATAGGAGGGCAGGAAAATGGTCACGATTCCTAGAATGCTAGTGGGAATTTTATCCAATTTTCCTTGCATAACTTTATTTATTTTTAAAGGAACATCATAATTTTATGACTGACTTGGAGGAGCCAGTAAGAACCAGAGTAAATTAGGGCATGACACCTCTTTGTTGAAATATTAACTTAGTTTAATATTTGTTGAAATATTAACTTAGTTTAATAAATATTAACTTAGTTTAATAGGTTAAACTAAGTTTAACTTAGTTTAATATTAATTTAGCTCTATCAAAAGGTGAACATGAAATAACATACATGAACATAGATAGCTGAAGGTATTTTTTCTCTCCCAATACACCCTACAGCGTATATTACCTGATGATCATTTTAATTAATTTTGATTTATTTTTTCCTTCTTGGCAGCTTTACAATGCTGTGCCCTTAGTGAGGAGGCTTCCCCTGCCCCATCAGAGAATGGCAAGAAATGCCCGTAAAGTCTTTGCTTTCATTGAAAAGGAAGTGGAAGAACACAAGAGAACCTTGATTCCCGAAGAATGCCGAGATTTCATTGATGCATACCTAGAAGAAATAAAGGAGGTAAAAAATCCACTCCCCTTTGTTTGATTTTACACTCTTTCCCCCGCCCCAGTTTTTTAATTTTATTTTATACACAAACAAACACTTAATACATCAGTCAATTCTTTCGTTTGTCATTTCGGTGTTTCTTCAATGGCTTTGTCTTCTTGTTGTTTCTTCTTTCTTTTCTTAATCTATTACAACCTCTCTTCAAAAATACAATATTTTGACTTCCGCTAGCACCGCCGGCGCCGCTGCAGCTCCTTTGTGAGCACCTACTCCCGGGATCTGTAAAACCGCCAAAACAGCGTAAATCAGCTGTTTTGGCAGCTGGAACTTCCCCCTCGGGCAAAGAGGGGGAGGTGAGTGCTCAGGTGTATAGGGTAAAGCCCCCCAAAACCTCCAGGATTAATCCAGGAGGTGCAGAGGGTGAGGGCTCCCCAAACACCTGGAAAGCAGCTCCAGACTCGGGATTCTGTCTTTGACGGATTAAGGCATCGCGACCATCCCTGCGAAACAAGTGATTTTAAGGATTGATTTTTACGCAGGCAGAACAAAACAGGAGAGCTTCTTGCAAGTATTTTTCTTCCTTTAACTCTGATGAATAATGAGTCCTTTCAGATTCAAGTGAAAGTTTTAAAGAGATCCAAAATGGCGCTGATTGAGAACGGAAGCTTAAGAAGAAAGTGATTGTTAAAGCTTGTTTGCGTTTGTTAAGGTCATTATAGTTGTCAGTACAGCTTTGAAGCTTTGCTGAATGAAGTTTGCAGCATAAGAAAAGATGGCAGAGGCAAAGATTTTTGAAGAGAACGGAGGTTTCTCAGCACATAATTCAGCAAGTGTACAAATACTGACAGTGGATTTTTTGGAAGCATGGCAAAAATCATTTATGGAAAGACTGGATGAGATCTTTGAGAAGTTTATTACTCAAATTGATAACAAAGTTGCAATGTTGAAAGAGGAGGAAGAACAAAAAGCGCCTGAGGAACATGGAAAGGATGTTTTCCAAACTATGAATAAACTGATGGGCTTGAAGGAGGTTAATCCGGAGATATGGAGAGAGATCTATCCAGAGGTTTTGATGCAGATGAGAGGAAAAGTACTGGGAGAAGCTTGGATTTTCAAGATATCAAGAAGGATTAGAAATGGAACATTACAATTTCTTTATAAAAATGGACTTTTAATCCTAATTAAAGAGGTGTGTTGCTTAAAAGGAATTACTTTGCGAGCTGCACAGGATTGGAAGATAAAATTACAGTTGAATACACAAAAGCTTGTAAAAATAAAAGATGGTGGAATAAAGCGGAAGAAGAAGGCTCGGAAAAAAACCAGGGGGAAATGGAAGTGGAAGAATTTTATTCCTCTTTGTTAGGCAGGATAACATGGTGAATGATTGTATTGGTATTCAAGATTTTTATTAAGGATATGATTTGTTTGGTTTTGAAAAAAATTTTTTTTTACTTATGCCTGGGTGTTTCAATTGTTATAAAAACGGATTTTTATGATTTAAAGTTGATCTTAGGTTAAAAAAGAAATTTTCTTTTGGATGTTAAATTGAAGGTTATATACATTAATGTTATTCTGTGGAGGTGATTGTATTGGTATTCAAGACATGATTAATTTTTATTAAGGATATGATTTGTTTGGTTTTGAAATTTTTTTTATTTATGACTGGATGTTTCAACTGTTATATAAACGTGAACAAGGATATGATCTCTATGGTTATGATTGGATGGATTATATCTAAAAATTACTTTAAGTAATGGATTAAAAGAGAAACTTTCTTTTGGATGTTAAATTTAAGGTTATAGATTTTTCAATATATTTTCAAGGGCTTTAAATTGTTTGTTTATTGTTGAATTAATTGGGATTAACTACCTTTAAGCAAGAAAAGTTATATTTTGTTTTGAACAAGGAGAGTTAAAGTACAAGTGATAGATAAATCTATAGATAGTTAGTTTGTGGGGTCTTTTATTAAGGTTTGTTAAATGTTTTTACCCTGCATTTGTTCTGGGAAGTCCGGGTGGGGCTTGGGATAGGAGGGGGGAAGGGAGGGGGGGAAAATATATATATGCTCCTGGAAGCACGAAGCCGAGAACACCAGCCTGAAGATGACGAATGAGACTTCGTCGAAACGTCGCCAAGACACTTCCAATTTTACGTGGGAGAAGACCCGAATAGCCAAAGACCTACATACAAACACCCGCGAAAACTTGAGAAAACAGATATATATATATATAATGTTTTTTTCTTCTAGCCAGGTTTTCCCTACGTAACCTAGGTTTTTTTGTAGCTCCAGCTCAGTAGAATCACATCTACTCGGTTCTGGGCTTTTTTCCTTTCTAACAGCTAGCAAGCTCTAACTGCTAGGTGGGAGACCTAAATAGATCCATTTCTAGCTCGTTTGCTTTCATCAGTAGGCCACACCCATATCTTATGTATCCTCCCTGTAAAGGTACAGTATCTGGAGCTACAAAAAAACCTTGGTTACGTAGGGAAAACCTGGCTAGAAGAAAAAAACACACATAAACCCTACGAAGAAGTAAGTATATATATATATATATATATATATATATATATGATTGATTTTTTGTTTAAGATGTATGTTGACTATGAAATAAAAGTTTTTTAAAAAAATAAAAAAAAACCCAAAAATACAATATTTTAATTATACCATTTTCTCGCATTTATTTATTTTATTTTTGAATTTGTATACCGCCCTTCTCCCTGAGGACTCAGGGCGGTGAACAGCCAAATAAAAACATCAAATACAAATATTAAAATACAGTTAAAATATATATATATAAATTTGGCCCCATTAATTAAAACAATAAACCAAACAATTAAAAACACTTAAAAAGAATTAGGCCAGCCCGGCTTGTTGGAAAAGGAAGGTTTTAAGGGCACGGCGGAAGGCACTGAGGTCATGGATTCTCCTTATCTCAGGGGGCAACTGATTCCAGAGGGTGGGAGCCCCCACAGAGAAGGCCCTCCCCCTGGGGGTCACCAGCCTGCATTGTTTGGCTGATGGCACCCCGAGGAGGCCCTCTCTGTGGGAGCGCACGGGTCGATGGGAGGTCGTCGGTGGCAGCAGGCGGTCTCGGAGATAGCTAGGCCCTATGCCATGGAGCGCTTTAAAGGTGATAACCAACACCTTGAAGTGCACCCAGAAGACCACTGGGAGCCAGTGCAGCTCGCGCAGGAGCGGTGTTACATGGGAGCGCCATGCTGCTCCCGTCACTACCCGCGCTGCTGCGTTCTGGACCAGTTGGAGCCTCCGGGTGCTCTTCAAGGGGAGCCCCATGTAGAGAGCGTTACAGTAATCAAGGCGAGAGGTCACGAGGGCATGAGTGACTGTGCACAGGGAATCCCGATCAAGAAAGGGCCGCAACTGGCAGATCAGGCGAACCTGATAAAAGGTCCCCCTGGTTACAGCCGTCAGATGTTCCTCCAAGGACAGCTGTGTATCCAGGAGGACTCCAAGATTGCGAACCCTCTCTGTGGGGGCCAAAGACTCGCCCCCAATAGTCAGTGATGGAGTCAACTGACTATATCGGGATGCCGGGAACCACAGCCACTCAGTCTTGGAAGGGTTGAGCTTGAGCCTGTTCCTCCCCATCCAGATCCGTACAGCCTCCAGGCACTGGGACATCACTTCAAGGGCATCATTGGGGTGGCCTGGGGTGGAGATGTACAGCTGAGTATCATCAGCGTACTGATGGTATCTCACCCCAAAGCCACGGATGATCTCGCCCAGCGGCTTCACATAAATGTTGAACAGGAGGGGCGAGAGGACCGACCCCTGAGGCACTCCACATATAAGAGGCCTCGAGGTCGACCTCTGCCCCCCCTGTCAACACGAACTGCGACCGGTCGGAGAGAAAGGAGGAGAACCACCGTAACACGGTGCCCCCCATCCCCAACTCTTCCAACCGGTGCAGCATGATACCATGGTCGAGGTATCTAGAGGTCTAACAGGACCAGAACAGAGGAGCAACCCCTGTCCCGAGCCCTCCAGAGATCATCAACCAACGCGACCAATGCCGTTTCCGTGCTGTGCCCAGGCCTGAAACCAGACTGGAACGGATCCAGATAGGATGTTTCCTCCAGGAATTGCGGAAACTGTCGCGCGACCACACTCTCAACAACCTTCGCCAGAAAGCGAAGGTTGGAGACAGGACGATAGTTGGCCAATATTGCCGGATCCAGGGACGGCTTCTTGAGGAGAGGCCTCACCACCGCCTCTTTCAAGGCCGCAGGGAAGTAACCCTCACTCAATGAAGCGTTGATAACACCCTGGAGCCAGCCTCGTGTAACCTCCCGGGAGGCCAGTACCAACCAGGAGGGACACGGGTCCAGTAAACATGTGGCCGCACTAAGTCTCCCCAAAATCCTGTCCACATCATCGGGAGTCACAGCATCAAACTCCTCCCAGATAACATTCTCAAGACTATTCCTCGTCACCCTGCCCTGATCTACCCAGTCAGAGTCCAAGTCCCCCCGGATCTGAGCGATTTTGTCATACAGGTATTGTCCGAAATCCTCCGCCCTGCCTTCCAAGGGATCCTCCCGCGCTCCCAGATGGAGCAGGGAGCGGGTTACCCTGAACAGGGCTGCCGGACGATTCCCTGATGACGCAATAGAGGCGGAAAAGTAATTACACTTTGCCGTCTTTATCGCCACTAGGTAGGTCTTAATATGCGACCTTACCAGTGTTCGGTCAGATTCAGCGCGACTGGCCCTCCAACCGCTCTCTAGGCGTCTTTTCCGGCGTTTCATCTCCCTCAGCTCCTCGGTGAACCAAGGAGCCGCAAGGGATCGACAGCGGGTCAGAGGCCGCAAAGGCACGACTCGATCCAAGGCCCCACCAGCCGCCCGATCCCAGGCAGCTACCAGGTCCTCGGCCGAGTCGTGTGCCAGATCATCAGGAATTGGCCCAAGCTCCATCTGGAACCTATCAGGATCCATCAGGCGCCTGGGGCGGACCCATCTAATTGGGACCGCCTCCCTGCGGCGGGGTGTAGCGGTACGAAGGTCCAGATGAAGGAGTGAGTGATCTGACCATGACAAGGGTTCCATGTCTATATCCCCTATAACAAGATCACTCAACCACTGGCCAGAGACAAAAATCAAGTCTAGAGTGTGTCCCCCCCCCGTGAGTGGGGCATAACTATTAATTTATTTATCTATATCTCTTTTGCTAGCCAATGGTAAAATTGACGTCATACTTTAAAATATTCTGAATCCTCTCTTTCTTTAATTATCAAAGTCAATCTATTATTTTCTGCACAGTCTAACGTTTTCTTAATTACTTCCTCTTCCAGAGGTATTTTCTCTGCTTTCCAATTTTGTGCAAATACAATCCTCGCTGCTGTTATTACATGAATAATCAAATATATCTTTTCTTTACTAATTTTCTCTGGAAGGATACCCAATAGGAACAGCTCCGGTTTTAAGTCAATATGTTGTTGCATCATTTCTTCTAGCCATATCTTAATTTTACTCCAATAATTTTTAGCTTCTGAGCATGTCCACCACATATGACAATAAGGTCCTGGTAACTGATGACATTTCCAACATTTAGCTGATTTGTGTTTAAACATTTTTGCCAATTTTTCAGGAGGCATATGCCATCTGTAGAACAGTTTATATTGATTTTCTTTATATGCAGTGGACATTGTTAATTTATAGTTCCTCTCCCATAACTGTTGCCATCTATCTAGATCAATATAATATCCAAAATTCTTTGCCTACGCTATCATTGTTCTTCCTCTAATTCAATGCCAAGTAAGAAATTATAATTTTTTTGATTATTTTATCCTCTGTTCCTGTGAGTATCGTATCCAACTCTGTCATCTCTAAGTAAAAACCATATAGTTTACATCTTTTTCATATCTTGTTTGTATTTTCCTTATATATACCAATCCATCTCAATCCCCTGTTCTTCCAATTCTCGTTTCCCTTTCAATTCCTCTTTATCTATTAGTAAATCTTTATATCTAACAATATTTCTAAGATTAATAATATTTGGGTATATTATTGTTGATAACCAAATTGGTATTTTCAAATAGTATTTATCTCTAACCTTCTCCCACACTAATAACAATGCATTTCTTATATAATGTCTATGAAAGTACATATGCATCTTACTTCTACCATACCATAAAAATGCATGCCATCCCAATTGTAAATCGTGTCCTTCCAAAGTTAATAATCTCGTGTTTCTTAATCCATTCCCTCATCCAAGTCAATACTGCTGCTTCGTAATATAGTTCTCAATTCGGCAGTCCAAATCCTCCACATAATCTTGCATCTTGTAGCATTTTTATACTTATTCTTGCTTTTCTCCCTTGCCATATAAATTTCCTTATTATCTTGCTAAGATTTTGGAAATAAGTCTTTTCAATTTTTATTGGTACTGTCTGGAATAAGAACAATAATCGATTTTACACTCTTATATAGTTGTTCTCATCTTGTATCTGTGGCTACCACATTACAGTTGTGTGACTATGAAAAAGAGGTCTCTGGTGGATGGCCCTCACCTCGTTTGATAATCTAAATGCATACATAATTCATTGCTTGGTCAGTTAAACAACTTCCACACAAAGTCGTTTGAAATTTGTGTGAATTAGAGTTTTGTCCTAAAGAAAGAAACAAGCTATTGTGTTATCTGAACTCATCTATGGGACTTTGCTTAGCCTGTTGCATAAACCCTGCCAACCCATTGCTCTAAATTAGAACATGAATGAATATGAACTTCATTCAACAGATGTGATTGGAAAATATTCTAGAATAATACAAATGGCCCTCAACCTTTAACCTCAGTTGGGACTGGAGCTTCCATCACTAAGCAAGGCACTTGTTAAGTGATTAACACCTTATTTCACAACCTTGTTTCCTGTAGTGTTAAGTAAATCACCAGAATTGTTAACTGAATCGCATGGTTATTAAGCAAATCCAGCTTCTCCCATGGACTTTGTTTGTCAGAAAGTGACTGGGAACCTTGTAAATGGTGATCAACATGGCCCTGTTGATGCTGCAACTGTCATAAATGCATGCTGGTTTCCAAGTGCCCGAATTTTGATCGTGTGAATGCAGGATACTGTGATGGTCATAAGTATGAGAAAAGTCCCTAAGTCATAAGAGATTGGACAGCCATTTGTCTGAAATGGTATAGGGTTTCCTGCCTAAGCAGAGGGTTGAACTTGAAGATGTCCAAGGTCTCTTCTCTTCTCTTCTCTTCTCTTCTCTTCTCTTCTCTTCTCTTCCCTTCCCTTCCCTTCTCTTCTCTTCTCTTCCCTTCCCTTCCCTTCCCTTCCCTTCCCTTCTCTTCTAGTCTATTCTTCATCTCAGCACTGTCATAACCTCAAACTATCAGTGTACAAATGGTTTAGAACTATATGTTGAGGACTATTTTCTCTTTCTTTGTTTGTTTTAATTAATAAAAGGCAGAGAGGAAAGTTTCAAGTTTTGGAGAAGAACAATTACTAGTTTTACTGACGGACCTTTTAACTGCTGGATCAGAGACAACGACTTCAACACTTTGGTGGGCATTGCTGTATTTGGTAGCCTTTCCAGAGGTCCAAGGTACGGAAATAGCAAATGACGAAGGTCTTCTATTAACCATGCAAAATCAGGATGGGTCTTGAAGGTGTGATTCCAGACCTTTCTAAAAGCTTCATTTGGATTTCGACAGATTCATCCCTTCTGGTATGTTTAGAACTGTAACACCTAGAAGAATTCCCAGATAGAGATGCATTGTTCTCCCACAACTCAAAGAGAGCACCAAGTTGAGAAGGACACAAAACATGGGGAATCAGTGTGAAGTTTTAAAAATTTATGTAGCAGATGACATGGCTGAGCCTGAAGGAAGAGTCAAGTGCATCATCAGTCTCGAGTCCCTTCATGCCCACAAGAGATCTAAGTCCTGCCCACTTTGAATTCCCTTGACTCTTATCTCTCTCCAATTTGCTTTGACCAGAAGAGTCAAAGACCTCCAAGGTCTCTTCCAACTCTATTGTGATTGATTGATTGATTGATTGATCTTGCACATCTCATTTGGCTGGATATCCTCCCCTTCTTATAATCCAGTGAATTAGGGAGCTGTCTTCCAGATACTCTTCTGAATGTTGCCTCGTTGTTCTAGACTTAAAGATGCTTCAGCCCTTTTTCGCAGGGAGCACTTTCTGCATAATTGTGTTGAGGTCTCCTTTCTTACCCTCCTCAGTAACTGATTTATTTGCACTGCAGAAAAATGCCAGAAGGAAATAGACGCTATTCTGGGAAGTAATTCAAACCTGCAATATGAAGATCGGGAAAAGCTGCCCTACACAAATGCCGTCATTCATGAAATCCAGCGCTGTACAACTATTGGTCCTCTCGGAGTAGCTCACGCACCCATCCAAAATGCAAAGCTTTGTGGCTATCAAATTCCCAAGGTAAAACTGGGAACTTTCACAGGTGGGCCATGGGCCTGGAGCAGGGGTAAAATCTAAATTTTTTTGCTACTGGTTCTGTGGGCGGGGCTTAATTAGTGGGCGGGCCTTGGTGGTAAGGTGACTGGGTGGGCGTGGCTTGTTGGTCAGGTGGGTGTAGCCAAGTCAATGTCACTTCTTTGCCCTTTTTTAACCTACAAAACACAACACAACACAACTGGCTCATCCACAATGTAAAAGCAGCTGTGCTAGACCCAAAATGGCCCCTGCAACAAGCAGGAACCTCACACAGCCACAAGAAGCCCAAAAAAACAACTTTCACACTTTACACACACAAAATTCCACATACAGCTTTGTGAGATTTTGTGTGTTTGTGTACTTAGAGTGAAACAGTACAGAAACACACTAAATCTGAGAAAGCTGCACAAATATTATTTTATTTTAATTTATTTTTATATAAAAGCAGCTAAATTTAAAACTTCCTAAACTTTAAATGGCTAGGTCTAAAAAAAGAACAACTAAAAAAACCCCCAATTAACTATTTTTTTTAAAGCTCCCAAAGGGGGAAAAACCTTATCCAATAGAACAGGGGTCTCCAACCTTGGCAATTTTAAGACTTGTGGACTTCAACTCCCAGAATTCCTCAGCCAGGAATTCTGGGAGTTGAAGTCCACAAGTCTTAAAGTTGCCAAGGTTGGAGACCCCTGCAATAGAAGGTACAAGGCAGGCAGGCAGGCAGGCAGGCAGGCAGGCAGGCAGGCAGGCAGGCAGATAGAGCTGCTCACCGATGAGCTTGATTGCAGGCAGGGATATTCAGTTGCTTGCTGATGCAATGGATTGCAGGGATTACAGCAAGGCGTTGCGACCATCAGCTAAGGTAAGCAAGCTGCAGGCTGGAGGGGGCGGGGGTGGGGGGATTTTTGCTACCGGTTAGCAGGCAACTCAGCTAGGATCGTCAGAGCTTGGCTCGTCAGAGCCATTTAAAAGAAAGAAAAGGCTCTGATGATCGCGCAGCTCAGCTGGGCATGGGGCCGGGGGCAGGGATTTTTGCTACCAGTTCTCCGAACTGCCTGCTGCCATCGCTACCTACTCGCCCGAGCTGGTCCGAACTGAGAGCATTTCACCCTTGGTCTGGAGGCTAGGGAGAACTAGCCTCCAGTTCTCCCTAGAGAACTATGCATATTTAGCCAAATGAAGGGAAGGATTAGGGGAGGCATGACATCATAGCAGTCTTCCAATACTTAAAGGGCTGCCAGAGAAAAGAAGGGGTCAATTTATTCTCCAAAGCACCTGGGTGAAAACACATCACAGGGAGCTCCAGAAATAAGGGGGAATTTCTGGAAAGTGAGAATGGTTAATCAGTGGGAAAGCTAGACTCACCATTGCTGGAGAAAAAGTTGGAGAGCCAACCCTTCAAGCCTTACGATTCCATGAACGATTCTTTTCACTACCATCAGTTCATTTTTGAACCAAATCTCAAAAGGGCTAAGCCAAATTGATGGTTGTGCCCTGATATTTGCAGGGCACGACCATTTTCACCAACCTCCATTCTGTTCATCACGATGAATCCCAGTGGAAGTTCCCACACGAGTTCAACCCCTCCAACTTCCTGAATGCAAAGGGAGAGTTTGTGAAGCCGGAAGCCTTTTTGGCATTTTCAGCAGGTAAATTCTCTCTTTCTCTCTGTTTCCCTTTGAATGGGAAGGGATGCACAACAGGCAGAACCAGGGATTAGACAACCCTTTGAAATCAGCTCCTGTACTTAAGCCTACTTCAGGGCATCATTGGGCGGAGAAAACTAGGATGCATGCTAATATCCTGTGAATGTGGCCAAGAGAGAGCAACTGAAAAGCATATTCACTTTGGGGATATCATCACCCATATTTGTGAAAGCACTCCTTCTCTGCATGAGTGTATCCTTCAGCAGGCTAAAATATCCCATTTCATCAACCCATTCCAGAAACCAGGAAATACATCTTTTCCTTTGCTATTCTCTCCCTATCCCGCTCCATCTCCGTTTCCCTCTCCCTCTCCCCCTCCTTCTCCCTCTCCCCCTCCCTCTCCCTTTCCTTCTCCCTCCTCCTTCCCTCTCCTATTACCTCATCCTTCCCTCTCCCTTTCCTTCTCCCTCTTCCTCAACCTACCCCTTTCCTCTCCTTCCCCCTTCCCTCTCCTTCTGCCTCTCCTCTCCCTCCCTCTTTCTCATACACAAAGATATAAATCCATTAATCCTAAGGACACTAGTCAGTTTCACATGACATTACAAAACCACAAGTCTGAGTTTCAGGGGTGCTGTTTTATCATCAAAGTGTGTGCTGCTCTAGATGAATAGCCCTGATCGTTCATCTTGTCTTTGACTTTTCAGGACCAAGGGTCTGCTTAGGAGAAAATCTGGCTCGGATGGAGCTCTTCCTCTTCCTCACCACCATCCTGAGAAACTTCCGGCTATCTTGGCCAGATAAATCCCAGGCACCAGATCTCACACCTAACTTTGGTCTCACACAATACCCGTCAAGCTTTAAAATATCCATGAAAGGCCTCCAGGAGAGTGACTAGATCGAGGGAAGGTTTTTCCATCACTCAAAGCAAAGTCATCCTCTCCAAAGACACTTGAAAGACCCAGATGAAATTCATAGGCTACGTGGCTTAAACCAATTACATGAACAAAAGATTTATCCTAGATGATACGAAAAAATTATCTTCAATGGTATAAACTTGATTTAGAAAAACCAGTCTGCCTTTCACATTCCTTCCTTCCCTCCACCTCATCCAAATTTAAATCCTGTATCAGTCTAACAATTCGTCTTCTTCAGTTATTGCTGTAGTTCACAAAAGCTTATATCATTTAATAAAATTAAAGAAACAATCAAAATATGCCTGACATTTTTGTCTATACCATAGACCAGGGGTGTGAAACTGGATTTCTTTGAGGGCTGGATCAGCATTGTAGTTTTCCTCCACGGGATGGCTGGGGTGAGGAGATGGATCAGATGCTCCCGTAGCACTTTGCTAGCCAAAATGAGGTGCGAGGGGGCTCTGTGCAGCTCCTCACACCCTGTTTTGGCCGACAGAGGCATCACAGGCTGGTCCTTTGCTATTTCCAAGCCGCCCCATGGGCCAGATTTAAGCACCCTGCAGGCTGAATCTGGCCTGCAGTTTGACACCCCTGCCAGGAGTTTGACACCCCTGCCAGAGACTAAGATGTCTTCCTTCCTACAATGTTTATTCCTTGAAGAGATTCTGCTGTAGAGAACGGAGTTTTTCTGAACATAAAATACTAATTCCTCAAATTAGCATGTAAGGAACATCCAGTCAAAAACTAGCAATTTGAAACTTTGAACTCTGAGGCTGCTAGATGCCAGGTGTTTCTATGAAATAATAAAAGAATGCAACGGAGGCTAAATGTGGAGCAGGGAAAAAGCATGCAAATTTGGCTTACAAGCAGTGTTGCACAACCAGGCTTTGTAAATCATAGGCTTGCTTCTTGTAGCCTGGGAGAGGAAGAGGCAGAACTGGAGAGTGGAGTTAAATATGTCATCAGTTTAGAGTGCTTGCATTGCCACAAACAATCCAAGTTGAGTCCCTCTTGAAATCCATTGATTCTTATCTAGCACCAATTTAATGCTAACCATTAGTTGAATAGATTCTGTCAGGTTCCAAACAGAAGGAAATAAAAGGAGACAAACCTGGATGGCTGCTACCTTAGTTTAATCATTTCTTGGCACTCGCTGAGTCTCAGATGAAAATCTTTTTAGGGCTATTTCCCTGTGCTTCCCACCACCATTTATCCATTAGTTATCACCACCCAACCAATTACGCGTGCTGCTTCCTCCCATGTGATCCGGAAGGTGGCTTATGTTTAATTCTTGAGTATTTACAACCAGCATCCAAGCAATTAATCCACTTGAGTATTTGCAACCAGCGTCTAAACAGTTAATCCCCTTGTTATTTTCGGCTGGCCAAGATAATGTCATCCCCCAGCTATTCCCTCCCATCAATGCTGTCAGTTCCTGGGAGGGTCAACGAAGCAGATACTGGGCTGAAATGAGGTTTGTGCATTCCTCCCACCACGAATGGCAGCTCCATGCTGACAGCACACTGGAGCTGACAGATTCTTGTGTTTAAGTTACTTTCTCTTTTTTTCTTTTTTAAGTTTTTTATTTTTTATAAAAGTGTCAAATCAATGTGTGAGAAGTGGGGCACCTGAGTGCCATACATTCCAATACAAGCAAAACTGATCAAATTGAACATTATTATTACATTCAATCGATTTATGTAATTCCCATAACAATACACACCTATATTAGCTTACAGTCTATCATTAGTCAATTATTTCAGCTTTTTCTCGTTATTACTTTCATTTTATCAAATAAAAATATAATACATTAATATTACCTTTATTTCTATCACTTATTCTAGCTTTTAATCATATCATCCTATATTAAAAAACTTTTTCTTTCTGGTCTGGTGTTATTCTTTGTATTTGGGATTCGTTTGTCAATAAGGGTGGGTTTCCAAATGGCTGGTAGGCAGGAGGTATCATCTCTTTTATTCATGCTGTGGGGACGTTTTTCTATCTCGATGGCTTCTCTGATTATTCTGTTGTTAAAATGTTCAGTTTTGGCGATAGTTCTGGTTTTTTTAAAATCAATTTCATGTCCTGTGGCTTTAAGGTGTTGGACTTGGGAAGAAGTTGGTTCCTCTTTTCTGATTGAGTTTTTGTGTTCTTCAATGCATGCATTTATTCTTCTGTTGGTTTGTCTGATGTATGAGGTGGGGCAGGTGGGGCATGGGATTTCATATACTCCTTGATTTTCTAACTCAATTTTGTCTTTGGGGTTTCTTAGGATGGTGGATATTTTTCGGTTTGTGCAGAATGCTGTCTTGATATTGTGTTTGTGGAGGATCTTGCTGATTCTGTCTGTGGTGCCTTTTATGTATGGGAGGAGGGCTTTGCCGTTTTCTTGTTCTCTGTCTTGGATTTTAGTGGGTGTCTCTTTTTGGATTAGGTTGTTAATCTTGTTTCTTTGGAATCAGTTGGATGTTAGTACGTTAGTGAGAGTATGTAGTTTAATTTTTAGGTGTTGTTCATCAGCTAAGCGTCTTGTTCTGGAGATGAGTGTCTTGGCTACGGAGTTGATCTGTGCTGGGTGGTGGTGTGAGAGAGTGCGTGCAGATAGCGATTTGTGTGTGTTTTCTTCTGGTAGATGGTGTGTCCTAGGGAGCCATTGGATTTCTTGTAGACTAAGACATCCAGGAAGGGAAGTTGGTTGTTAGCTTCTGTTTCCATGGTGAACTTTATTTTGGGGTGTAGGCTGTTGAGGTGTGTGAGGAAGTTGTCCAGTTTTTCTTTCCCATGTGGCCAGATTATGAAGGTGTCGTCTATGTATCTGAGCCAGAGTTTGGGTTTGTGATCAGATTGTTCAAGGGCTTAGGTTTCAAAATGTTCCATGTAGAGGTTTGCGATGACAGGTGAGAGAGGTGATCCCATGGGTGCTCCTTCTATTGGTTTGTATTTTTGTCCTTTATAGATGAAGTATGTGTTGGATAGGCAGTGGTTGGTCAGATCTAGGATGTGCTTAGGGGGGTTATATTTGTTTTGGATAGCTGTCAAGACTTCTTTGATTGGCACTTGGGTGAAGAGGGATACAACATCGAAGTTCACGAGTAGGTCACTGGGCTGTAAGTTTTGTTTCTTTATGATCTCTATGAACTGGAATGAGTTTTTTACGTGTGAGGTGATGGAGCACAGCCAACCCCCCTCCCAATCAGAACACACCTCCACCCAATTAGAACACCCATGCTCCCACCCAATCAGTTCATACCTCCACTGGCAGTTGAAAAGAAGAAACAACCACGATCACACATTGCTCCTAGAAGCACAAGGCCGAAGACACCAGCCTGAAGATGACGAATGAGACTTTGTCGAAACGTCGCCAAGGTACTTCCAATTTTACGCGGGACAAAACCCGAATGCTTTCTTCTCTTATCGTAGGTTTTTGTATGTATTTTTCTTCAAATAGGAAAATACCCTGTTGAAGAAAAATACATACATACATACATACATACATACATACATACATACGCAAGTCTTGGTATATTCGGGTTTTTTCCCGTGTAAGATTGAGAGTATCTTGGCAACGTTTTGACGAGGTCCCACTTGTCATCTTCAGGCTGGTTTCTTCGGCTTCGTGCATGTGCGAGCAAATGCAGGAAGCCAAAGACACCAGCCTGAAGATGACGAGTGGGACCTCATCGAAACGTCGCCAAGATACTCTCAATCTTACACGGGAAAAGACCCGAATACACCAAGACTTGCAAACCTGTACCCGTGAAAATCTACGAAAACATATATACTGTATATATATGAAAACCATAAAAAAGAGTTAGTGGCATCTGACTATATATACTCAGCAAGTACAGGGAAGCTTCACTCCCTCTCTGGAATATGGAGTGAGTTTCCATCCCCTGCCGTCACCCTTACCTTCTCAGGTCAGGCGAGGAGTGACTGGGAGGGGAGGGTGAGGGGCAGGGCCAGCCAGTGGTGGGTTCAGCCAACAGGAAGCCACAGCAGGGGGCCAAAAGAGCCACATGCGGCTCCAGAGCTGCAGGTTGCTGACACCCGAGCTAAACCAAAGGGAAGAATGTGGTATGGACCACAAGAAGGAAAGAGTGAATAGAAAGGAATCTTCAGAATTGCTCCAATTGGAGTAGTATTATTTATGCCGTTATTTTAATGCTCCATTCTTCTGTTATAGCTTGGCCCTCTTCCCTTTATGATATGTTGTTGTTCAGGAAAGATGGATTTTTTTTAGCCTAGTGTACTCTGTCCAACTCAGTGACCCCAGATTTAGACTTTTAGAGATCTTTGCAACGACTGTATTCTATCCGGAACAGTGGTGGTTTCAAAATTTTTTACTACTGATTCTGTGGGTGTGGCTTGGTGGGCATGGCATGGCTTGGTGGGCGTGGCTTGGTGGGTGTGGCTTGGGGAAGGATACTGTAAAATCTCCATTCCCTCCCCACTCCAGGGGAAGGTTACTGCAAAATCCCCATTTGTCCCAATCAGCTGGGACTTGGGAGGCAGAGAATAGATGGAGGCTGGGCTAGTCAGAGGTGGTATTTACCAGTTTTCCAAACCACTCAAAATTTCCACTACCGGTTCTCCAGAATTGGTCAGAACCTGCTGAAATCCACCTCTGGTCCAGAATATTGATGCTTGGGAATAGATTCCAAACCAACAGGCTGTCCATTTCAATACAGATTATATAGCAGCCTGTGTTTTAACCAACAGTGGGAAGTCTCTCAATGAAAGTTAAAACTCACAAAACCATATTAATACTATAAAACTGAACAGATTTGTAATGTCCCAGAAGTTTCCCCGAGCCGCTGAGATGCCAAAGAGAGTGACATTCGAGACGAGGCTTGTAAAAATAACAGCTTTTTTATCCTTTGGCCAAAGCAAAAAAGAGCTGGGTGATACTATTTCCAAAACACAGACAAAAGCATGTAAGGAATAGCCACACCCTGTGAGAGTGTCTCAGAGGATTATATACATTTTACGCCAATAGAAACAAAGTTTATCCAATCATAAACAAAGGTTCATCACCAATGTGATGTAAAGTGTTCTTTGTTCAGGCCCCTGTCTCTGTCCATGCTTTGCTATCTTACAGAGTATCCCTTGTCCTGGCGGGTTTGTGCTCCTAGGCAGCTCCCCTTATCTATGGAGCAGGATGTTCCTGGGAACTGTCTCCAAGGATGGTGCCTAGCTCTGAAGCAAACAACAGAAGTGAGAAACCAGATAGAAAAGGATACAAGTCTCTTACAGAATGAATTGCTAACAAAGGCTTCCTAACCATAGCAAAATACCGTGTTTTCCCGAAAATAAGACTGGGTCTTATATTAATTTTTGCTCCAAAATACGCATTAGGGCTTATTTTCTGGTTAGGTCTTATTTGGGGGGAAATACTGTACTAAATGTATCCATCTGGCTGACAATCTTAACTGGGGCTTATTTTGGGGGTAGAGTTATATTACGAGCATCCTGAAAAGTCATGCTAGGGCTTATTTTCCGGTTAGGTCTTATTTTGGGGGAAATACGGTACTAAATGAATCCATCTGGCTGACAATCTTAACTGGGGCTTATTTTGGGGGTAGAGCTTATATTACGAGCATCCTGAAAAGTCATGCTAGGGCTTATTTTCCGGTTAGGTCTTATTTTGGGGGAAATACGGTACTAAATGAATCCATCTGGCTGACAATCTTAACTGGGGCTTATTTTGGGGGTAGAGCTTATATTACGAGCATCCTGAAAAGTCATGCTAGGGCTTATTTTCCGGTTAGGTCTTATTTTGGGGAAAATACGGTACTAAATGAATCCATCTGGCTGACAATCTTAACTGGGGCTTATTTTGGGGATAGGGCTTATATTACGAGCATCCTGAAAAGTCATGCTAGGATTTATTTTCCGGTTAGGTCTTATTTTGGGGAAAATACGGTACTAAATGAATCCATCTGGCTGACAATCTTAACTGGGGCTTATTTTGGGGATAGGGCTTATATTACGAGCATCCTGAAAAGTCATGCTAGGGCTTATTTTCTGGTTAGGTCTTATTTTGGGGAAAATACGGTACTAAATGAATCCATCTGGCTGACAATCTTAACTGGGGCTTATTTTGGGGGTAGAGGCTTATATTACGAGCATTCTGAAAAGTCATGCTAGGATTTATTTTCCGGTTAGGTCTTATTTTGGGGAAAATACGGTACTAAATGCATCCATCTGGCTGACAATCTTAACTGGGGCTTATTTTGGGAGTAGGGATTTTATTACAAGCATCCTGAAAAATCATGCTAGGACTTATTTTTGGGTTGGGTCTTATTTTCGGGGAAACAGCTTCTACAAGCAACTTCTTTAACAGAAGCAAAGAGCAAAGGTTAGATTGATTTGTGTCAATATGTCCTTTCAGATTAAAACATGAAAAACAACAAAGTCCCGGTCCAGCTGCAGCTTTGAATGTGTAATTATCTAATCTGATCCCAGTATTGAGGGAGTACACTTCCTCTTTGGCTTTTTGCCAGCAGAGAAATACAGCAGCAGAGAAAGGAGGAAGGGAGCATATTCTCTGCTTTGAATATGGCTGTTTTCAGCTGGCTGAGCATTCTCCTTTCCCTCTTATTCTTCTGGCTTTGGAAAAACAAACGTCCCAAAGGTTTTCCTCCCGGGCCATGGAGGCTGCCTCTGTTTGGGAATCTACTTCAGTTCAATATGACGGACCCTCTGAAGCGCTTTGATCAGGTAAGGCTCCTTAATTGCTCTTATATTAAACTCCACGGAGTCACTTTGCAGAAAAGAAAGAGTTTTTTAAAAGGAGGCTGGCTCAGCGGCAGAGGTGAAATGCTGCCGGTTCGGACCGGATCACCCGATCCGGTAGTGATGGGGGTGGGTGGTTCGGAGAACCGGTAGCAAAAATCCCTGCCCCCCCCTCCCATGCCCAGCTGAGCCTCACAATCATCAGAGGCTTTTTTTTTACTTTTAAAAGCATTTTTTCTACAACCTCTTCGGCTGAAAAAATGCTTTTAAAAGTAAAAAAAAAAGCCTCTGATGATCGCGTGGCTCAGCTGGGATCATCAAAGGTTTTTTTTTTTTTTTTAAAAAACCCTTTTTTCTTTTAAATGTCTCTGACGATCCAAGCTGAATTGCCTGATCGTCAGAGGCATTTAAAAGAAAAAAAGTCTCTGCCGATCAGGCAACTCAGCTGGGATCGTCAGAGCCTTTTGAAAGCAATTTTTTACAACCTCTTTGCCGAAGAGGTTGTAGAAAAAATGGTTTTAAAAGTAAAAAAAAAAAATGGCCACGCCCACCCAGTCACATTACCCCACACACACACCAAGCCACACCCACAGGTAGTAACAAATTTTAGATTTCACCCCTGCTCAGCAGTGCTGCGTCTGTTAAAAGTTTCTGCGTGGGATTGAAAATACAGTCTGCAGCCGATTGAGGAGAAATGTTGAGAACGTTATATGCAGATGATGAAATCCCAGCTACCTTTGACTCCGAGCAATTCCTTAACCCCTAATGGCATTTTGCTGCTTCCAAAAGATTGGTCAGGGTTTATTTGCATTGCGTGGCAGGTTCATGAATGTTTGAGCTGAATTCCAAGAGTCGGCTCTGACCCTTTTCCAAAGCAACGCTTGGAATTGCCTAGGACACAACCAGAAATCTTTCTACACCATCTTAAATACCCCCACCTCACCAATTCTTTGGAGAAGGGAGAAAAGGCCCTGCAGCTGCTGGAAGTCACTGCTTTCACTTTCTTGTAAACATTACAATTCCATTCTGTCCAGGGGTGGGTTCTACTAATTTTACTACTGGTTCGCAACGGGATGGTGCGCGTGTGTGCTTCTGCTTCGCTCAGCTTCTGCGCATGCACCGATTCCCAATGACGACATCTGGGGCTGTGGGCGGGGCTTCCTGCCAGTATTACTACTGGTTCTTGTGAACCGGTCCGAACCGGGAGCAAACCACCACTGAGTCTGTCACTTTGATGCGAAATTTCTATTATGCAATTAGGGGAACTTCAGGGATGAAATCCAGCAGGTTCTAACCTGTTCTGGAGAACTGGTAGCAGAAACTTTGAGCAGTTAGGAGAACCGGCAAATGCCACCTCTGGCTGGCCCCAGAGAGGGATGGGAATGGAGATTTTGCAATATCTTTCCCCCAGGAGTGGGGAGGGAATGGGGATTTTGCAGTATCCTTCCCCTGGAGTGGGGTGGGAATGGAGATTTTGCAGTATCCTTCTCCTGGAATGGGGTGGGAATGGGGATTTTGCAGTGTCCTTCCCCTGGAGTGGGGAGGGAATGGGGATTTTGCAATATCCTTCCGCTGCCACGCCCACCAGGCCACGCCCACAGAACCGGTAGTAAAAAAAATTTGGATTTCACCACTGTCAGGAACTTGTTTTTAAACAAACACCAATGTGTAGCAATTTCCCTGTAGAAAAAGCCCACCGCTCTTAATTTTGGATTTTAACAAGGAGACTTCTGATGAAAGGCTTCCAATAATTGTTGCTAGAGTTTGCACTTTGTCTTTGCCCCAAGGAGGTGTGTGAATTCTCACAAATGGTGAAAGTTAGAGAAGGGAACACATTGTTATTCCTGTATGTTTCTGGCCTGTTCTTAGCCCAGAATGAGTCCAAGGGCACCACCCTCTTGGAAAACATGATGTGCCAGGCATCGTTCTTTGAGGTGAATTAAACTCTACACATTTCTCGTTGCTATTTGAAGGATTAGCACAAAGTACTGCCCAATAGCAAAAGTTAAAAGGTTATTTAGACACTGAAGTGGAATCATGTGGTAAACGAAGTATTAGAATGAGGTTGCTGGAAAACCATGCTCATATTTACTGTATCACTTATAGCTTTTCGGTACAATGAGAGCTTATACACCGAAGACAAATTCCTTATGTGTTCAATCGCACTTGGCCAATAAAAAATTCTATTCTATTCTATTCTATTCTAGTCTAGTCTAGTCTAGTCTAGTCTAGTCTAGTCTAGTCTAGTCTAGTCTAGTCTTTATTATTACGCTACTTCTATTCTATTCTATTCTATTCTATTCTATTCTATTCTATTCTATTCTATTCTATTCTAATTATTATTCTACTCTACTCTACTCTACTCTTCTCAACTTCTCTTCTCTTCTCGTCTCGTCTCTTCTCTTCTCTCTTCTCTTCTCTTCTTTATTATTACTCTATTCTATTCTATTCTATTCTATTCTATTCTATTCTATTCTACTCTACTCTACTCTACTCTACTCTACTCTACTCTACTCTACTCTAAATCTATTCTATTCTATTCTATTCTATTCTATTCTATTCTATTCTTTCTAATAGTATGGCCCTTTGATATTCACATTCAAATGAGTCTTTTGCCAACTCACAATGTACATTTATACATCCGAACTAGGCTGCATTGTTTCTCTGTGTCATATAATATATGCGGGTATGTGGGTATATGTATGTTTATTTATTTATTGCATTTATTTATTTATTGTCATGTTTATGAAGTGTATATTGGAGGCAGTGACCCTTTGAGAGCTGTATGCAATGAAATTTAATTTTAATGTATGCCGATTAGTGTACATTTAAAGTGACAATAAAGTGATTCCAAGTCTAAGTGGGTCTACGTTAAGAGGTACCATGCCAAAAAGCAGGAAGAAGAGCTATATTATTATCTATAAATAAATCCTTTCCCCTCTAGAATATGGTATACAATATTCCTACTAAGTAGTCCAGTGAACATTCTGCGTACAACATGCTTACAAGTTGAGTAGGGAGGGGGGTAACAGCCGATCACTTTGAAGAATGGAGCATGGTGGAGCTACAGGTCACGGTTCAACTTGGTGAGGCTACGTCGAATCATTGCAGTGATTGGTTCTCAGTGATTTCCTAGTAACTCTTTGCTCATCCTGTTGTTTCGTTTCAGTTTGGGAAAAAATATGGCCCTGTCTTCTCTCTTTATCTGGGAAGCAAACCTGTAGTTTTAACTCACGGATTTCCTTCCGCAAAAGAGGTCTTTGTGACAAAAGGCACAGAATTTGCTGGGAGATCAGACTTTTACATTATGGATATTATCACTAAGAAAAAAGGTAACGATATAATTTTCAAGCCGTTGTATTACCCCTTCAAGTTATTTGTTTTGTTACCTAATGTCCTCTCTCTCTTTTCCTCTGAATGCTAGCATTAAATACTTACTCATTATGTGAGGACCAGCTTCTCACCCCCCACCCGCCTTTCAAGAAAGTACAAACTCTTAAGAATTTTGTATTTCAAAAGGAACCTATACTGAAAGGGATGAAAGCGAGTCAAAACTCAAAGCAAGCTAAGGGGTCCCTCAGGGCATGCAGTTCAGGATAAAGGAAATTAGGAACCCCCTCCCCACCTTCCGATGTGGATTCCAACCAATCCACCAGTGTGAATACGAATTGCACCAGCCTCTCTGAGAAACAGATACAAAGAGCTTCTCAGGGTCATCTTACAATCCACTCGTTCCCCCCCCTCTCCTTTCATTTCCTGAGGTGTGAGAATTCTCCAGGCATTCCTGGCACCAGGCAATGGTTATAAATCAGGGTAAAGTTTATACAAAGAGGATCAGGCAAGAAATTGGATACTTAGGACACATAGGAAAAGAACTAAATATGACAACTCCAACCCCCCCCCTTTCTTCCACGAAGAATGGCAGATACACAGATCTGGCACATTACTTACTTTCAAGTAAGAGAAGAAGTGATCAGTTGAAATTTTAGAATCGGTTAATCAGAAGGACATTTCAAAAGGAATGTTTGTTTGTTTGCTAATTTTTCATTACAGGTAGTCCTTGATTTACAACCATTCGTTTAGTGATCAACGGCAGTGAAAAAAGTAACTTACGATGGTTTTTCACACTTACAACCATTGCACATGACATTGCGGTCACATGTTCAACATTTGGATGCTTGGCAACTGACTCATACTTATGACAGTTGCAGTGTCCCAGAGTTGTGTGATCATCTTTTGCAACCTTCTGACAAGCAAAAACAATGGGGGAAGCTTTTGCTTGACAGCTGCGTGATTCACTTAGATCTGCTGCGATCCTGTGGCAAGGAAAGTTGTAAAATAGAGCAAAACTCATTTACCCACTGTCTCACTTAGTGACCGAAATGTTGGGCTCAATTTGTGGTTGCAAGCCGAGGACTACCTGTATGCATCTTTGACTTGACAGGCATAATCGCACAGCCTTATGGTGAAGCGTGGAAGGAGCAAAGGAGGTTTTCGCTGATGCTTTTCAGAAACTTTGGCGTGGGAAAAAATCTGATGGAGGAAAGGATCGTGGAGGAAGCATCTTATTTGATTCAGGCTTTTACCGAGAACATGAGTAAGCTCTCCCGGGAGAGGATGGGACGGTTGAGAATTGTCACTCTGGGGCTGCTCCCTTTTCCAGAGGACATAGTTGGCCTCAGAGTTGGCCATTGAATTGGTGCACTGATGCAGAATGGGAGAAAGGTAGAAGTACGATTACATAAAATTCAAAGCCCTAGCTATAATTGGCCAAAATGCGACCTACCTTTAGTTTTTTTTTTTTTAAATTTGATTTATATGCCGCCTTTCTCCGGAGACTCAGGGCGGCTTACAATGTGCTCAGCAATAGCCTTCATCCTTTTGTATATTTTATACAAAGTCAGCTTATTGCCCCCACAAACTGGGTCCTCATTTCACCTACCTTAGAAAGGATGGAAGGCTGAGTCAACCTTGAGCCTTGGTGGGATTCGAATCCTGCAGTAATTGCAGGCAGCTGTTCTTAATAACCAGCTTAATAACAGGGTGCCTTAAACCCCTGTACTACCAAGGCTCTTTTTAATTGTAATGTTTCTAAGTCCTTAGTTCTTGGTTGGCAGAATGCCTTGAATGTTCATAGACATAGACATTCAAGGTGTTGGTTACCATCTTTAAAGCGCTCCATGGCTTAGGACCTGGGTACTTACGAGATCGCCTTCTGCCACCGATAGCCTCCCACTGGCCACTACGCTCCCACAGAGAGAGACTCCTCAGGGTGCCGTTGGTCAAACAATGTCGACTGGCGACCCCCAGGGGGAGAGCCTTCTCTGTGGGGGCACCCACCCTCTGGAATGATTTGCCCCCGGAGATACGGATGATCCCTGACCTACGCACCTTTCACCGTGCCCTCAAGACGTTGTTATTCCAACAAACTGGGCTGGCCTAAACATTAATTTTAATGGGTTGTTTTAGTTTTTTTAATGATATCGGGGCCAAATTATTTAATATGTTTTTTAAATTGCTTTTAATTTTATATATGTGTTTGTTTTATTTCTTGGCTGTGCACCGCCCTGAGTCCTTTGGGAGAAGGGCGGTATAAAAATTAGATAATGAATAAACAAACAAACAAACAAACAAACAAATAAATAAATAAATAAATAAATAAATAAATAAATAAATAAATAAATTTGGGGATAAGTGGGAAGTTTCACCCTCTATAAAATCCTAGAAAATATAACTAGTCACCAACTTCTAATTTCATGGAATACTCTTTGCCAGCATTTATTGGGTCTGCAATAATAAAACTGCAAAGACGACCGTCTCCATTGTCATTGTGGGAGATTAACACACACACAGCCAGAGAGAGAGGGAGAGAGGAGAAAGAGAGAGAGAAGGAGGGAGGGAGGGAGAGAGGGAGAGAGAAAGGTTGTTTATTAGAAAATGGTCAAAAATAGGAGTACTCACTTCTGTGATATACTGGAGACAGAGGGAGGGAGGGAGGGGGACAGAGAGAGAGAGAGAGAGAGGGAGAGAGAGAGATTAGACAATGGTCGAAAATAGATATTTTTTCATCCTGGTGACTCAGGTATGGCAAATTCATTGTGAGCATTAGACTCCATAGTGGATTTACTTTGTGTTCCTCTGATGATCTCTCTGCAACTCATACACTGGCTTAACGGATATCTTATTGCAACTATTTGAAGGGAAAATGCAGGAGAGTGAATCTATAGCAGATCTGGGTGTTATACTGTCCCCAGGCGACATCCAGCCCTTTAGCTGTCCCCGTCTAGCCTGTGTGGTTGCTTTTATTTTGAAGGCAACTGTTATTTTTTCCCCGTTTATATATATGCGTGCATGTACACTTACGCACCTTCACAGCAGTGGTGGGTTGCTTCCGGTTCGGCCTGGTTCGGGCAAGCCGGTAGTGGTGATGATGTGACATCAGTGAATCGGTTCTCTATGACTGTGAGCTGGGCCCTCCCACCCGCCCCCATGTTATACCTACCTTTATTTGTCGTTTTTTAGCCCAGCTGATAGGCACGGCAGAGTGGATTGCTGCCTCTCAGCTGGGCAGAAATCTAACGCGCTTGCGCAGAGCACAAATCTGGCGCGCGTTCGAGCAAAGCAAGCAGACATGCGGTGATCGCGCGCAAAGCGCGTGTGCGAAGAGAGCCGGTTGGAACCCACCACTGCTTCACAGCCCTATTGGTTCAGCCCTTCACAACCATCCCGGGTTCCCATGTGGCCTCTTGCAAAAATTAATCTGATCTGTCCCCGTCCACACACACACACAAACACAGCCAGCCGAGGGTTAAGGAATCACTTGGAACACACCCAGGTCTTTATCTCCAACTTGGCAGCGATATACACACCGTCTGCCAAGTGCTTTTATTTCCACAGAAAACAGAAAGATAATATACTCAGCGTACAAGAGTCCAACAGAATTAATATTCCTCTCAGCAGTTTCGGATGAGGCTTTAGTGACTATCCAAGGTTTACTTTTGTTCGTCACAGGGATCACTGGCCACCACCCTCTATTATATAGTCTCTGGGGTGTGGTCCAGTGACTCAGTTCTAATCCCTAGCACGCCTCCTGAGCTGCTGCAATCATTTATCACGCCTTCGGAGGCGTGCGTCCAGGAATGACGTCTCTCCCTCACTCTCATCCGAGACACCTGTCTCTCGGCTAATCTCCTCTCCCTCGGCCGGCTCCTGAGACAGTGCCAGAGGGGAGGGGTCTGGAGAGGGAGGCCTGGCTGACTCCTCTTCCTCATGCTCGGAGCTTTCTTCCTCCGATGGGACATGCTCAGAGGGCGGGGCCACAACATAATCCCTTATCCCTGACATAAAGCGATCTCTTTCGTTTCATTCTGCAGGGCTGCCTTTTGATCCTTATGAGTTCATCGACAGTGCCGTCGCCAACATACTTTCCACCATACTATTTGGGAAACATTTCAAATATGACAGCAACTTCCTGAGAAGCCTGCTGGACCTGATCCATCAAAACATCAGACTGCCAGCAGGACCCTGGGCCTTGGTATCCTAATTGAGAATCCAGAAAACCATTTAAAATTAAAGCACAACTGGTGGGAATTTGAAATTCTGTGTTCTTGATGTTACCGTCGCCAGACCTTGAATGAGAAAAGTCTCGCCCATTTGGGAAACTGATTTTCCTTGCAATTAGAAGCCTCTTGTTTTATGGAACTGTCTCATCAGAGTGCCAGGAAGAGTGGGTGAAGGCTCTCTTGAATAACAGCAGTTATCCACATTTAATGGGGTATAATTCTTCCTCTTCTAGTGTCTTCCCCACAAGTTCAGGCTCCACTTTTTTCAGATCAACTGAACCTTGATCCATTGGTTCCTGATGTGGGTTGTGAGAAACTGACTGGCTCAAAGTCACCCAGCTGACTTTCATGCCTAAAATGGGACTAGATTTCGCAACCTCTTGTTTTTTAGACCAACTCCTTCACCATTACCCAACGTGGCTCTGAATTGGGTATAATAGTTCTATAGTTAAACTTCAGTTTATTTAAACATTGGACTCCCTTTCAAATTGTGGGAGATATTTATACGAACCCTTTAGGGCAGTGGTGAAATCCTCTGCAGTTTGCCACCAGTTCGCTGCCTGCGCATGCATGGTTCATGCCAGATGCATGCTGCACGCATGCATGCATGGTGTGCCACAAATGCCTGCTGTGCGTGCGTGCACATCCGCAGTGCTGTGTGCATGCATAGTGCACTCCAAATGAGTGCTTCACGTGGAAAAAGGCTTAAGAAGGTAAGTAAAACAGTGAAGGGGGGGGAAACAGCTGTGCCGCAAGATTTAGATTTGATAGAAAGTACGATTTCCTGCTTTCTAGTGAATATAAATCGCGTGGCACAGCTGATCGTCGGAAATACCAGTTTGGATGAACTGATGGCTTTTTTTCCCTACTGGTTTGCCCAAACCGATAGCTTTTATCACTACCGGGTTGCCCGAACCGGTGCACACCAGTAGCATTTCACCCCTGCTTTAGGGATTTTCTTTTCTCCTTCAATATATCCTGCAAAGAAGACTCCGTCTTGATCCAATTAACCAATGTTGGCTTTTCTTCTGTTTGTTGGCAGCTTTTCAATGCCGTGCCCTTGGTGAGAAGGCTTCCTCTGCCCCATCAGAAAATACTAACAAATGCCCAACAAATGTTTGCTTTGCTTGAAAAAGAAATGGAGGAACACAAGGCAACATTGATGCCTGGAGAACCCCGGGATTTCATTGATGCATATTTAGAAGAAATTCAGAAGGTAGATTTCTTAGTCTCCTTTTTGATTTGTATATATTTTTGTCTCATCCCGCGTCTCTTTCTCTAACATTACAAGTTGTACAAGTACAACAGTTCTTTGGCATATGGCTGTAATTTAAAATACCACAAAGATCTATCTATCTATCTATCTATCTATCTATCTATCTATCTATCTATCTATCTCTATCTATCTATCTATCTATCTATCTATCTATCTATCACTATATCTATCTCTATCTATCTATCTATCTATCTATCTATCTATCATCTATCTATCTCTATCTATCTATCTATCTATCTATCTATCTATCTATCTATCACTATATCTATCTATCTATCTATCTATCTATCTATCTATCTATCTATCTATCAAGTGTTTTTCTATCGAAGCACCTGGTCTACCCCAATACACACACACACACACACACACACACACACACACACATCTATTTATATATATATATAATATTTGGATTCTGCTATGGGTCTTTGCTTAGCTTGTTCTGTAAATGTAGCAAAGTGAACATCCTCTGTTAAAATCAAACTCTTTGAATCTGAATTCCAGACAATACACAGCTATAAATACTATGCTAGAAATATTATAAATATACAGCTATAAACCCACTGAAAGGAACTCAAAGCCAGAAATCCACATTGGCTCTTCTGCAATATGTGAACCGGCTCACTCATATTTTTCAAGACTTTTCTATCTATCTTGCAGTATCTCTCTTGTGTTGGTCCCCCCGAAAATGAAATCAAATCAGTTTATTTCAGCCATAAAGCCAGAAACGACAAAAATATCTAATTGAAGATTGTTACATGCATTATCCATTCATCAACTGTCTATCTATATATCTAGCATTTATCTAGCATCTAGCATCTATCCATCCGTATCCATCTATCATCCCTCTATCAACCACCTATCATCCATTCATCCATCATCTCTCTCTTTCTCTCTCTCTTTCTCTCCCTCTTTCTCTCCCTCCCTCTCCCTCTCTCTCCTACCCAACCATATAAATCCCCCCTCTCAGAAAAACTATGAGTTTAAACTCTACGTATAAATAAGAACTATTAGAATATAACTGAAAATAGTGTAAAAAGTGAAATAAGTATCCAAACTTAGTTAATGGTGCAATAGATGATAGTGCAAAATGGGACAACCTGGGAGGAGATTTTTGTCTGAAAGAAGTAACAGTAAGCAGAAATTCCACTCCCTGCCTGGAAATTTCTTCAAGATCAATTAAATGAAGATCTGTCTAGAGTCCTCATAGAGCAGAGTTTCTTAACCTTGGCAACTTTGAGACAAATGGACTTCAACTCCCAGAACTCCCCAGCCAGTAAGCTGTGGGAAAACCTCCTTTTCATCATTAAATTCCTGAACTGTTTTCTCCCTGATGAATTGTTAGAGAAACTTGGGCATTTGAAGATTTGTTGCTTCTTTGCTTGCTTGCTTGCTTGCTTCACCACCTCCTCCTCCTCCTTCCTTTTCCTTTTCCTTTTTAGTGATACTTTTCAGAATAAAGTCTTCAGGACAAAGCTTCCTTTCCTTTCCTTTCCTTTCCTTTCCTTTCCTTTCCTTTCCTTTCCTTTCCTTTCCTTTCCTTTCCTTTCCTTTCCTTTCCTTTCCTTTCCTTTTCCCTTCCCTTCCCTTCCCTTTCCTCCCCACCCCTCCACTTCCAATGAATATATAGGTGGTAAAAATCCTGTTTCCATTCTTTGTTTTAACTATCAACAGCCAGAGAGGAAAGGTTCAAGTTTTGAAGAAGAGCAACTACGAGTCTTATTGTTTGACTTACTCATTGCTGGAACAGAGACAACATCAGGAACACTGCAGTGGGCCTTTCTCTATTTGGTGGCCTTTCCAGAGATCCAAGGTACAGAATCGTGAAACAGTGCCCTTTAGTAGAAATAGTAATATATTCACCAATTACATAAAACGGGAAAGAAGGGAGTTAGTATCATGGCAGGAAATTCAGTAATGTGTATACAGTACTTGGTTGGGAAGCAAACTGATGTCTACTTAAAGTCAATGAAATGTTCTCCAGAAGGTAACTGAGATATTTGTTCCTCAGAGAAATGCTGGAAGGAAATAGACACAGTTCTGGGAAACAAGGCAAGGCTGAAATGTGAGGATCGTGTAAGATTGCCCTACACAAATGCCGTCATTCATGAAATCCAACGCATATCAAGTATAGTTCCTCTTGGAGTAGCTCGTAAAACCATTAATGATGTGCAACTTTATGGATACAAAATTCCCAAGGTAAAGGCAGAAACCTTTGAGTGGGAACGGTGTAGTGTTGGTGATTCGCCAGGCAAAATTGTAGTTGTCTGATGTGAGAGATCTCTGTCTGTCTGTCTGTCTGTCTACATATATATATGTCTTCTAAAGTTTTTGTGGATGTGCATATGCAAAAAATTAAAATCTCGGGTGTTTTCCCGCGTCATTATAAATAAGTTGGTTAAAATATTTAAAATCCTGGTTAAAATCCCATTTTAAGCTGGGATTTTAACCAGGATTTTAAATATTTTAACCAACTTATTTGTAATGACGCGGGAAAACACCCGAGATTTTAATTTTTTGCATATACACGTGTGTTTGTATGTCTCTATTTTTATCTCTATATACTGTATTTATCTCTATATCATCTGTCTACAACATCTCTAGCTCCATCTAAGTACGGTATCTATATCTGTCTTTATCATCTCTAGACTATAACATTACCTATCTCTATGTCTATCTGTCTGTCTGTCTGTCTGTCTGTCTGTCTCTCTCTCTCTCTCTCTCTCTCTCACTCTCAGAGTAAGAAATTGAGAGACATCCTGACATTTGATGTAGAAAGAAGACGCTTTCTGGGGAGGGTATCTTTCCATAAAGATTTTTCAACAAGACCAGTTCCTGACCTTTGAACCATTCTTAGTTAGGATTGGTGTGGAGTAGCTCATGGTGACAACAACATCTCCTGCCTTGCTCTCTCACTCCTCGTTTTCTAATACCAAGTTCAGCAACGTTCAGATCTTCTCCCTGCTCCTTCTCACCTTCATCTGCTGTCCTTCAACCACATCTCAATGGGGTCGTTCCGGAAGTTCATCCAGAGCCATGTCTGACAATGAGGGTTTTCTTCAAGAGGACCTTATTTGTTTTGACTTGTGCAGGACACCATGGTTTTTGTTAATATCCAGTCTGCCCATCGTGATGAATCTCAGTGGAAGTTCCCCAATGAGTTCAACCCTTCCAACTTCCTGAATGAAGAAGGAGACTTTGTGAAGCCGGAAGCCTTCATGCCATTTTCAGCAGGTGAATTATTCTCTCCCTATTTCTCCATCTCTTACTGTCTGTTGTGCGATCTCTCTCTCTCTCCCCCTCCCTCCCTCTCTCCCCCCTCTCTCTTCCCCTCTCCCTCTCCCCTTCTCCCTCTCCCCCCCCTCTCTCACACACACACTTTTAACTTTCAACCCCTCCAACTTCCTGAATGAAGCCGGAACCTTTCTTGCAATTTTCTTTTTCTTTTTTTTTTAAATAGTTTTTATTGAATATAAATATTAAAAAAGACATACGTAACATATACACAGCAAACATTTATACAACATATACACAAAAAGAGTGTAATTTCTTCTTAAGTATTTTTTCAGAGTGACGTTCTACAATTCTACTTATAATATATTCCTTCACCTCTCTTTAATCTAATAATATTTTTTATTACACATATATGTATCAATCGGTAATATATCCCCTATATTTTTTGTATATTTCTAATTTTTAACCAATTATACCAATTATTCCATATTTTATAATAGTCTGATTCTTCTTTTTCTTGTAATTCTTTGGTTAACCTATCCATTTCAGCGCATTCTAAAATTTTCCCTATTACTTCTGTTTCACTTGGTATTTTTTCTTGTTTCCAATTTCTTGCGTAGGTTATTCTTGCAGCAGTTAATATGTGGATTGTAAGATATTTGATATCCTTTCTTGCCATTTTCAGCAGGTGAACTCTTATTCCCCCTCCCTCCCTCCCTCCCTCCCTCTCACACACACACACACTCTTGTTCTCTCTCTCTCTCTCTCTGACATGCACACTTTTACTGACAATTCTTGCACCATGCAATGATCCCAAGCAACCCAACCTTTCTTTAGAGACTTTGATTATACTTCAATGTCCCATAGCAAAAGGGAGCCGAAAATATTAAACTTGATCGTAATCATTGAGCATTTCAATTCTGGAACTGTCATGAGATTTGGGATCATACGGTAGAAAACCAAATAAGTCTAGGAATTGCAACAGGTTGCCACCTTTCAACTGTCTGGCTTCCCTCTTTCTCCTTCACTTTATCTTTTCAGGACCGAGAATCTGCTTAGGGGAAATCCTGGCAAGGATGGAGCTCTTCCTCCTCTTCACCAGCATTGTCAGAAATTTCCAGCTATTGTGGCCAGATAAATCCCAAGCTCCGGATTTCACACCGCACTTTGCAGTTACACAATCCCCATCCTGCTTCAAGGTGTTGCTGAAATGCCGCCAGCCAAGTGCGTAGATCAAAGTGAGGATCTGCAAGGCAACCGATTCAAGACCATCCCATTCTCTCCAATAGCCGGAGGTCTTCCATACTTCAAATTCACCACGAGATCATTTTTTAAAAAAACGGAAATAAAGGGTTATCTTACGCCACATTTTCTAGTGGATGATCATTCTTGTTTATTGGTATTTCTAGACGCACAAAAAGCATTTGACAATGTGAATTGGCGATTTATGATGTTACAAATGGAAGAGATGGGCTTTGGAAGGAAATTTATTCAGGCAGTTGAAGCTATATATACAAAACAGACGGCAAAGGTAATGATTAATGGAGAATTGACTGATGTTATTGAAATAGAAAAAGGTACTCGACAAGGATGTCCCTTATCCCCATTGCTGTTTATATTGACTTTGGAAGTGTTGAATAGAAATGTTAGAGAAGAAAAAGAGATAACAGGAATGAAAATTAGAAAGGAAGAATATAAATTACAAGCTTTTGCTGATGACCTGGTTTTTATTATTGAAGAACCATTAACATTAATAAATAAATTGACAGAAAAAATAGGTGAATTTGGGGAGGTTGCTGGTTTGAAAATTAATAAAGAAAAGACGAAGATAATGACCAAAAATATGTTAAAAAAACAAAAAGAATAATTGAGGGAGATTTCAAAGATGCAGGTCACAAATAAGGTAAAATACTTGGGGATTCAACTAACAGCAAGATGTAGTTCTCTTAAAGAAAATAATTACAATAAGCTTAAGCAACAGATAGGATAGGATTTGGTGAAATGGGGAAACTTGCAGTTATCTTTGATTGGTAGAATTGCAACTATTAAGATGAATATTTTACCTAGAATCTTGTATCTTTTTCAGACAATTCCTGTAAAGCTGGGTAAGGAATTTTTTGCAGACTTAAATAAAATGGTTTTGAAATATGTTTGGCAGGGAAAGAAGGCAAGGATAAAACTCAAACTGTTACAAGATGCTAAAATGAGGGGTGATTTGGGATTACCAAATTTTGAATTATACTACCAAATGGTTTGTTTAATGTGGATTAAAGAATGGGTAACATTGAAAAACACTAGATTATTAAATTTGGAGGGACATGATTTGCTGATGGGATGGCACGCTTTCTTATGGTATAAAGGAACTAAAATTCAGGGGTATTTTAGAAGACATCAGATACGTGAAGCTTTGTTTTTGACATGGGAGAAGATCAAAAAATACCATTATTTGAAAATTCCAGTCTGGGTATCTACAACTGAAGCTTTTTCTTATCCAGTGGTATTTAGAGGGGAACGAATTGTTAGATATAGTGAATTATTGGATGAAAAGGGTGAACTTAAATTGAAACAAAACTTAGAAGACCAGGGAATTAAGATAGATTGGTTTTCATACATGCAAATACTTTCCAGATATCGAGAAGACTTCAAACAAGAAGGTATTTATAATGTTTCGACTGGTTTAGACAAGATATTAATGGATTCGGATGACCATGTAATTAAAAAGTTATATGGATATTTACTTGAAGTAAAATTGGAAGAAGAACAAGTCAAAGAATCAATGATAGCATGGGAGAAAAATTTTGGTTATAGTATTGATTTAGAGAAATGGCAAAAATTGTGGTCACATAATTATAAAATGACAATGTTGACAGCATATAAAGAGAATTTGTATAAGATGTTTTACAGGTGTCATTTACCCCCGACGAGGATAGCCAGAATGTTTAAGAATAAATCGGAGAAATGTTGGAAGTGTCATCAAACTCCAGGATCGTATTACCATATGTGGTGGACATGCGTGAAAGCAAGGAGATTTGGGACTAAGATACATACGTGGTTAGAAAAAATGACAAAGAGACATATTGACTTTAAACCAGAGATATTTTTATTAGGAATTTTACCAGAGACATTTAATAAAGAATTACAATACTTAATTGTGAACATTTTAACAGCGGTCAGAATTGTATTTGCCAAAAACTGGAAAGGAGAGAAGATAATTACCGATGAAGAAATTATTATGAAAATGTTGGACTGTACTGAAATGAGTAGATTGACATTTGAAATAAGAGAGCAGGAAGATAAACAATATTATTTGATATGGGAGATATTTTATCAATGGTTTGACAAAAAAGTATGGAGATGAGATAGCCTATATGAAATGTTTAAATATTTATCTTCAGTTCAAGTAAAGAATAATTGTTATATGATGAGATTTGGAAAATTGTAAGCATGAAATAATTTTAACCGATTGAGATTCTGTCCATAATTGTTTGTAAGGATGATATTTTTATGTTGTCTTTTTTTTTATTTTAATCTAAAATAAAACTTTTTTCAAAAAAAAATAGTTAATTGGGGTTTTTTTTAGTTGTTCTTTTTTTAGACCTAGCCATTTAAAGTTTAGGAAGTTTTAAATTTAGCTGCTTTTATATAAAAATAAAAATAAATTAAAATAAAATAATATTTGTGCAGTTTTCTGAGATTTAGTGTGTTTCTGCAGTGTTTCACTCTAACTAACTTCACTCTAAACACACAAAATCTCACAAAGCTGTATGTGGAATTTTGTGTAAAGTGTGAAAGTTGTTTTTTTGGGCTTTTTGTGGCTGTGTGAGATTCCTGCTTGTTGCAGGGGCCATTTTGGGTCTAGCACAGCTGCTTTTATATTGTGGGTGAGCCAGTTGTGTTGTGTTGTGTTTTGTAGGTTAAAAAAGGGCAAAGCAGTGACATTGACTTGGCCATGCCCACCTGACCAACAAGCCACGCCCTCCCAGTCACCTTACCACCAAGCCACGCTCACTAATTAAGCCACGCCCACAGAACCGGTAACAAAAAAAATTAGATTTCACCCCTGCTCCAGATCCTCTCTATGCATCTGGGGAGGGCAAAAACAGCCTTCCCCACCACCTCGGAGGCCCTCCGGAGGCCCAAAACGGCCCATTTTCCAACTTCCAGTTGGCCAGGAAGTGATATTTTTTGCTGTCCCCAGACTCCAGAGACTCCTGGAGCTAAGCTGGCGTGCCAGGTGACATGGCTCCACGTGTCACCTGTGGCACGTGTGCCATAGGTTCGCCATCACGGCTATAGGGTCTCCTGCCTTCAAGTTCCCTTCCAAGTCTGTTATTCTGTATTCAATGGAAAGGCTTGCCTCCAGAAGTTGTGAATGCTCCAACACTGGAGGTTTTCAAGCAGAGATTGGACAACCATTTGTCTGAAATGATAGAAGGTCTCCTGCCTTCTGAGTGGACGGTTGGACTAGAAGACCTCCAAGATCCCTTCCGTTATTCTGTATTCAGTGGAATGGCTTGCCTCCAGAAGTTGTGGGTGCTCCATCATTGGAGGCTTTCAAAAAAAAAAGGCTGGACGACCATTTGTCTGAAATGGTATAGGGCAAGGCTGTCAAACTCCCGGCCCATGGGCCGGATGCGTCACGCGCTGGCCATGCCCATGCTCGGTTTAGTGAAGGGGAGAAAAGTCCCTATACATCACGTGATGCCGCTGTGACGATGTGAGTGTGACACCCCTGGTATAGGGTCTCCTGCTTGAGCAGGGGATTGGATTAGAAGACCTTCAAGGTCCCTTCCAATTCTATTATCCTAGGTTCATGATGGCGAACCTATGGCACGCATGCCACAGGTGGCATGCAAGCGTTGCCCTAGCTCAGTTCTAGTGTGCATACACACACCGGCCAGCTGAATTTTGGGCCTTCCAGGCCCACCGGAAGTCAGGAAACGAGCCATTTCCAGCCTCCAGAGGCCCTCTGAGGGGGGAGGCCATTTTCGCCCATCCCCAGGCTCCTAGAAAGCCTTTGGATCTTGGGAGGGCAAAAAATGGCTTTTTGCATCGCGTGCCAAAAGGAGGGGGAGCACGGGGGGGGGGTCGTGTGCGCATGCGTGTGAGGGCATTGAATTATGGGTGTGGGCACACGTGCACGCGACCCCCGTGCTCCCCCCTCCGCTTTTGGCACGTGACAGCAAAAAGGTTAGCCATCACTGTCCTAGGTTTTACGCTTGAGTGAGACAAAGGCAGTTGTTCTTCGTGGCTTCCCTTTTCTTGCCTTCCAACAATAGTTCGTAGCATGTCTTCTGCTGGAAACTGTCAGTGTTGTGTTGGAATTATAAGCCTGTTAAATAGTAAAAGGTTAAGGATCTCCTTGTCCACTTGTGTTTGATTTCAGGGGCTGAGGCTCATCTCCGTTTCCTAGCCAAGAGAGCCAGAGTTGTCTGAAGATGCCACCATGATCATATGGTTGGCAAGACTATATGCTGAGGCACACGGAACACTTTAAATAGTAGAGAGAGAGCTCGTTTTGAGGTCCATACCGGCTTTGTCAAATCATAACTACAGATCTTGTCACCACGGTGGTGCAGTGCAGTGGTGGGTTTCCTACTGGTTCACCCCGATTCGGCCAAACCAGTAACAGTGGCAGCAGGAGGCTCCGCCCACCCACCTGGACGTCATCAAATACGCTCTGCGCATGCACAGAAGTGATGTGCACATGAGAGAGAGAACCAGTAGCAAAGGTGAGGGAAACCCACCCCTGGCCCAGTGGTTACAGTGCAGTACTGCAGGCTACTTCTGCTGATCACCGGCTGCCAGCAGTTTGGCAGATCGAATCTCACCAGGCTCAAGGCCTTCCATCCTTCCAAGGTGGGTAAAATGAGGACCCAGATTGTTGGGGGCAAGAGACTGACTCTGTAAACATCTCAGAGATGCTGTAAACACTATGAGATGGTATATAAGTCTAAGTGCTACTGCTATGTAAGAGCCATGGTGGCGCAGTGGTTAGAATGCAGTCATTGCAGGCAACTCTGCCTCCAGCCTGGAGTTCAATCTTGACTGGCTCCAGTTTGATTCAGCCTTCCATCCTTCCGAGGTTGTTAAAATGAGGACCCAGATTGTTGGGGACAATATGCTGACTCTGTAAACTGCTTAGAGAGTGTTGTAATACACTGTGAAGTGGTATATAAGTCTAAGTGCTATTGCTATTAAGGGTATAGTATTACTATGGCTTAAGGGCACACTATTACTCAAGGTTAGATGCTAGTGGAGCTCTTGGATAAGGGTGCTGTTGTTCTCCAAGAATCCACCAGGTGTCTCAGAGCACATCGTAGGCACTGTAGTCAATCTGATGCCAGTAGCACAATTATAATTTGATT